AAATATAATACTTTCAATATGGCGTCTCTATCTTGTCCCTGCAGTGTTCCGATTAGGGGACCAGCTGTACCGCAAGCGCGCTTTGCGCATGTGTGGCTAGAGAGATACAGTGACGCACATATACGCAGTTTGGCGGGATCGTGAACGATAAGGTATTATAGCAGAATATTATATATATTATTTAATATATCTGTGATACATAAGTAATATTATGCATTATATTTTTTTATTAATGATTTTAATTTAAGAAGAAATATGCAATTTTTTTTCTAATTAATAAGTGCAATTTTATTTTTTATAATTATTGAATATACTGTACAATATTATTTCGGTTTTATAATTTAACAAAAAAAATTATAATTAAATTTAAAATAAAATATAATATTTATAATTTTATAATTAATAATTATAACTTTTATTTATTTCAATTCTTATTATAATTATTAATTTTATTATTGTTAATGAATACTGGTAAGATTTTTGGCCGTTTTCATTATCCTTGCAATAAATGTTGGTATTCTTCGAAATTTCTGCCAAATTAAAGATTTTTATTTTATTTATGTATAAAGTGTTTTATTTTATATCATCTTTATCCTCTTCCTTTTAATTCTTTATTATAATTTATATATATTAAATACTTAAATTTTAAATATTTTTTAATATATCTGTATATATATATTTTCATTTTTTAATATGTTGAAAATTTTTTTTAAATATTTTCAATGTAGCCGGGTAACGGTGCCTCTTTTTTCTAGTACGACATACTTCACTGTGGCCGCGTGCTCGCGCATGCGCCGGTCTCTAATCGAAACATTGGTCACGTGATCGATTTTAGTTCGCTCCGAGCAAATAGGTTAGCTTCCTTTCCAAGAGAGAATTTGCGCATTCCGAGCGCTATTTACCGTGAAGGTGTGTAAAATATCGAATCCAAAATATTCTTATGATCCGCGCAAAGTCGAATAAATGCGAATAATATTCTTGTTTCAGCAGTTGAACTAAATTTGCAATTTGTGATATTAAAATGCAATTAATGCTCGTTTAAATGTAATGTTACTTAACAATGAGGTAACCTACAAAAAGAATTTATGTTTCACGCAGGATGGCTCCGCGATATGAATTGGCTGTTGGCCTCAACAAGGGTCATAAAACAACGAAAATTCGTGTGGCGAACAGCAAATCTGAAAAAGAGAAAACTGTCTGCATTCGGCCAGCTAGATTAAAAGGGGTTAGTGTACTAAAAAATGTATAACTCTCCTATTGTTATTGTATGTTGTAAAACTTTCAATGTGTAGATATTTTATAATTTCGTAGATAAATATTCAATATTCTCTCATGTACTAATTTAGCTTTCATTTATTTTATTTCAGAAACAAACCAAACACAGCAAATTTGTGCGAGATCTGATCCGTGAGGTCACTGGACATGCTCCTTATGAAAAACGTGCTATGGAGTTGCTGAAAGTGTCGAAGGATAAACGTGCTTTGAAATTTTTGAAGAGAAGGGTAAGCGTACAATTTTTACTTTTTAGATAGGTAATCATTTTTAAGAACTTATTGAATTTCTTATTTTTCATGTAATTCTACTTTATAATCTGAATTGTTTTACAAATGCATGTACCATAGTAGGAGAAAATACATAAAAATCTTTATATAGATTTGAGATTTTCAGATATACGTTTTATGTAAAAGAAATTGCATATATTCTTATAATTTTTTTTATTGCTTTTTTAGCTAGGAACACACATCCGTGCTAAGAGGAAGCGAGAAGAGCTTGGAAATATCCTGGTACAGATGAGGAAAGCAGCTCATCATTAACTTTTTTAAGTATGTAAAATCTACCCATTACTTAAATAAATCAATATTTCAACAAAAAGATAAATTATTTCAGGAAGATCAAAGTCCTAAATATACTCCTTTTACCATCTTCAAACAAAATGAAATTTAATTGTAATAACTTTATCTTATTAGTTATCTTTTACTATATGTATTAAAAGTAAAATGTATAGGATGAGATAAATAGTGCATTAAAATAAATGTTTTATAATTAAAGCAGAAATAGATGTGACAGAACTAAGAAGATCAATAATTTGATTATTATATCAGAAAACAATGAAAATAAAGATATATAAAAACAACGAAAATAGATTAAAATTTTTTATTTTATCATAAGCTAATCATTTCAAATATATTTGTAAATGGACAACAAGATTAGTAAAATATTTAGACATACAAAATATTCTGCAGTTCTCTGCATAAAATTTTAATATTCTTTAATATATTCAAAGAATTTTGTATACAATGAATCATTGGTGAAAAATTAAATGAATTATATAATATAAAAAAATCTGACAAAATCTTATATTAATTATAATACTCGTGATAGTATTATATATATATATATATATATATATATATATATATATAACAATATTATTTGAATAACATTATATTATAATACCATATGGATATTATAATACTTATACATGACATATTGAATACACCATTTACATTTGCTTAAATTACTTATTACAATCAATAACACTAATATTTACAGATGTGACCACATTTATACACGTGTCAATTCTGACATAATAATCTAGCTAAAATCTACTCTTATGTTCCTCCTGTACTCTCACTGTAATATTGAATTATGAAGTCAAAAGCAGAAAATTGTTAAAATTTGTTTTGTTATTGAATTGAATTACTTTTTTTTATACTATACATTATTGGTATTTGGAAGTATGAATTGATAAAATATATATTGAATATTCCTTTTCTTATTTAACATTAGTAAATGCACATTTTATTCAATCTTATATCCTATATTTCTAGCAAATATCGATTTGATGAAAATCGATTAAAATTTATAAAAAACCGTAAAATATAAAAAAATCTTCAATATATTTTATCAATCTAAAAATACGAAAAACTGATTTATTTCAATGTTGCAAAAAATTTACATGAGATCCTGCCTCTATCATAATTTAATATATTTTGTAGTAAGATATTATTTACAATAAATTACATATTAATATTAACAAGAAATATAGAATTTTTTAATTGTATTCACAAAAATGTCCACAACCAGCAGGACATTGTCGATTGCCATTAAACCACTCTCTCATATGATTTATATGGCCTCCATGTGCACAACCTTGACACCACACATACATCCCACGTACAACCTGTGTATAAAAAATAATAAAATAATCGTATAATAATTCTTTGTCACATCTCTTTGACGTTTTATTATTTATTCAATATTTGTACTAATTAATTGTTGCAATATAAACTTTAAGAAATTTATAACTAAGATAATCTAGACTTTTAAAATCAAATGTAAAACTTATTATCATTCTTGTTGTTTATATGATAAACCAATTAAATCATTGAAAAGAATTAAAGAAAGTACGTCAATGACTAACTGATATTTTACAAGAGAAACAAAATAATTCATGACAATACAACAAACAATGGTAATCATAATTTTCTGATTTATTTATTTAAATTTCAAACAATCTCTCACCTGATTACAAACGGAACACAGAGCATGTTCAGATGTATGACAATGATCGCATAACCATGCAGAGCGCTGCAATTGTTTTGAGCATGCTGCACAAGATACATGTATCTGGGTTGATTGTTGATTCAATTGCGATATAGAGGGAATCCATGCCAATTGTATTATCTATACAAATAAAATTCTTTATAATAATCAAAGCAACAAAATTTTACAATTCAACTTGCATTTTCGCAAAAAATAATTCGTAAAAAGAAATATCGTTTATTAAGAAATAATATCCTTCAATTATAAACAAACCTGTGTAGCTATATGCCAAAGCTTAAATTTGCCAAGCATGTCCAAGTACTCCAATATCCAATGTTCTTGTAAAGCTATCGGAAGCATCAAATTTTTCCTCTTTTCTCCCAGGGCAATGAGCATCGATACTGTTGTTTGTACGTCTCTCACTGCCGAATGATATTCCAATGCTTCCAAGATCACAGATGTAAAATCAAACAGCAATGGCTTAGGTAACACTGGGACTACTAATTGAGGTTGATCCTCGATTATAACAGAAGCTGGATCTTCGCCGAGTTCAGGAGGATGATTAGGAAATTGTTCTGGCGGTGGAGATCGATCCTTTATCTCGTGCCGTAAGGGAAAAGCTTCTTTCTGCAATTCTTTGGTCCATTCGTCATCCTCCATACGCATAACAGTATGCCTATTTTCGGCAGGATGTTCCAATGACACAGGCTCATATTCAGTTTCCCCAAAGATAAAATCACCCTTTGATGTTGAGGGCACATCACTGAGCAATGGTCTTCTGTAAATTGTTATCAATTATCCTCCAGATAATATCACAAAGTTATATTATAATTTTAACATTGATAGAAATCAATTAATCTTAGCATATAAACAGAAAAAAATTAATTATAACGATATAATGATACATATTACTTTTCAACTATGTAAATAACAATCATACGAAACCTTGGCAGGACAGTTGCTAAGTTAGTCGATGGTCCTGTGATATTTTGATTCTCTGGAGCGTCAGTTTCTGTTTCAGTTTCGTCGTCGCCACCGCTAGCAGCACCAGCCGGATTTTCCCCCTGAAGAGATTTTGCATCGTGTTCATGACCTAAGAAAAATAATAATTCATTATTGCAATTAAATTCATGACAATAGTATAATACTAATGATATTGTTAATATTCTACTTATCATATTTCTCACTCACTTGATTGTTTGCTTGCATTTGAGTGTTCCATACCAGAATTCTTTGTTGCTCCTGGTACTATGTTTGAAGTATTAGTTATATCCTCTTTGGGTGCCATTGGCGACATTTTTAAAAGCAGCTCGAGAGGATCTCCATACATTATTTTCAGAACTTGCCATGCTATACCAAGCTGTAATAAATGTATAAGATTGTTATTATCAAAAATATATGTATACATGCAAGAATATAAATATATTATTACAGTTGTTTTGCCAAAACCGATTGCGACACGTGCATTGTGATCACAGATATCATTTAAATTCCCAGAAAGCAGATAACCTTCTGCAGCTATCTTAAACCAATTTGGCTGACGATTATTCAAAGTAAATCTATGTGTTACACTTGAAGCCACGCAAAAAGTATCATCATTTGTTATAAGTGGTCTCCTATAAAGGAATAAAGAAATGATAATTGTATTCATTATTCTATAACAAGACATTATAAATATATTATCTTTTGATGCAATATAATAATTTACCTCATTATGCTAGTCAGTTGTCTTGCAGTAGTAGCTGGTTCATATTTTACTTTACAAGCATATGTAATTTCGCCTTTTAAGCCTAATGCAACACTTTGTGGATTTGCTTTACTGGCTGGTCTTACTGCATCATCAAAAATATGATGGTACAAAGTGCAATCCTAGAATAATGAAAACAAACAAATGATAATTGTATTTTACATTGCAATTACAATAAAGTGTTATAAAAAATGGTTAATAGCATTACTCTGCTTGTCGATAGAAATGACTGTGGATTGCCTCTCCATGCCACACCTGTGGGAACATCTTTATGCTCATTGAAACTTGCAAATGGAATGTACGGTCTGCGAATGTCCCATACATTTATACTGCAATCAACCACTAAAGCACAACTTGCTATATGATACTTTTTCTGAGGTCTCCATTTTATGCGTCCCACTGATGCAATAGTGTGTATAGCATAATCACAGCTTGGTTTACCTGATAGATCCCAAACCTGTAGCATTCATACAAAGAGCACAATTAATATATTATTGAAATTTTTATACTAGTATAAAATGATATACAAATAAATAAATCACAAAAACGCTTTAATAAAAATTAAGTAATAAAGAATAGGAAGCTGATAAGAGCCAAACAAAAGTACATACATTTAAATAATTTATTGAAATCTTCTTTAATTGTAATAAACATTTACTTTCTTTTTCTTGGCTCTATTATTCAAATTATTATTTGAATTTTTACATAATTTATATATGTAAATATATATATATATATATATGTGTGTGTGTGTGTGTGTGTGTTTAGATGCAATTTAAAATAATATACCTTAATACTTTTATCTCTAGATGCAGTAGCGAGCCAAGTGGCTTCAGGATGCCAATCACAAGCAAATATCGGTCCACTATGTGCAGTAAAATGTTGAAAATAACGATCTGGCTTTCTCATGTCCCATTGTTGTACATGTCCATTTTCAGATACAGCAGCAAAAGTGTGTGGTTGTTGTGGGCAAAATTGGACATCTCTCACTGATTCTGTATTACTAAATATATGAGTGATAAAAGTAATACCAAATTAGATATTAAATTAAATCAAATATTTCATCTATTACATAGCGTAAAGAGAGAGTATACAATAAAATTAAATATACAAAATCTTAAAATACCAAAAAAGCATTTTGCATTATCTTTAACACTTACACCAGTTATTTACATATACTAAGTTATTTATATATATATACCAAGATATAATTTACCTATAAAAAGTTTTAATAGCTTCTTTTATTCGTAAGTCAAAACACTTCATAGTACCATCTTGTGAGCCAGAGATCAACCACATAGGCTCTGTCATATGAAAGCTTACTTTATTCACAGTTCTTTTATGATCTATAAATACATGCTCCTGTTTTGATCGAGATTGTTTATTTAAGTTCCAAACAACCACTGCACCATTTGTTGCTGCCGTTGCCAGTATATGATCTATAAAGTAAAATAAAGTAATATGAGGCAATTAATATATGATATAGTATTATACAGAACTTTTAATGTATTGCATATAATACTAGAGAGTAAATAAATTAAATATATAAAATAAAGTTGTGATATAAACTAGAAAAAATTCAGACATCTATTTTTATATTTAGAAAAGGATTATTATCAATTCTTTCTCTCAAAATAATATAATAAAATATATAATAAGTTTATAATATATTTATATTTATATATATGATAAAATTAAGTTACCATCATTGAGGTTCCAAGCAACATCATTGCAGGAAAAATTGAGGTTCAAATTTTTTCCAACCCGAAGATTGCAGGCTTCCTCAAATTTATCCTCCAGTAGAGTAAATATCTTAAAAACTGCAATACAATCCATTAGATTATAATTCTTCTATATAATACACTCATGTGTCAAGAAATATAAAATATAAAATTTTATTTAACAGTATTTCAGAAGATTGAAAGATTAAATAAGAATATGAACTACATACATCTATGTTTTTATTTAAAAATCATATTAAAGAATTAGAACATATCCTTCAAAAAATAATATATCGCACTAAAAAAAACGCACCATTACGACCGGCTATTACAACCTGACTATTTTCTTTATTAAGGGCTAAGGCATTAGCAGGTCCTTCTTGAGTAATGCATATAGTTTTTGATGTCATATTGCGTGCTTCTTTGAAGCAATTAAAATGAAATGATTGTCATAATAATTTATAAAACCATCAAAGTTTCAAATCTCTGAAAAAATATTCTCTCTCGTACTATAAACACATATAATAAAACATATACGTAATAACACTTTCTATAGCATACATCATAATAGGTTTGTTCGCGTCGCATGCCCCAACATGCTCCTTCTTACTCCAATGCGCTCGTATTGGTGCGCTCCTCGAATTAGACCAATACGAGCGCATTGAAATAAAAAGGAGCAAGTTGGAGCATGCGACGCGAACAAACCTAATAGGTTTGTTCATGTCGCATGCCCCAACATGCTCCTTTTTACTTCAATGCGCTCGTATTGGTCCAATTCGAGGAGCGCACCAATACGAGCGCATTGGAGTAAGAAGGAGCAAGTGGGGGCATGCGATGCGAACAAACCTTTTAAGAATTCAGTGTCCGACAACAACACCGGGAATATCTGGCCAAGGCGTTGGTAGAGATGTTAGAATACCAGCGCCTGGGTACCGATTTTGTAATTTCTTCTAAAGTAAAAATGTGAAAAGTGAAAAATTTCCGCCAATCACAAATTTAATTTAAAGTGAAATCGATATGCGATTGGTGGAAATTTATCACTTTTCATGTTTTCACTTTAGAAAAGTTAAGAATCGATATCGATGTTTTCACTTTCACTTTATGAAATCGAAGCGATACCCTGGCATGCCAGGTCCTCTTAATAATCTGGCAGCGTGGATTGCACGTCATTATTAGTGTGATCCTTGGCCAAAAAGGAAGAAGAAAAATGTCAGGTCCTCCAGGTATACTGGAAAATGTTAGATTAACAGCGCAACCTGAAACACAGAGTGAGTTACACGATATTTTTAGAAAATCTGTCAATTCCGTTTTTTTTAAGCATAAAATATTTTATTAAATTTAGGCTGCGTTCGTTTTGGACGCTTTCAACGCTATGAGCATCTTCTGTCCTTGTTTGATATTCAATGTGCAACAAAGACAGAGTCCGTTGGCGTCCGTCGACGTGTTCAGATGTGTTTCGTCTGAAAAATTTTTTCCTTTTTGATCCATTGTGGACCTAATCAAAACTTATGGCCGGCACGGCAAAACCAAGTCTGGTTTATATAGCCTCTCTAAACCGCGAAGAAGAATGCAACAAAGACAAACGATGCTTATAGCGCTGAAAGCGTCAAAACGAACGCAGCCTTATACGTATGTTTGTAAAAATATTATATATTTTTTATTGATGTGATTATATATTACGTTTTTTTAAATTTGTTTAAAAACAAAATATTTATTGTATAGATGTGAAAAGAAATATGCGATGGCCGTTCATTTGTGTTCCAGCTTCGCCGAGACAGTCCGTAGTCGGTGATGAGCAACAAGTGGTCGCCGGTAATCAGACAGCCGCTGCCAATATACAGCAGTCCATCAATATGCAAACATATGAATTATTGGGACTAAACGAATTCGGACAACCCGGCGTAATTGGTGGAGAGAATAGATCACCTGATTTGCAGCTTCCAGGCGGTCTTCAGTCCTGTCAAATTACAGCGACACCAGTGCTAGGAACAAAAGAGTGGCATATGTCCGTTACACCAGATCTCAGAAATTATCTTGTTCATAAAATGTAAGGACCAGATTTTGAATAATAATTTAAACTTACATCAAAGTTTGAACTATGCATACATGTGTTTTGTGCAGAGTTTTTTCAATCTAAGTTTTATTAAATTATTATTAAAATAATGATTCTAAGAATTTCATAACATAATCCATGTTTTTGTTTGCAATTCGTTTTTTTCTTCTGGCAAGTAATAACGCAATCGTTGTCTTTTTTCTTAGGGTACAAGCAATATTTCCAATTCCTGAATCTCAGGTCATGCTCGATAATAGAATGCAGTTAGTCGCATATGCAAAAAAAGTGGAAAGGGATAGATATGAAATGGCTAATTCACGATCGGAATATTATGATTTGATAGGTAAAAAGATTTACATGATTGGTGAGTGACGTTATTTGAATGACTGAATATTTTATGAATTTTTTTGTAATTTTTAAAATCAGTTTTCAAATTTTTTTTTTACTGCAAACCTTTTTTTAATTACTCTTAAAATTATGCTATTTACTTCAAATTATACTATTTTATTTTATTTTTTTACTTATTTTTTAATTTTTAATTTTATTTATTATTTATTTATATACACTTTTATTTCTTTTTTCACTTCTGATAAATAGTCAATGCTATTTTTTTCAAGTTGAGTATGTTGCCTTTGTTAAAAAAATCGTTCGAATTAAATAGATAAGCAACGACAGTATCGGAAGATATGCCAACTCAAGCTGCAAGCTCAACAACAGCAGCAACAACTGCCACCAGCGGGTACATCCTATCCTAGATCCAGGAGGCGCGTACGTCCTTATCCAAATGTAGAGAATGTAATACCAAATCCGAGTCCATCCGAGATGAGAGCTTATGAGAATGTATTTGAGTATTTGGGAAGTTTGTCATTAGAAGAATCTGAAAATAACTTGTTATAAAATCTTCGAAAGATAAATATAATACAGAAAAGAGTTAAACATTTCAATTTATTTCATTTCATTCCAACGTAAGATCTAGTGTGTCTCATTCAGTTCTAAATATTTATATTGAATGGGATCGTACTTATGGATCTGGTACTGCGCTAAATTCTGTATAAAGTGATAAGCAGGGAGTACACACTCTTGCATAAGCATATGCATAAGAAATTTGATCGATTGAATTTCTTATGCATATGTTTATAGACCAATTAAGATTCTCATGTTTACGCTTATGCGCCTATGCAAGAGTGTGTGCTCCTCGTTATACAATGAGTAATCGGTGAGTCAGTGGAGTTGGCCAATAGCCAACTTTTACGACACCGACTACCGATTTGCTTACGAGTGACTAATCAAACGCTTCACACGTTTGAAGCGAGACGCGAGGATCTACATGAAGCTAGCCGACAAAAATTATAAAATATGATTATTTTTATTTTTTCTAAATATATTTCGTTTGTGATCGATTGTGAGTCTGTTTTTAACGTTTGTGACAAATTAGGTTTTTTGTAATTAATAATTTTTTTTAATCGTGAAGTTAGCCGACACTTTTTGGTAATAAACAGATTTTGTAATAACTAACAATTGTAATCGATAGGAAATCATTTGTGATTTACAAATATATCAATATAATTGTTTGTGAGTTGATAATTTCTTTATTATTTGTAAGAAATAATTTTATAATTATAGTACAATTAGCGACTCATTGTAGATAAGAAAAATGGTAGTCACCGATTCAGATTAAGGCCAGATCTACAACAGGTGTAGTAAGCTCTAAGCTTTAAAATTCACCAATCACAGTCAAGAATGAGGGGAATAATTGACTGTGATTGATCAATTTTTTAAGGCTTAGAGCTTACTACATCTATTGTAGACCCGGCCTAAGATTTACGTCTTGCGACTTGAGATTGCCGGCTACCGACTCATTGTAGACCCGGCTTTAGGTTTGTTCGCCTCGCATGCCCCAACATGCTCCTTCTTGCTCCAATGCGCTCGTATTGGTGCGCTCTTCGAATTGAACCAATACGAGCGCATTGAAGTAAAAAAAAGCAAGTTGGGGCATGCGACGCGAACAAACCTATTATATCCCACCGGTGGCGCGAACCGTCAGGGTGTCCAAATAATAAAAGATGCGACGCGCAGAGGCGCAGTCTGCTCTGCTCCCTATTGGTGGAAGCGTATCGCTAGGGTGTCCAAATACGAAAAGATGCGGTCTCGGATTTGGAGCATGTTGATTAAAGTGGAGGCATAAGCAAATGAACCAATCGCCACGAAATATTCTTCCTACGTTAAAAAGACACGATTGCAATTGGTCGATTTGCTCAGCTTGCAGTTGCGATTGAAATTTTTCGTGTCACGACCTTTACGTCTATTTTCTCGCCCTCGTTTCTCACCCTTCCTCCGTCAGTCTCCCTTTTACCCCTTTCGGGCTTCGGGCAGCTAATGCTCCGGCTATAGATTTTATACGTCTATGGAAGAAGATGTGAGACTGATCGCCGACGTATCGACGCCCCACGTGACGACAAGTGGACGATGATCCGCGCAAAATATGCCCGCTAATTCCGAATGCGACGAGTACGCGAAAGCGACAGTTGGAAGTAAATAAATAACGATTTGACACATACCCACGTAACATATATATAATCACGAATAATTGGCTCGTGCACGCAAGGGAAGATCCCCCCTCCCCCGTAGGAATTATCGCTGCGTCACGGATATAATGTTATTGATTGATTTTTTAATGACTCACGCGTCGACAAGCAAACGACAACATCATCGGGACGACTCTACTTGGGATAAGAATATCGCTCTCTTAATGAGACACGCGCTCTTGCTGCTGAGCCTTCTTGTTATTTTCCAATCAACTCCGTCGACTGTCGTCGCGGTTGATACCTTGGGAGACCCATACAAGATCCTAGGTGTGTCAAAATATGCCACCGTACAGGACATTAGAAAGGCGTACAAGCACCTTGTCAAGGAATGGTGAGGAACGACATTCTCAGTTTTTAGATTAGGAGCATCGACAATACTGCATGGACAACATCATCAAATATTTCAATACACAAATACTCTGCATGTTTTTCTTTTAGGCATCCGGATAAAACCGATCATCCTATGGCTGAGGATAAATTTGTAGAAATAACAAAGGCTTACGAGGTATGTCTTGCTTAAAATATTGTTTGACGCAAGAAGCACCGTTGAAGGATTACTATTGATTGTTATATCGCATCATTGTAGCTTCTGACAGATCCGGAAAGAAGGAGGAAATTTGATAATCATGGGATCACAGAGGAAGGTATCCCTAGACAAAGAAGGGACAATAGTCACTTTAACGTTCTTGATCCATTGGAAGAACTATTCACCAGTAATTTTAAGTTTCATTATCAAAGTAGAGACATCACACTGTTCCACAAAATGAGTATCACTTATCGGTTTGTATATTTCTTGTGTGGAATAATTTATGATTATTATCGTGAATATTGTATTAAATATCATATAAATTGCAGATCGTTCGAGAATGTGATAGTACCCAAAACTTATCGTATGCCATATTTAATTTTATTTTATTCCGATTGGTGCTTTGCGTGTCTACAAGTGGAGCCTACTTGGAGACGATTGATTGATGAGTTGGAACCTTTGGGACTTGGCTTGGCTACAGCTCATGCCAAAAAAGAGTCTACCTTGGCAAGAAGACTCGGCATTCACTCGCTTCCATGTCTTATTGTTATTCTAGATGGGCGCACTAGTGTCTACAAAGAATCTTTATTTAGTATTCAAAAAGTTGTTGGTATGCTCTTATTTTTATTTCATGTCATCTGGCACATTACATTTGCTGTCTCTGTTTCATAAATTCTTAGATTTCAAATTAATAAACATTTATTTGCAGAATTTGTACGAAGTAGACTACCATATAAATTAATAAGTGCTATTGATAATACCAATGTAGAACATTTCCTATCGGGATGGACGGATAATAGAATTCGCGCATTGATATTTGAAAAGAGAGACTTTATTCGTTTGCGGTATTTACTGATGTCTTATTACTATAGAGATCGAGTAGCTTTCGGCTTTGTCCAGGTAAACATTAATTTTTATATAGACATATATAAATCCTACACACATTTTTATTATATATTTAAATTTAATATGTTTATTCTTACACAGGTTGGCATATCTGAAACTGAGAACATAACGTCGAAATATAAAATCTCGGGAGAATTAGATACTTTACTGCTTTTCAATGAGAACTCTGAGAAGCCTATGGCATCCATTAGTATGAAGGACATTTCCAGCGAGACCATGCATAATGTTATCGCTAATAATAAGTTTCTTTTATTGCCAAGACTTTCAAATCAAGCTATGCTGGACTCTATATGTCCGCCTGAATGGTTAAGGCCGCAAAAGCGTCTATGCGCCGTTTTAATATCACAACAAAATAGTCCTTTGCACGATATGGCCAGGCACAAATTTAGACAAGTCGCATTGGAGTCTTCTTATAGGTAGATTCTTTATATTAATTAATAATATAAATTTTTACGTTTTGTTTAATATATACATATTTGATCGTAAACAATTCTTTTTAATACATATTTATAATTGTGAAATATACATATGTATTTGTATAATTTTTAAAGCTATTTTTTATATATTAACATCTAATAATAATATAATAATTTATTTAAATATTCATTTCTATATATATTACATTAATAATATAAATTTTTGCTTTTTATTTAATATATACATATTTAATGGTAAAAAATTATTTTTAATGCATATTTATAATGTTTAAATATACATATTTTTATAATTTTTTAAGCTACTTTTTATATATTAACATCTAATAATATTAATATAAAGGTTAATTTCTATATGTGTCTCTCAAATATTTATTTATTAATAATATTGTTTACAGCACGGACCGCGTTAGATACGCATATGTATTCAAAGATACACAATCTGAATTTGTATCGGCATTAGCAGCCGGTGAAGGTAGTCCACTGGAACCTTTATTACACATTGTCATCATCTGGAGACGAGATGCTAATCACTTGAAATACGAATGGCTTCCTCACGGATGGATCGAAGCCACTCAGGATGATCGTATATGGAACGAGACGCGTAGACATTTAGAAAAAACCATACAGAAATTATTACGCGCAACTGAAGCTTTACCTTATGCTGCTGTCGTAGGAGAATTAGCGGATGAACACGCACAGGTGTTTATTTTGATAATATATTATCTTCATATATTTTTCTCATTTGTAAATTGTTACATTCTTTGTATACTGATACATTTCAATGTTTCTTTCTGTCACAGGGTACTGTAGACAGACTGATAGGAAGGGCGTTATTAGCAGTAGATTATATATCTGATAATCTGACAAAAGAACAAATTCTGCCTTTGATATCAGTCCTAGCAACTCTCATGCTAATTGGAGCTGCAGGGTACGGAATGTCATATCTAGTGTGAGTAGAATTAAATTACAATAGTATAATCTAATTTCACTGTTACAACAGAATTAATTATTTGAAAACCAAATGCTAATATTATGAATCATTAACAAACATACTGTGTACATAAAAAATGATAATTAATAATTTTTTCAAACACATACATCAAGCAACATACATTAAAAATAATTAGTTGCTTAAATAACATACTTTGTATTATATTAACTTGTTAATAAATATAAGTATAAATTATATTTTTTATTTTGATATGCAGCAAGCTAGAAGAAGCAAGTGTTCAGGCTGAACGTACTCAATGTAAAGATAATGCCAAATCACTTCCATTGCAACCACAACTACGATTACATGAATTACGTGCGGAGAAGTACAATGGATTAGTTCGACTTTTAAAACCAGGATGCAGAACTGTTATTCTGCTAGTTGATGCTCAAAGTCGATTAAAATTATTGCCAGCTTTTCATAAAGCTGTGTGGCCTTACAGGTATGCTACATTTCTGATCATTTATTATATAACAACTGTATAGCAAATTGTTTTATTTATTAAAATTTAAGATACAATAAACTGGGCAGAAAATATGATTAATATAATAAATTATTTTTTATTCTCAGAAAGAATAAAACACTCATGTTTGCACATATGTCATTAGAAAAGGGTCTTGATTGGTATAAGAAACTATTGTCACTCACTTTATCTGAGCAGAAAGATTTAAACATAAATGCCAAGAATTGTGTTGGAACTGTCCTGTCTTTGAATGGACATCGAAAGTATTTCTGCATGTATCATGCTAAACATCCAGAATGTATAAAGAATAAAGGCTCTAAGGTATGTATGAATACTTCAACAACTAGTCATTAAAAATTATTAATACATATTATTATATACAGCGTATTGAAAAGATGACCAAACAGCTTGCCCAAACACCGGAAGATCCGGAGGCTGGCGCTTTTATTGGTTTCGACAGTTCTAACGATTCCGATTTGTCTCAAGATGAGGTATATAATAAAAAATACATGACTCTGATTTTTAACAATTTTTTCGACAATAATTTCATTTATATATGTTTCTGTAGGGTGGAAACAACGTTTTATATCAGGACAATCTTTTAGATGGCTTACCGATGTGGCTCGATAGATTATTCGAAGGATTAACACATCGTTATTATATAAATTATTGGCCCGAGTTCACTGCCAAGTAAAGAAAAAGTGAGATAAAACGGTTCTTTTTTTATGTGTAAAGAAAATTATGTCACCTAGGGACACATATCTTGGAAAACATGCTTTCTACTTTTGTAATACTAGCAGGTATTTGTAAATTTGGCAGCTTGGTAATGTTACTTTAGTCGTTGCTTGTTTATAATTTAATTAACTACATGTTTCACACAATTATTTAATTTTGGCAAAAACACAGATGTCTAAACTAAACAGATATGGGCGAAAAACGATTTCTATCAGATCTATTTTTTATTATTTTTTTAATAAAGTTTTTTTACAAATAAGTTCAAATACGTTGAGAGATTCTGTATATATATATATATAATTATAATTTATTATTATTTTTATATATATATAATTATATATTTATATTATTCAGTATTATTTATAAAACTATATTTTAATAGATATATTTTGAATGTTTATAGGTGTATAATATATTTGACTCTTCTTTTTTTTTGTAAATTTTGTTTTACATAGAAAAGAATATAAGAATCTTAATTAATTAACCAAAGAGGAATAATATGTGATGATAAAAGAAATATATCAATAAGATACTATCGATTTGATGAATCATATTTATTTATTTATATATCATTTCATGAATATATGTCAAAAATAGAAGTATTGGAGGTATCATCGTACTAATATATTTAAAAACATCTACTCAATAAAATTATATTTGTTTATTGTGCTCGATTGCCGAGCTTAGTTTATTACAATTCACATTCAATACAATAACATACTATCTCTAAAGTCATAAAATAGAGATATAACCAAGTGGAAAAAATAGATGCAGTGATGTAAAATGAGAGGCAGAACTGATAGTAGAAGTTTTTCTTATCTAATTAAACAAAAAAATAAAAATTTTCAAAACGAGGTTTAAAATGTTATTTTGAAAAACTGCAAGATATTACTTAAATTCTAGAAGAATGTTATATGTATATAAAATTAAGAAGTGGCCAAAAATTATTGAAATCAAAAATAATATGCAAGAAGAGAGTCCCTAGGTTTCACACAATCTTCTCTACATCTATATTCTATATAAAAATGATAAAAGAGTAAGGTTTATCTAGTCAACACAGAATATTGCCATCAGAATATACTGTAATTTGAATGAATGCAACCCTATATAAAGACAAAACATATTCATTATTTATTCTAAGTATTGTTTATAAATCTATTTACTGTTTCTTGCATTTTAATGTTTTTAGATTGGTCTTTAAGTATTGTTAAAAAAAGTCTACTATAAAAAAGTTATATAGCAAAGAAAGGAATATATATTATCACCAGATAGGCTCGATCTGGACATAGGTCAACATTTTCTATATACTACTTCGTCTGTTCCTATAACTATCAAAATACTCTTTTTCCTCGAAATTGCTTGTAATTATCTAGTCAAAACATTACTGAGAATTTAGCGGTATTTATATTGCGCAGTACAAGTAAATAGAATATTTATATTTCCGCAGATAGGATAACAGAATCGTGATCGATCTATCGCGACTCTCTTTACGTTCGAAAATATTAATTTTACATATAGTAATGATCGCTACTTTTAATGTCGTAAATAAAAAAATCTGAATAAGTCCGTATGTTTACATACCCTCTAAGAACTCGTATCTCTATCGCTTGTTCATAATGTGTTTATTATGATGTTCTCTTATTGAATACATTTTTTCTCGAATCCGAATATATATTAATAGTACATATCTCTACTTGCAGGATTTATATTTTATCTATATAGAGTTATCCTAAAATCGATAATCGTAAAATCAAAACATATATTAGTGTGAGAATATATATGTAAGAAAAGAGATAATTGCCCTTATCAAGATTTATATACGTCCATTTTATTTCGAATTATTCTACTTTTGTGTTCACATTTATATCATTAGTTATTCAGTATTATTTAAATAATACACATATAGTTAATATGTATTATTCTTCATAATATATATAGTTCTATACAATATTATTTAAATAATAAATATTCAACCAAATAATTTGTTTTAATAAAATTCGCTCGCTGATGTTCACTTTTTTCGGACTTTTTTTTGCAAAAATAACAAGTATAAATATTTCGTATTATAAGATATATGCCTGCTATGAGAAGCTATTAGAAAGTACATTGAATACATATTATAGAAATATGAGATATCGTGTTACACGAGATAATGCTGTTAAACGTTATATGCGTTAACTCAATTGTTTATACTTTATATCCTTATATGATGATTAAAATCGATGAAATAAACACGTACGGTTTAATAACTTCTACCCTAATGATATTAATCTCACTCACATTGTTTTGTACAATTTTTACAAAAAAGATTTAAGATTAAAGATTTACATTTAAGTAGACATTTTGCTCTCTTAGATACAGTATTATTAATTTTGCGATGCTTATAATATTTTATATTTCTTTTCAATATTATGTAATTATGGTTTCAAATTAGTTTTTCAAAATTATCTGTATTAATATGCATAATATATCTTTCTCAATAACTATGCACTCAATCATTTAATTTATGAATAATTTTATTGTATCTAGAAATTAGGATAAAATCGTCTAAAAGGAGAATAAAATGAAGTTATATAGTCATATGTCACATTGATGATTTATTTCGTTAAAGAACATTGTTTTTGTTGCAATTCTGGAAATACTTCGTACATTAATACTTCAAATATATCCTGTAAAAATATTCATAAGATAGAAAATAAGAAATCTATACGCATATATTTAATGTAAGAATCGATCGACTTACATAAAATAATTGTTTGTTCAGATTCACATTCTGTAGAGAATCGAAAACTTTAGTCGCGCCACGTTGAGCACTCTGCGCTCCAACCAGATTTGTCAATACTTCAGGTACGTTATTAAGAAATTGCCTGCGTGCTTCGCCTCGCGTTTTTAGCTTCTCCTCATCAGTTCGGAGAATCGTCTCGGACACAAGTTGACCATTCGGCCACCATGATTTCATGAACAATTGTATGTAGTAATGAAGCATCGGCTCAGAAAACACCCAAGCTACAATATCTCTGATTTGTCTGTGAATCAAATGAAAATGTTTTATGACAAATATTGCTTTATAATAATTCAAGCATAATAATTAAAATTTAATCTTTCTCTGTTCATAAAATATTAAAAAAATAAAATATTTCAGTCTTATTCTGTATATAAAATTTAGTTTTACTTAATATAAACATTATTTGTTTTGTATACTTCACCTATTTATGGTGCGTCCATAAGTAATTTGTACAAAGGTAATGAGGGATCGCCTAAGCCAACGAAATACTCCTCGCAAATCAAAAACTTCTCCTAAAAGCGTGTACAATGGTTCAGCGATCGCATCCTTGCTAGCATTTAGATAGCTATCCGTGCTGGTACGGCCTGTCTCATTGTCATCCAACAACAACGAATAATCCTCTTCATCTTCTTTATCGCGTAGCTCGTGACTACCGACAGATCTGTAATAGAAATTTACTTACATGAGCAAATAAATAATTTAATTAATAATTATGTAACAAATTTAATGATCCATACGTTTTGAATAGCATTGACAAAAAGCGATATTTTTGGGAGATGGTGCCACGGCTTTAAGATGCTCCGAACTTGGACTAAGAAAGGAGTATAATGCCTCGCTTTGATTAAGTCTTTCATCCTCCAACACAAACTGCAAGAATTAATAAACAATGAATAGTATCAGTGTGTTTCTTTAGTATTTTGTAACTAAAGAGAATGTAAGTTGTGTTAAGTTACATTCAAATATTTTTGTATCTGCATCTTAGCCTTGTCGAGAGTGCTCTTATCAGATTTCCCGAAAAATTTTAAAGGCTGCGATGGCAAGTCCAAATTTTTAACATCAGAACATAACTGACGTAGCTTTCTATGGAGATCTTGAAAGTCTTGTAGTTTTCTTAACACCACCCATCCACTGGATATACTCTCGTCGTTGTTCTCATCTTCCGCCATATGGACAACCAAGACAAATTGCGGAGGATCCCCGTTATCAGGCATCTACTCAAGGCATAAAACTATTCTGTTTAAATACATACGGATAAAAAAGTTAGACAGAATCATACTTCTGCGTTTTGCACGTCGGCTCTCCAACGACCTAAATGCTCAGCCCACATTTCTGTATGATTTAAATGCGCTTCCAATTGTCGTTTTTCGCCTTGCAGCCATTCGACCTCTTTCGCCAATATGCTCAGTACTTTGCTTTCAGGTTTGAGGGAAGATTTAAGCGCCTGTAAAGCTTGCATTTTATTGTTCAATTTCTCTTGAAGTTGATCCAGTTTGCTGCGAGCGTAATTCGATCGTTCACCAACGAGCAAAGTTGAAGAGTCTGATGTACCAACGATTCCATGATCTTCAGCTAAACCTAACATATGATATAAAAGTTTACAATCAATCACATTATAATTTCTCTCTAGATAAAATCTGAAGATCTCTAGATTTTATATATATACTGACCTTCTGCTCTTTCATTGAGTAACGCTTCCTGCATGTTCTTATATTGTTCACTAACAAGGAACGATGGATAATATTTGTCTTGGAGCGTTTTGACGACGCTATCTTGAACTTCGTAAAAAATACTAGGTCCAGTATCGCCCAACAGAAATGCTTCCATTCGCTTTCGGACATTCTTATCCACTTTAATCTCGGCGGTGGGTGATCTGATATAAGTATAAAAAATTTCAGCTCCCAATTGATGCCAATTGGATCGATCTGTAGTGCGTAATTCTTGCACTGCCGCCCAGTAACCGATCAATCCTTGACTAGCGACCTGTTCTAAAAATTGAGATAAATATCGTCGACCAGTCACATTGTCCAGAATTGCTTGCAGCGGAAGTATCCTGCCTTCTGCGATTTCTGCGGCATCGCAGATCTCCATATCCTAAAAGACATTAAGATATGCATATATATATATATTAAAATAATATTAATATGGAATTCGCGTGAGGGATATATTTCTATGCAACCTGTTGAGGATATCCATCCCATCCCAATGTTTGCATGTGACATTCGCATGTGTTCTTGGCGTACGTCAGCTGATTGATGTATCTTTTTAGTTTTCTCGCTCGAATAGCATCGGAATTTCCGAGCGTGTTATTCTCTGGATCTAAGCCCTGAGCTCGTTTAACGTTCTGCATCGTGGTAGCTTGCATGATCTCGGTAACAATGTTATATCTAATATGTTTGAGAACTTCTAAATCCTTAGTACTCTTGATCATACGAATAAAGTCCTCGAAGGATTCTGCATATTCATACGTTTTCCTGTGCATCGCTTCGGCGAGTTGCTGCTGATCAATATACGTTAAGATCTTTTGATTGATGTAATCAGGATCCGTGATTAAATCTATCGCCGGTTTCAGGACTGAAATGTAAAAAAAAAGATAAATATATATACATATAATAAATCAATTTTTTTTTCATATAAGAATGTTAATAAAATTACTTTTGCATGTGAGAACTTCTCTTAAAAGAAACTTGATTGGGGAAAGAGAGTAACTGCGTGGTAACAAGAGTAAGATATAAAGTTCACTAATCTTCCTTAAATATTCCAGTTCAGCGACAGGTGACATCAAATGTGCTGACAAAATAAATACAGGATCTTCTCCTTCTGACCTAAGTGCAACAAATAAATGAAATTGTTCTTCTTATCTTATTCCTTACTCTATATATCAGAGAAAGAGGCTTACGAAGCTGCTTGAGCTATCCTGATCTTTTCAAAGTGAAAGGTAAGCTTGTTCACAATATTGCAGACCACTAATTTAGTATGATCAACATGCGACAAGCGATCATGAAGACTCTGTATCGCACCCCATACATCCTGCTTCATATTATTTATCAAATGTTCTGAACCAAAGGCCAGATCATTCAACCAATAACCGACAAAGTCCTGAAAGACTAGATCCAAAAGATTCTGTAAGGCACCATCAACTAAACGAGTAAAAATCACAGGATAACGCATATGCTTTTTGCTGGTGGCTGATCTAGGCTCGTATCCTTTCTATAAAAAAAAAAAAAAAAACAATCAGGGACAAAGGATAATAATAATATTGTATCACCATACCATTGTATTACTATATCAATTGTCACTTGAAAAATATATATACCATTAGCATGTTATGGAAGGCATCCATCTCAGCCATAACTTTAATGGAACCAGAGCCAGTCTGGTGCTTGGGGGACAGAGCTATGTTAATCATTATCATAATTAACGGGCCAACAAGCAGGCAGGAACAAGTCAATATAATATAAAGAAAACAACACTGAACGCAGGTCCAGCCCGTAATAATTCCCAGGCTCATTACGGCTAATGACATAAAGCAAATGACAACGGGGGAGACCATGTTTCTTTTTAATAATAAACTCTTTAATAATAATAATAAATTCGATAATAATAATTTACAGCGAGACAATAATATTTATATCCGTAAAGATATATTCCCAATAATACTCTTTATTCTTGCCGCGTTAATAACACAAAACAATACCGAGTGCCTCGCCATTTTTAAATGCCGGTGATATATTCATAGAAATAAAATATATATAGATAACCGTCTATTCTGAAAAAATTCATCAAAATGGCTGCCAGAAAACTAATCCAGAAAATAGCCAATCAGAAACGCCTATATACCTTCAACATTTTCTACATATTTTGCTCATCTTAAATTTTATTTAATCTATGCCCATAGTCAAACATCTATGAATGCTCGCCTGTGATTGGTCGGATTTGTTTAGCCGATTTTACGAAAATTATGGAAAATTTTTCGTAAGCATATGCAATAATTTGACGTGACATTTTTCTCAATGGCCTCGTAAAATTTCCTTTTTTCTATTAACTATTTTTTTTCAATTTTGCAAAATATAAAAAAAACATGAAGTTTCCCATCTGTAAATTCTTCAGAGCCGGCACGTCATGACTGAAGATCTTTTGGCGTCTGGGTTGGAGACGCGAATATAGCCGACATGGTTTCTGTGCGCTGTGAACCCCGATAGATTTGGCTCCTATTGATTGCGCGACAGTGTGTGCACATTCTTCCGAGTAAATCGTCGCATAGCGATTTTTTCGTGTTCTTCGCGAACGCTTTCAAGAGCGATTCACGGCGATCGGTGACGTGCTGCGAGAAAAGCTACGCCAAGCGGGAACGAGTGAGTAGTGTAGCGAGAAAATCCTTTCATCCTCTGACGTGCCCGACAGCGGCACAAGCCGCCGTTTGTGTTTATCTCGGTTTCTATTGATAATTTTTCTTGACAAATGACGCCTCGAGCCGTTTCGTGCCGCGAAACGACTCTAAATAGCGGAATTATCGTACAAAGTGCTCCCTCCTCGGCGATAACAGTTCATTTGCATACGGCTTTCTCACGGAGATAAAAATGCCGCCATAGCGTTGTTGTGATCGTATGTCATATATCTTCGTTCAAGTTCGTGGGAATTATTTCAGCTTGTTTGTTAAGATTGGGAAACGCATTTGTTTCACTTAACTTAGCGAAGTACGAATATCGGTTCTGCGATTAAAATGTAAAGTATTTTTTGGGGTAATTTTGGAAAATTTATTGAAATATGTATTATTTATAAAGACAATAATTGTTTCTTAGCTCTATAATCACAAATGATCACCCTTTCATATTTGTTATTTTACTTAAATAAAAATAAAAAAATCTATATCATCATCTCTATGATCAATGTCAATTATTTTACAAAAATTATAATTAAATGTAATTATTGACTGAATAATTTTAGGAATTGAATTTTTAAAAATGTTTATATTCGAAAAATGAATGTATTACTATATGTGAATAAAATTATTCTATTCTTTAGGGAAGAGCAAGATGACGCCAGAAGGATATACACGTGTTTACGTGGGTGGATTGAATGAGAGCATCAAAAAGGAAGATCTGCAAATGGAGTTTGAAAAGTATGGCAAGTTGAACAAGGTCTGGGTAGCCTTCAATCCGCCAGGCTTTGCCTTTATCGAGTTCTTCAACATGAACGAGGCTGAATTAGCATGCTGCAATATGAATGGCATGGAAATCATGGGTGCAAAATTAAGAGTAGAGATTTCACGGGGTAGAGGTCGTGGCGGCGGGAGGGGTGGAGGTTCAGGTGGTTTCAGAGGAAATCGGGGAGTCGGTAGTAGGGAATTCGGTTCTCGAGGCGGTAATTCCGTGGGTTATAGAGGCAATACCTATGCAGATTACGGAGGCAGTTATTATGCAGGCAGGAGTGGCACAAATAGAGGCAGAGGCCGTTACGGAGAAGACTATATGTTCAATCGCAGCAGTGGGTATGTTACGCGAGACGGATATACGCAAGATGTCTATAGTGGTAGTAGCGGAGACGCTGGTGCCGACTACTACACCGGGAAGGATACAAGTACAGCGAGGTATCGAAGCCGTTCCCCCGCTGGCCGTGGCAGGTATCACGATACCTATATATCATCTGATTTTAATCTCACATGACAATTATTAGCAGAATTGTTAATTTCATTCTAATGATATTTGAAAATAATGGGTAAATTATATGCCTTGAAAGGCTTCTTACGATGTATCACAATTCTACACAGTGCCATTTTCGCTCACGGATAAATACAGTCTGAAAATATTTGTATTTTCACATTTTAAAAATCGTATCATTTGTAAGAGTTTCAGAAAAGAAAATTTTTTGAAGGAGATGGCATCTTTATGAGGAGAAGTTTAAGAATATTAATAATTATGATAAACAACTATAAGAGAAAAATACACAATCTGTTTACATGGAAATGTATCATAAGTAACAGACAAAAATTTAATTAAATATTCAAAATATTTATCTTGTTCAAGTAGAAAAAGACTGAATTAATTTACAAAAAACAATTGGGATGCAATTCCATATATTATATATAAATAATATTGCTTCATACCTATTATGAATCATAATTAAATGAATTGCAGAGAAATTCTATGAATTATTAAAAAAAAAAAAAAAAAAAAAAAAAAAACATTTCAAGTGCATGAGAGCCCATTGCTATCATTGAATAAATTTCTTTAATTGCATGCATAAAAATATCAAGCTACTATTGGCTCTCGTCTTAATGAGAGTTAAAAGGGAGCAAAAGTAATGTGACATCCTATTTTGCATTTCCATGTTCACAGTCATCGTCATCTACGTGAATGCACATAAAAGAACTACGCTGCGTCTTGCCAATCTGAACTGCGGGTTCGCCGATCAGCCACCCGCCTCGACGACTTCATTTCTGTCCAATCTACACACAGCGACCTGTATATAGACAAGAACTACCATTGCAGTTTGCGCTGTGCAATATTTTCCCTGCATTGTACCACTTCCATGCAACTTGTGGTCGCTGCTGGGATGCTATACTTTCTATGATTAACAGATCCGAGAGTTCCCTTAAATAAAAGCGCTCTTACGCGAAGTGAGAAATGCGATGAAATATAGAATAACGCGGAATACCTTTGAATGATTAATATTTAAAAAAGTAATTAATATAGGGCTGTAATCTATAGGGAATGTAACACTATCTACAATCACCGTTTTATGTTTAGCTGACGCCTTATTGGGTTGTTTTAGATCTCTTTATATATTTTCGACATGCAGAATTTTTGTGGCTTTTGATTTGTGATTATACAGATTTTTCAGTGATTATGCAGAGATTTGCTTATTATATATAATATATGCATTATGTATTACATATTACGTATTATTTATATATATAATAATTTTGCTTATTATATATAATATATGTATTACGTATTACATATTACGTATTATTTACATATATAATAATCTTGATTGCATTAAGAATTATCTTGTAAAGTATTTTCACTGGATTTATTTGGTTTAGCTTTCATCGTTTTCAATTTTTTGAAAGTTTAAGATTATAATATAGCGGTCCATAATCTTGTGAATATCATTCTCGTGTATTTAGATAAAAACGTGTTCTCGCTTACACTCTATGAATAGTAATGAATATAAATGATTTTATATGGGAATTGGAAAGAAGAAATAATAAGTCGCGCGCAATACTAGCCAAATGCAAGTTGCTCGTATATAACAATTAATTTATTGTGCTAATGGATGAAAACAAAACAGTTTTCGTAAAAATTTCGATGCACAAATGAGATCAAAATCTTGTGAAGCAAAAGCGATTGAATTCTACATGATATATCTTCTATATTTTGTTTTTCTGATGTATGTGCAGTACTGCATTTGGAAAGAGACACGTTCGAGCATTTGCTTTTATCATTACAGAAATGCTCGTAAATAAGAAAGTGATAAAGTAATGGTATATATTACCTCCACTGTAAATGATATGGAATTGGAAATTAAGATATTAAATGATTTGCGCTCAGTACTGCCTGCCACCCTGCCTGCCTGTCTGCCTACCTATTTTTTCACAGTTTATCATGACTGGTATTATAATCCGACGTCGTTTTTATTTAATCACTTAAAGCTAATTATTTTGATCAAATATGGTTGCTTATTTAATGGTTTTTACAGGTATTTCAAATTCATATATTATCAAGGTTTACAGGTAAATTTCAGTATTATTAGTTTTATGTTTAATATTATTATATGGTTACTTTTTTTTAAAATAATGCTGATTTTTTTATTTTAATTTTTTTTATTATAAAAAGTTTTTATGCACACACAAGCCTTTAGTGTGTGTACGTTTCATCATGCTTGAGTTGTAAAAGAAAAGATGAAGAATATGAAAAAAAAGAGAAGATATAGAAGAAAAAAGAATAAATGATATTTAACGGTTCTGATCTCTTTGCTGTCATCATTGAATTATAACATTAAAAACGAAAAATCGTATGAATCTTTGTTTTGTTAAATAATCTATCGAAATAAATATTTTAAATAATATTTTTTAACTCTGCATTTAATAGTTTGAATTGATAAAATACATTAAACTATCTTCTCGATTTGTAAATTAATATAGCTGTAAATTTTGCTTATATATATATATATATACATATATAGTTGTCATTAAATCTATTTTCATTAAAAATGTAAAACGCATGGAAAATAAATTATATGTGCATTAACTAATACAAGATAACAAAAAGGAGAGGTTTTGTCATCTTATCAATTGATACAATTGAATGCAAGTGTATAAAAAAAATTATTTTGCCATATTTTATCAAAAAATTCAAATAATTTCTGAATAATTAATTTATTGTTTCTGACGTCATAATATGTTTTTGGAAAATCTTAATTTAAAATTGAAATTTTTTTTCTCTCTTTTGTAAAATGATATATATAATACATTAAATTCTTAATGTTCTATTAAAAAAAATAATAATATGTAAGGAAAAAGGGAGATTCTTATTTTAATTTTTAAAATAATTTTTAACAACAAATAACGTTTAAAGATTAATAAGAAGTGATAAATTAAGTATTTTTAAAGCAGCAACGCATTTCCGGTACTGTGTCGCGTTTCTTTCATTTGCGAATGATGTATATATGAGCTTTCAAAAGTGAGAAAGTTCTATATATGAGAATATTGTCCCATATATAACAAATGGTTTTTAATTAAACATATTGAGACTAAAAGCTTAATACTTCCATCAAATTTTTAATGAAGAGGACATTCTCGAAATTTACATTTGTTATTTCAATCCCAATACATAATTAAGACACAAGTAAGTTTATTGTAACTTAACAATAAACAAATATATATTTATGTGTTTCAACAAAAGAATTTAGCATTACAACATTGATTGCATAATTCTTTAACTTTAAAAATTAAAACTTTGAATTTTTATACACAATTTCTATAAATAAAAAATTAGTTGATTAGAATGTAATTAAATTAGAGATTGAACATTTATATTATAAATACGTATTTTTTATGTTAAAGTAAATTTTAATTGTTAATATTAAGTAATATTTTGATATTTAATTCTTAATGTTCTGCTAATTGTGCTCTTTAAATTTATTTAAAATTAAACAAAATTATATTGATTTTATTTTATATTAAATTTAATTTACTTTATAATATATTTTAATTTTTTTATTAGTACTTTAAAATATATTTTATACAATATTTCATTTATATATATAACATCAAAATAAAGTATTATAAAATTATCTAATGTACAATATATAATATTTATAATAGAATATTATAAAAATTATATTAATTATCACAACAAATATATACATGTAGTTATATTTCACTGCTTATTTTTAATAGATGTGTTCCATACAATATTATTTAACATTATATGACTGTATTTTGAATAATGACCATTGGAATTTGAAGATTTTATATGTTTTTATGTGGAATGATACAAACTTAATTATTTATTATATTTTTATATATTTCAATTTTTTATATGTTCGATATTTATTTTATCTTATAGAAGCTAAAAGATTAGATCTTCGATCAGTATTCTGAAATAACGCTCGAATCAGTTGTTTAACTTGTGGAGCAGTGAACTCCTGTGCCAATATTCCTTTCCCATTTCCCCATCTAATTTCGATTTCTTTCAATGATGCACCAAGTATCTTAATCAGTTCCAAAAATTTCTCCCATTTTTGTACGTGCTGTTGTATTTGTTGATCCTATGAATATGTTTGCTTAATTAAACAAAATTAACATTCTCATTTAATATCCGCAGATAGGGGAAGTAGGCTAATCTTTTAATCTATGTATTTTTTGACAATTTTTTGCTAATTATGGTCTACAAATCTGAGATCGAAAAGTTCAATAAACAATATTTGAAAAAAAATCTATTTCCACATCTTATTCTCAATTAGCCTCCTTTTCCTTTCTATGGATATTCAATATCAGAGCTACTTCTACTTTATCTTTAATCTTATTTAACTTTAACGTTTAACTTTTACAGGGACCAGTTGGAATACTACTACCTTGAACAAGTTTTTATTTTAAATGTACTTTCACGATAGTAAACAACAAAATTTTTTAAATATTTTTCTTTCTTTTTTCTTGTAAATTTTCTTTGTATCTTTATACTATAACTTGTTATGTTCATTATACTTACAGGAAATATCTGTGGTGTTCGTTTTACAACCATATTGAATAAAATTACCAATTCTGTCGCTACATCAGCTGGAATATCTTCAACAGTTATAACCTTTGTCACCAAATCGTCAATCATAGAATTCGTTATACATCCTGTGATATTAATATAAGAGATTAAAAAATATGTATGTTGTTGAAATATAATAAAACGAAAAATTCACTAACCAACAGCTTTGCAATATATATTTATAGGTAATACTTCTATCCAAACAGTCTTCAATAATTCCAATTGTCTGATGCATTGTCTTAATGCACGTTCAGTACTAGGATGTAACTCAGATGTTTGCCCCAATCCCGAAAAACCTATTCATAAATATAAAATACTTTTGTTACATTTGTTTAAATTTTTCATGTATAGCTAATAAGTTAATTATAAACCTGAGTCCTTGATGATGTCAAAGATTATATTTTTTTGATATTTCATGTGTTCTAAAAAATACTGCGAACCTACTTCTCGGAATATTGTGACTTGATCCGAGAATGTTAAATTCAATTTGTGTAGATTTTTTGGGACTTTGTCTCTATATTCGTGTGCCAAAGTAAGTAGATGATGAGCAAGATACATACAATTATTATGAAATAGAGCTAAAAATAATTATATATTTTTATTCATAATAAAATTAGTTTATTTTGTTATGTAACTTTCTTACCAACTTGCTGTGGTATTGTTTCTAAAAATTTTTTATGATGTTCTGGCACTAAACCAACATACATTTCAAATATATTTCTGCATGTATAAAATAATCTAACTGCGCACGCATCTGAACTATTGCAAGCCTCTTTTAATGCTTTCCTTGTTAATTCCAGTATTTCTTGTGCACTTTTGCTAAAATGCATTTAATAATAATTATATTAAATTTTTTGTATAAGATTATATTGTGCTAGAAAAAAATTAGCAGAATTTATAGAATTAATAAATTCAACAATACATAGAATTATGACAAGTAAGAAATCATACAAATATGAATCAGAGATTTTTAATTAATTGTAATGTACCTGATTTGACACTTTGGTAAATGAAACGACATATCTCTTAACGTTTTTTCATTCAATATATAATTATTTTCGAATGTTTTATCCATAAGCATAGGTGATTCCTACAAAAAAGAATAATTAAAATTAGATAAAATCAGATACTTTACTATTTTTGTAATAAAATAAATACCTGTGGCTCATATCGAACAGAATCATGTAGGTCTTTCTTCATTATATTTCTACCTTTGACTAATAATTCTTGACACATTCTATCGATAAAAAGTTTGTCAATATTGTTTGTGTATTCTGATAAAAAGAGCTGATCTTTAGAAAGAAATTCTGAAATTTTACATTGTTAAATTATTGGGTATTATAAAACAAATTATTTTAACTCGAAAAATAAATATAAATACCAATTTGTACTAAGTAATCTTGAAATTCATTAATTGCTTCTACAACAGGCTCAAAATTCTTTAGATTTGCATTAGAAGTTGGAATGATGTATGAGATACAATCTGTTGTTAAAGAATGTGATAATTGCTTCAGTAGATGTGGTTGCATTCTTTTCAGAAAAGTTTCGTTATCCATAATTGTCAGATTTAGGTGTTGATGAAGAAATTTAAAGAGCAACTTTAAATTGCACAGTACACTTTTAAAACATGGCATCTTTTTTTTCTCCAATATTTCGATGGTAAAAACTTTCTCTTCGATAACATACACTGAACAGTGATCATGAATGATAGGATTAATTATATGATTTATTAAATTCATTAAAAATGTTTGCAAGAAGTTTTCAAGATTATTAATGATATACAATCCTTGTATTAGTTCCTGTATATTATCATATTCACTTTTAATAATAAGAGAAGTAACCATTTTGCCATCTTTCATGTCATTATTCCAACAAATGCAATCATGTAAGAGTCTGGACACTTCTATCGAATACAAGCGGAAGAGATTGCAATATTCATCTTTGATGGTCGCATATATTTCAAGATCTTGCAGAAAACTATGAGGATTATCCAATAAAGATTGCATTTGCGATAGAGTCTTTGCAGTATCAATATATCGTTTTTCTTCTTGCATCTCTTTTATAGATTTTATATATTCGTGTAAGTTTATCAACTGATGGGATAATTTCAAACTAATGTTAGACTCTTTTAATTTTTGAGAGAGAGTTTTCAATTCTTTTATCAAACCAGGTAATTCTATTTTGACCTATAATAAAAGCAATGAAATTTCAATTCATTAAACTTGTTTTATACATTTTATTAATTATAGTAGATACACATTAAATATACTGATTATATACCTGATTATTTATCCTGCTTTGCAAAATGTCCATCTCTTGCAATAGCATCTCAATCCTTTTTACTAAATACACATCTCTTTTCAATTTTGCATTGAATTCAAAAGAATCGTCATCCATAAAATCTTTAACTTCATATTCTAATTTTGTTATTTGTTTCTGTATTTCGGCAATATTTTTTTGAAAATTTACCATTTCAAGTTTTCCTGCGTGGAAAAATATTATTTCACAATTACAACAGTATACTTATCTTTATAAATAATATTTTACAATTGCTACTATATATATTTATTAATATTATAAATAATATAAATATTATAATCATAGTTTGTTTGACCATGTATAATTTTTCTCAAAATAAAAAAAATTATAAATGTAATATAAAAAATATATAATTGCTAAAGACTTGATTGTTTACACATTTGGAGGAATAATTATCATAATTCTAATGTTTTAAACTTTAATGCTATAACGTTATTCTAAATATTATATTGTATTAAGTAATAGAAGTTGTTTTTATTTGTTCAAAAAATGCTACAAAATTATTTTTATTTTTATTAATTTAGAAAATATAATTAAAATTTAATATTTATAAAATTTTTAGAAATTGTTACATATTATATATACATGTGACATTTCTAATAAAAATACAGAGTGCACTAATGACATTTTCACAGGTTTTAGCAATTTATTTAAATACACACACCATTACATGTAAGCATTACCTGCTGTAGTCAGCACATCTGCTACGAACGATGTCATATTTGATATATGAGAAATTTGATACAAATGTCAAATATCAAGAACTATAGGTTTTATGAATATGGTCTGATATATAAATTACAATATATTTTTTGTCTTATAAAAAGGAGCTGTCAATTCTTCTCAGCATCAGCTGATAGGCTATAGAACACTAGACCATAATGTAAATTGTAAATATATAATATCATAATGTATAATATATAATTATATTTGCATCATGCCTCCACCATAACCAAAATGCTCCGAATCGTGGAATCCTCGCACACATGCGCAGTAGCGAATAATAGGCTTATGTGTACATGAATGTCTCTAGCAGAGAAAAATAATGTATCTAGTGGAGAACGCTTGGAACAATTCTATTCATCGATTCAATTCGTTTTATTTATTAATTTTATTTATTTATTTATTTATTTAATGCTGCTTTGAATTTGCAATCACTAATTAATGGCCAATAATAGGGTTAAAATGCTTTGATACGCGGTTTCTAGTACTCCTGAAAATTTATTTCTGAATTATTAGGAGAATATATTTTGCGAAGAAGTCGATAATTCAGTTCCCAAACGATATATCTTGGAAAATTTACTTTTGAATGACTAGGAGAATATAATTCGCAAAGAGATATGCGACCGATCCGGGAGCTCTAAGCCTGAGAGATCGATGGATGTTGATTGGCTGGATCATGAGCAATAGTAGCGGGGGGCGTGGTTTGATGGGCCAATCACAAGCAGAATCGTTTTCTATTGGTTCGCAATTCAACCAATCAGGATGAGATTTCAAATGCCCCCTCCATCCTACCACCAAATCGGTCACTTACCTCTTTGCGAAATATATTCTCCTAGTCATTCAAAAATCAATTTTCCCACATATATCGCTCGTGAACTGAATTATCGACTTCCTCGCAAAATATAATTTCCTAATAATTCAAAATAAATTTTCGAGAGTATTAGAAGAGTGTATCATTACACTTTACTGTTACTGACTATATTTGTCTGAATAGATTTTCCTCGTAAATTTCGCCAGTTTATAATTAAACGAATTTTGGTGATGAAATTGCAAATTCAAAGCAGTAAATTAATAAATAAAACGAACTAAATCGATGAATCGAAATTGTTCCAGACAATAAGATGGCTGCATCTTGAAATTATTTATTATTATTAAATATTTATTAATTATTAATAAATATTAATAATTTTAATAAATATAAATATCAAAAATGAATTTTCGAGAATTTTAGAAGAAGCGTATCATTACACTTCAACTTCCGGTTTAACTCAGGATTACCAACTCTGAAAAATAAATTTATAATCTATATGGTGTCCTTTGACTATAGTCTATAGTCTATGGTAAAAGATTAGAGTATCATAAAGAGAATATCATACATGTGCACATATATTTTTATTTGTGTACATGTTTGATGCGTTATAATAATCAATTTATATTGTATATTTAACCAAAGGAAAGAAAGACAATTATTTTATAAAATTATTAAATATTTACCGAGTAAGTATACCAAAGAAATACCGGTATATGGCGAGTGTTATTGAAGATTAAAGTGTATAAAGCATTACACAACGTTGCACAATTAACAAATTTGATATTGTATATACAGTGTAAAGAATTTTAATTAACGTGTATGTGTGTGTATCAACGACAACAATCACGATTTTACTTGATATCATTTTAAACGCTATATATATATATATATATATATATATATATATATATATATATATATATATATATATATATATATATATATATATATATATATATATATATATATAAACGAATAACCACAAATTTTTTGTGTATTGATGTACATCTATTAATATTGAATTCCTGTACATTGGAAGTGGTTTAAACATGCCGTGCTGGTACTATGAGAAGAAAGAGCTACGCAATACACCCTCTATTCAGGATGGTATTGATTATGAGACGGAATGTAGATATCGAAAAGAAGGTGCACGCTTCATAATTGACACTGGCACAAAGATGGATTTAGGTTACAATACAATGGCAACGGGTGTCGTTTATTTCCATCGATTCTACATGTTCCATTCATTTAAAAATTTTCCACGATATGTAAGTACATATACAATGTATATACACATATATATGTTTAATCTTAAAATATTGTATTGTGTATTAATTGCATTACTATGGTACACAGGTAACAGCTTGTTGCTGTTTACTCTTAGCTGGGAAAGTTGAAGAAACTCCAAAAAAATGCAAGGATATTATACGAACAGCTAAGACTTTAGTGTCCGAACAAAAGTTTATGACATTTGGAGAAGATCCTAAAGTAAGTTATTTAGCAAAAAAATATTCCACTGTATCAGAAAGCATATGTAATGTATATAAAATTATAAATATAGTATAATAGTATCACTAATGTATACTATTTGTTGACAGGAAGAAGTCTTGACTTTAGAAAGAATTTTATTGCAAACTATTAAATTTGATCTGCAAGTTGAACACCCATATAGCTATTTATTGAAATATGCAAAGTGTCTTAAAGGTAATCTACATTGTACATATTATATTATAGAATTACAAAATTTGTATTAATAATAAATCTTGTTAATTAAATTATGGATATTTCTAAAACAATTTTTATTTCAATTGTAGGAGATAAAAACAAACTGCAAAAAATGGTTCAAATGGCTTGGACGTTTGTTAATGATAGGTATGTAATAACTTTATAATGTATGAATTATTAATCACACACACACAGTAGTTTGAAGATTAATTTTTATTATTTTTTGTTTAGTTTATGTACCACTCTGTCGCTACAGTGGGAGCCAGAAATAATAGCTGTTGCTCTAATGTACTTGGCAGGAAAGCTAAGTAAATTTGAAGTAGTTGACTGGGTCGGCAGGCAACCAAAGCATTTACGCTGGTGGGATATGTTTGTTGAAGATGTAACTATGGATCTTTTAGAAGGTAAATTTGCAAACTTTTGATCTCAAAATATTTTATATCTTGCTGTTATCTATTATAGTCATATCATAATCTAATATCATGTATATTTTTAGATATTTGTCATCAAGTTTTGGATTTATATTCGCAAGCTAATAATACGAAACCGCCAGATTCACCACCCATGATACCATCCAGCGAGCTATGTAGAGAACGACCCGTTGCTACTACTACCACAGAATCTGCATCTAATACACCAAATGGTAAGTAGTAAATGTAATTATCAAGTTGATAATGTGCATTAACACATATTTAAAAATTTAGAAATTATTGACGATTATGTTATAGTGACGCCTGGAAAATCTTCTAAGATAGAAACGCCAGTTTCTGCAAACGGATGTCCAACCACGGATATTGTGGAGACGATAAAACCAATAGACACTTCAACGGCACATTTTCCCACATATCCAACGAATTTCACAGCATCTAACAATACGAACTATCCGCCGGCGTTTCCACCTACGAACGTTTCGGTTCCACCGCCTCCTGTGAATACAATGAATCATATTGTACCAACAATACATCACATTGGATCCTCTGCTACCATTCGTCCTACGCCACCGCCTGCACCAGCTACTAATCAAACTGCTTTCCAACCATATTCCTATCCAACAAATGCATCATACTTCCCAGCGAATAATCCAATTCCACCAACTGCACCACCACGCAGCTATTATCCACCACAGCCATAACAAAAGGCAATATATCATGCATTCAATAAAAATTGTATCAATTTGAACATCATTATCTTAATTAATAATGAAAAAAAAATTAGCAGAATATAATTAATTTAATTGTAAATTTTGTATATATGTTGTACTTTTATATTTACTGTTATCACACACATGTACTTATAAACTTTTTTTCTACTATAAACAAAATGTTTCCGCTGTAATTTTTTCTGTTCTATCATTGATACATATCAAAGAAAATTAATATTTGATTCATAATATTAAATTTCAAAATTAATATATAGGAAAAAAATGACAAAAATTAATCATTTTACATGTAAAGATTTCCTTTACTAAAGAAATTTTCAGTAGCTTTTGGATGTTGTAGTTTACAATCTATTTCATTAGTCAAAACTTGTAAAAGTGGTTCTGCACATTTAGAATCCAGTACAAAATTGTCAATATATAACATGTATAATTTGGCTGATATGCCTGTAAGTTCAGCATAAGACAAAACTGAAAAAAACAGATAAGTTTCATTAATTCTCATAAAATATTTTTAATATCTAACATATTTTATATATATATTTTAAGTATTAACATAAATACCAACCTCCTGCGCCAACTCCAAATACAATATTTGGTTGTTCTAATCGTTCAATTTTATACTTGGAAACATTTGCATTTTTGGTAGTCAAGATTCTTAAAAATGATGGTGTTTCTGGAATATTTGTACTCTGAAACTGTGATACATGACGGCACACTATTGAAATTGTGCTCTCTGTGTTTAATAATAAGTCAGATATCTGTAAAAAATGTAGATATTCTTTAGTATTAAAATATATACATTATAGCAAACAAATTACTTGCCTGGTTTACAAGCATTCCTGCATATTTTGTATCAAACTGTTGTAAAATTAGACACAGATATATTTGTTTATCAATGTGGTAGATGACAGAAATTTTTTATGATTTTCATTTTCAATGATGCATACTTCTTCTGTATTCTGACATAAGCATTGCTTTACAAAAGCTAAAATAAAATAATTAATAATTAAAAGTATGTCTATGGAATCTAAAATTATATAATGTTAATAATATTGCAAAGAGATTATTACGAATTAATGGCTCTCCCTCTATTACGATAAACTTTTGCATCCGTTCAGGCTTATTTTTTAGCCAGCTAACGTGTAATTTTCTAAAATCGATTGTTTTGTATTATTTTATTTTGTAAGAACATAAAGTATAATCAGGCTGTAATAATAAAACTTTGTCATGAATTCTCAACTTACGGACAGTGTTCTAAATTGTCAACTGGTTCATATTCGTCTTCGTCATCCCAAAATGCTCGTGATGATGGAAATATTACCTCCCCAAAGTGACTAACCATTTTAAATCAAACTATAGAAAAAAAGAAAAATGTAAATATCTAATTATAATTTATATTATTGCTTAATCATAAAAGTTTGTTTTTTTTTCCACGTTATTACGTATTATTAAATGCTTATAGGCTACTGACAAATTAATCAGCACAAATTTTATATATATTTATTTATTCTTTATAGCTGCACTTCGTGTACTTTTTGTTTTTTTCTTCTCTTTTCCTCCAATTTCTAAATATTTATTTATTTCTTTTTTTAGTGTACATACATACACTGGACGTATATACACTTGATCCTAAAAGTGACACATACGCAAATGTTAAAAAATACTTTGCATTTGAGCAGAGAGATCTCTCTGCCCTCTGGTGTACTTTGCTGTTGAACTTAGGGCGCATCCTCACGATATAGCTCGAGCAGCCACAAAGAAAACTATTGGGAGAAACTTATTTAAATTTTAATAATTTGACATTAAAATAAAGTATATTAAATAGATTACAAAAATGTCCAGAGAGGAATACAAAGCTTGATCGTCCAGGTAAATAAAATATCTTTATCATTTTTTTTTAAATAAAATTAGACATTTTTAACAGTACAAGAGATATATCTACACAGACAGATAATTGTAATAATAATGATAATATAATGAAACTGCAAGAGCAAGTTAAATTCCTTGAGAGGATTTATTTTGCAAGAGTTGTGTAGCATTCTTATTCGCGTTTTCAGCGATATTACTAGCAACTAGCAAGAGACGTATTTATAGTAGTGAGAAACCTCTCTGGCCTCTCTCTCATTCAATGAATAAGATATTCTTTATTTATTGGCCTCATTATATATATATATATATATTAATGAGTTTAAAAATATTCTTTTGGCTCGTATTCATTATGTGAAAATAAATGAAAACCTTGAAATATATTTTCTATAGAATGTTTTTTACTAAAATTTTAATTTAAAAAATTTTTAAGAATATATTAACTTTTTACTTTGAAAAACAATAGTAACATATCACATATAGTATGTATATAATCACACTTATTATAGTAATTAAGTGACTATACTAAAAGAATTTTACATTTATCTTGACAATCAAGAAAAAAAGATTTTATTTAATTTACTTTATTTCTTATATATAAAGCGTATAAAATAAAAATATGAAAAATTTATTTTGATGTTTCATACTTCAAATAAGTAAATCGTTACATTGATGTACATATAAATATATATAAATATGTGTATAAATTGTAATAAATACAAAAAGTCAATCTATATATATACAAAATATAATATATATAAATAGAAATGGTATGAGAAAAAGTACTGTCATATAATCATACGGTTTGACGTTGGCGATTGCGATTAAACGTATTTTCTTCATCCTCAGATTCTTGAGTTACAGTCTGACGAACAAACAATTAAATTAAAAACATTGTATCTAGTAAAATTAGTTGATAAGCATAAAATGTATGTATGTATAATGTATATACAATGTATCTCAGATCAGCAAATATTTTTTCAAATTCACACTTCTTTGCGATATATTTTTTACTTCTTGTGATTCGCAAATATTTTATATATTCATACTTCATACATTTTACTTACATAATAAAGTATCGTTCTCAATGCTTGCCGTTTTCTGCGTCTTGCGAGCATTTGATTGTATGCCTGTCTAGCATCCCAAATACTACCCACTTCAATGTCATTTGGTGTCATTATATACAAATGTTGACGAAGACATATCTGTCGATAGTATTTATATATGGCACGAAAGGGAGGGTACAGTAAGTTGGTTCTATAAAGATAACAGAAAGTTCAAACAATTAATTACAAATAAAATAATTTTTACAGATAATCTAGCATAAATTGAAAGAATAAAAAATCTAAAATGACAGTAAAATATTATCAATGTAGCACATATTTAGCACACGCTAAAATTTTATAATTAATTATTGATAATGATCGTTTTCCAAATTTACTTGAATATATTCGATTAAATAAATAATTTAATTAAACAGAATTATAAAAATAATCGATATATTAGAATATAGTACCAGCAAATTTTTGCTAAAATCCAATACATGTCATTAATGAAAAATGTAGCGCTTTTACATCAGCTAAATTTCGAGATTACTGTGCGAATAAAGATATTGTATCAGAAGATAACACATTATCATTATGAAGCATCAAGAATAAATAAAATGAGCGAATAAATCGCAAATTTTTATTTGGAAATTAGCGTTTGCTAAATTAATGATACAAGAAAATAGAAAGCAAAATGTAAAGAAATTTGAATATTTATTAAAATAGAATTTATGATACATGTGCAAAACTTTGATTGGTAGAAATAAAAGGTCTCATTGATACCATGCACAGTAATAACTTTGATTGAGCAAGTTATTCAGCTTAAAAAAGAAAAACTTTGCGTGAATTTTATAATTAAATAATCATTAAAATATATTAAGCATTCATTAGGTAGGAAAATTAGATATGATAAAAACTTTAAAGCTTAAACTTTTGTTGATCTACAAAGGTGATAGAAGCATATCCAGTTTGATTCTGAGATGAATTTGAATTAGATCTAAGACATAGATAAGAAATGTTTAAATCTTCATATCTTTGTAATATAAGTAGAGCAAAATAATTGATTGCGTGATAATTCACAAGAACAAATTTTTTGATGACCAAAATAATAGAATGCAGTATGATAAGACAGGTGCATTAATGAAATAATTATTATATTAAATTAAGAGATTTGAGAAAATTAAAATTTTACATAATTTTTTAATGTATAAGATTAAAAAATATAAGCGTGCATATTATTATATACAAAGAATCAACTTACTTCACATATTTATGGTTAACACCCACAATGATGACGATTAATAGTATGACTGCTATTATTATGTTCTGTATTATAGCTTGTGTTACAAATGTAGTATGTTTTTTCCATATTTTATATAAATCTTGTCTGGTGATATATTGTTTCAGTAGAATATGATGAGTGTCATTTTCATGCTCTATACTTGTAACATTTAATAACATCATATTCTGTACGGTTTTTAATTCTGTAGAATTTTTCGTATTATTTGCGGTGTTTAATTCTATAATACTTTCCGTATCGGTTGCGATATTTAATTCTGTAACATTTTCTCTATTGTAGATAGTACTTAATAATTCCATATCACATATATTTAATACTGTATTGCATTTTGTACTATTTGTTGGTAATGTTTTCACACTTCTCAGTCTTATAATATCTAGAAAAAAATTAGAAGATTTAAAAAATAATTAATAATTCGCAATATATACTTATCATTAATTTTATTGATAGTAAAAATTTATTATATATAAACGTGTGTTTTATTATTGATATAAATTAAGATTATTAATAACAAATTAAGTTCGTTAATAAGTAATATATTAATCAGCAGATCAATTTGTCAGGTACAAAAATTTGTTGTTAGTAAATTAATTTTGTTTATTAATAAATCAAATTTCGAATGATATGAAATATCATCTTACCAGGAAATATTCTTAAGATAATAAAGATGATAATCCACACTTTTTGCATTATAATGAGCAAATGACTTAACAATTTCTTGTAAAAAAAACTTTGAAAGACAACACTTGTAATTTTGTACTTTGCACTTTGTTTTAATTCGATTGCTATTGTTAGTATCGCGATACCAATCAACTATCTGAAATTAAAGATGTAATCATTATATATGTTGAAATTGAATGCATAATAATTTTATAGTTCACATACATTTTTTGCGAATGTTTGGCAAATAAAATAAATTGTCGCTTAAAGAATGTAAATGTTGAATGGAAAAATTATTTCGTAAAAATATTCCTTAAATATATAAATCAATTGAATGTAAACAATAGTATTTGCAAATTTTTCATCTTATTAATGAAAAACTCAAATTTCTATTTTATATTTATAATTTTATATTATATTTTATATTATTTTATGCATTCTTTAGGTCTTTTTATTAGTATATATTTTCAGACAATTAATTATTTTTGTCATAAATATGCATTTTTGGGTTAATTTTTTGATATTTTAATTAATCAATATTATACATATTTATCTCTTGGTATTAAAAAAATGAGATATAATCTCGGTTGCATAAAAAAAAATCAAGTTGTTTATATTTTCTATGAAGCTCAAAAACTTAGTGCACGCGTCATAAATTAATAATAACCCAATAATATAAATACAAAAATAATAATAATAATAGTAGTAAAATGATCAATATATGCAAGATTAAATTTTATCAATATTATTTTACTTTTAAATTTAATTTGCAATTTTAATATTATATTAGTCGATAATTATACTCTTTAAAGATAATCAATTCTTTATCATCGATATTATTCAGGAAAAACAAGTATTTAATTGCAATCTGGATAGAATAATAGTGAGAGACCCGCATCCTTCGACTTATATAAAATGAGAGCAATATCAAAACATTCTTGTAAATACGTGGGAGGTCCTCAGTCTCAAATCGTCACATAAATTCTACTGTGGCTCTATTAGTAACAAAATTACCTTATCCTTAAACATGCTCGTATTAAATTTTGCTTCTACGTCCCGTTTGCACTCTTCATTTTGCCATGGATCTTGAAATGATGCGAAGGTTCGTTCCATAAGCCAGATTTTCTCAAGGTTTGGACAAGGATAAGTCGCTTTTCCGTTTCGCAATCCGATTTGGAAGCTAACTGATTCAGTCCCAAATTTTTTTTAGCCAACAGCCGATACCTGAGTCAAGATTTGGCCCTCTATGTCATCTATTGTTATTGTGTACAAAGCTGATGTCCCGCCGAATTTGCGGCTTCAATCGTTCTGTTCCTGATCAGTATTATATAAGCCTAGAGAACATTGAATAATTGTTTACTTTACATTGTTAATATTTTTAATATATGATTGTTTATGAGATGATTTCATAAGTAAATATTCAAAGAGATAAGATCTCTCTGACAATTCCTTTCTCTTCAAAAGATGTTTGTTCAACAAACGTTGAACTTTAATATATGTATATTTTTAACGAAATTTATTATTATATATACTAGATTATTTTATTAAATTATATAAAATAAAATATAAATTAAAAAAGAAGAAGAGATACAATATGTCGCTAAATATACATTTATAAAATCAAAGTCGCAGCTCAAATAAATAAAATAGCAAGTTTAAATCGCTTAGTCATTTTACGTATGTGATCACATATACTTTATTAGTGTTGACTACACACACATACGGGAAGAGACAGTCTGAAGACAGGTTCTCCTCTCTCTCTCTCTCTCTCTCTCTCTCTCAGTATAAACGCCTTATACTGAATAAAGTGATCTCTTTGAATGCTTTTTATTTAGATTTTCTGTATACAAAATATACTTTCTCGAAAATTGAGTAAAAAAAAATATAAATATGAAAATTAAGAATATGAAATGTTAAGAATAAGGTCGTTGAGAATACAGGGACATTTATTACAAAGTTGCATAATATATATGCCAAGCAAACAGTACAAGTCAGCATATATTGAGATATCACACAAGTGGTATCTCACACGATTTTCCGACGTCGAAATTGAGTAAAGTGTGCCAACGAAATGGATTATCCTCTAATAATTACGATTTCTGTCGGTTGCTGTTCAGTTGTTTATGCTTTAATAAAATACTATTCATCTAAAAGGAGCAAATTGATAGAGTTATCGGAGACTTGGTGGACACCCGGTACCGAAAATTCTGTCAGCAACGATATCAGACCATACAAAATCATTTTCTCTGAAGAGGTAATTCGTTGTTAATATTCGATTGGACACAATTATACATTAATTTAATAGGCAAGCTCGAATTAATTTTATTAAATATAATTTTATTAATTTTATTAAATTATTATTTCCAGCTAGTGAAAGATTTGAAGAATCGATTAAAGAACACTAGACCTTTGACACTGCCATTGAAGGACGTTGCCTGGAATTATGGCACTAACACGATTGCTTTAAACAAACTTTTAAATTACTGGGCTGATAATTATAATTTCCAGGAACGTGAGAAATTTGTAAACCAGTATCCACATTTTAAAACTAATATCCAAGGTAAAGAATATATATAATCCTTTTAATAGAAAAATAAAAGTAAATCATTCTTTCATAAAATACAGTATTTTATATAGCTTATTGTTTTCAAAATTTAATCTTCAAATCATAATTAATAATTTACATCTTCTATGTATATGTACTGATGAAAAAAGAGGGAGAAAGAGAGCCTAATAAAGATAATTTTTACATAGACGTCTATTGTCGCCACATCATGATTATTTTTCAACATTTTATTGAATAATATAAATTGTAACTACATTAAATTATATATCAATTAGTATATATACAGTATTTTATCAAACAGGATTAGACATACACTTTATTCGCGTAAAACCGACTAATGTGGGGGAAAAACGAGTCTTGCCGCTTTTAATCTTACACGGATGGCCCGGATCTATAATGGAATTTTATAAAATCATACCTTTGTTGACGACACCGAAAGCGGAGTATGATTTTGTATTTGAAGTGATAGCACCTTCCTTGCCTGGATTCGGCTTCTCCAGCCCAGCTACGATACCTGGCCTCTCCTACATACAAATGAGCATGGTTTTAAAAAATCTCATGTTAAGGCTCGGGTACGATAAGTTTTACATACAGGGCGGCGATTGGGGAGCGATTATTGTCAACGCTATGTCGACCCTGTTTCCCCAAAAGTAAGAACATATATTTTTATCTAATCTAAATAACTCACTAACAAAAGCTCATAGATTTCCAGTATCACAAATCAATATAGACATAAAAAGTATTGTGTAATTTTTGTAGTGTACTGGGTATGCATTCCAACATGTGCTCAGTAATGAGAAATGAAGTTATAGTCAAACAAGCGATATGTCAATATCTTTTTTCCTTCTTACCTTGGACAAAAAAACCACGACAAACTGAGAAAACCTCCAGGAAGAAATTTTCACTCAAAAGGTACCTATCAGAAACTGGATACTTCCATATCCAAGCTACAAAGCCGGACACGGTTGGTACGTATTACAGTGTAATTATACACGCAAAAAATAAATAATTTTTGATATATTTTATTGAATACAAATTGATATCATTGCGTGTGTTCCAGGGGTAGGTCTAACCGATTCACCTGCTGGTTTGGCAGCATATATTATCGAGAAATTTTCGACCGGCACGAACTATTCTTATAAATTCAGAGACGACGGTGGATTTCTGGATAAATTTACGTATGATGAATTGATTGATAATTTAATGATTTACTGGGCATCCAACAGCATTACTACAGCGATGAGAATATACGCCGAAATGTTTACTGAGTCGAACATACCGTTGGGAAAACTCATAAATTCGTACGTATAATAATTATTTTTCTCGTGATTATTATAAAATATATAATGATCCTATTATATATCACAATACTGATATTATTTGTAATATAATGATCTTGATAATAAGCTACAAATAATAAACTATATAAATATTAAAATTAAAATTATCAAAATTAATAGATGAATTAAAATATTTTAATTATTAATGTTAAAATTAAAATATTTTTACAGAAATGTGGTAGAAGTTCCCACTGCTTGTTCGCAATTTCCTAATGAGATCACAGAGCAACCTATAAGTTTACTCAGAACGCGATTCGTGAATCTCTTACGTGTTACTAAAATGCCTCAAGGTGGTCATTTTGCAGCATTAGAGGAGCCTGAATTACTTGCAAATGATATATGGGCTTCTGTTAATGAGATGGAAGTGTGGCATAAAAATCATAATAAATAAGACTTGTAATTATTCAATTTATCATGTTTGTACTCATATGTAAGAATAAGATAAGTTTAAACATGTATTTTTGAAGTCCTGAAAAACTTTTAAAAAAGAATTAATAAAATAAGAAATATGTTTTCATACAAAAATACATTATATTTTTTCGCTGCTTTCAAAAAGTCATTATTTTTATATTCTGTGTATAAACATTAAATTAATAATAATCTACTATATTATGCAATAGATATAATCTATACTAAAAGATATATATGTATATATGTTGCTCTTTTATAAAATATATAAAGAAGTTTTATTATATGCATATTAGCTGTATATAGAAATTCTCATTTATATACAATTATAAAACAATATATACTAATTTGTTATTTATATATATTTATATACATGATGCAAGATTTATATATAATTATATATATATAATTAAATATTAAATTAATGGAAACCTGTATATACTTATACATACAATTTATAAATATCATATATAAGTATGCATACAGTATGCACATATATAATTATATACAAGTCATTGCACTTATAAATATATATACATCTTATATGTTGCCGTTATAATTTACAATATTTTTGTATATCTATATTTTTACATAATTCTATTCTGCATGAATATATAATAAAAAGTTTTTTACCAGTTTTTTTTACTAGGTATAATCTTATACTTCATAAATAATCATATTTTTCACTGTTATGTGTGTGTGTGTGTGTATTAATAGAAAACTATGTTTCAATAATCTGAAACAAAAATCCGTTTTTTACCAGTTTTTTTTACCAGGTATAATCTTATACCTCATAATCATATTTTTCACTGTTATGTGTGTGTGTGTGTATTAATAGAAAACTATGTTTCAATAATCTGAAACAAAAATCCGAATAAATAATGTTACTTACGTACATTTTTGTAGTTTTATGTGTTTTGTATGATTTTATGAAATGCAATTTTTGTTTATAATTCTCTCGCATATTCTAGTATGCGATATGCGATGTAAATATTTTTCGAGATGTATTTTATAAAATATATACACTTCTCTCAAAGTTTTTTGTATCTTAAACGTGACGTATCAAATTATAAATAGAATTCTGTTAAAACTTATCAACTTGATAACGATAAGGAAAGTAAAAATCTATCTCAATTAATAACGATAAGTAGAGATTGAAAAATATTAGCAGTTAGGAAACCGGCGAAGCACTTCGAGCATAAACTATAAAAATCTAGTGCGTCCTTGAACACTATTTTTTGTACTTGAATGTGTTCGAAAATCTTATCTTTAAAGTGAAGTAATATTTAATCGACCAATCAGATTCCATCGTTTCACGCGTGACGTATGACAGATAACACAATGTTGGCAGCTCTGCCAGCTGTCATCAGCTATCTGTCACAATACAAACATGGCGACGATGGTGCTCGTTTAAAGAGACAGCGACGCGTTTTTACTACCCTTTTGCTACGACGAAACTTTATTGTTATCGGCAATAACGAAAGTGAATCATGGGCAATGCCGACACAAAGTTGAATTTCCGAAAGGCCGTGGTGCAATTAACGTCGAAAACTCAGGTAAACATTAAAAAGAATAGCCGCTTGTTTATCTGCCCGATCAGATAACATATGATCGGTTGACAGATCGATAGGGGAGCTCAATTTTTTTAACGAAATTGTTTAGAAAGAATTTATCATGAATTTAGATAAAAAAATCAGCATTTTTATTATTGCGTTTATATTAAATTTGTGATTGAGCTTACGATTAAAAATATTAATAAGCGGAATTATGTTACTACTTTCTTCTGCAAGAAATGAAAATTTGGGATTCTGAGTCGAATATGGCTATTTCTCAGGATATTTCGTTATATACATTAAAAAGAAGGTACAACACATGTAGAAGGATTAATACTGCTAGTGTAAAATTTATAAATATGTCCTAGTGCTTTCACAAAACTTGTAAGAGCATAATGCAATAGCGAGTATAATAATAAAATTAAACTTATAATATATGATAATAAAAAAAATTAGCCTTATGTAATTTATATATAAGCAGTATTAATTATTTTAATTTTTACTTTGCCATAAATAGCTATAAAAAGTTTTATTTCTCTTTTAAAATATTTAAATTACTATACACACACACACATATATATCAAATTATATAATTTTTATTTAAAAATCACATTGTACCAATATTTATATCTATTGTATATTAATAGGTGATTGATTCATCGGACGACATTTTCTGGGATCAATTCTGGTCTGAGAATGTGACTAATGTTCAGGACATCTTCACTTTAATCCCAGCTCCAGAGATTCGCATATTAAGAGAAGAAGCACCTTCTAATTTGGCTACTTTATGTTACAAAGCAGTTGAGAAATTAGTTAAGGCGGTGGACAGTAGTTGTAGAACTCAGCGGGAGCATCAAACTGTCTTGAACTGCTGTCGTTTGCTGACACGTTTATTACCCTACATATTTGAAGATACAGATTGGAAAGGCTTTTTCTGGTCTAGTTTACCTGGCAAAGATGATGAAGAGAGTTTGCCACTGGCGCATTCTCTGTTGAATGCGATTTCTGTAAGAAATAATTAAAGTAGATAATTGAATATTCTATAAAGTGTATATACATGTATAACTTAAAATTTAATAATAAAAAAATTAATAAATTAATATATATGTTTTTGTTTTAGGATTTGTTGTTCTGCCCTGATTTTACAGTAGCTGCAAATAGAAAATCAGGCCCGGTGAGTTTCTAATTCGTAGTTGGAGTTTTGATCATAAAAAGAAAGGGCGGAACATATCGATTACATATCCCTTATCTTTCTAGGACAAAGTCGATGAATTGCAATCAATAGATAGCTGCGAATATATATGGGAAGCTGGAGTGGGTTTCGCGTACTCGCCACCGAGGTATCCTATTCTGGATTCCAATCGCACGGAATTGTTAAAACTCTTGTTGACATGCTTTAGTGAAACCATGTACAATCCGCCGATGGATTTATCAGTCACGCCGAATAAATGGATTCAACATTTGACTAGCAGTGAAAACAGGTAATTCATCTCTCTTTGATTAATTACTACACTCTAATCACATAATATGTATAATATACTCTTATTATCAGTTATAGTTTTTATTTATAATATATCATATAATGTTATATATTTTTGTTAACGATTAATGATTATTTATTAACTATACATAATTGTTCGCAGACACGCATTGCCGATGTTTACCTCGCTGCTAAATACCGTATGTGCATATGATCCTGTTGGTTATGGGGTACCATACAATCATTTGTTGTTTACCGATTCTCTGGAACCGCTGGTTGATGTCGCGCTGCAAATTCTGATTGTAACATTGGATCATGATACTACTGGCGGAGCACCATTGGAAGAGGGGGCAGTTGGAGACAACTTGTTCATTAATTATCTGAGTCGAATTCATCGTGATGAAGGTAAATCTTATAAACTTTTACACAGTTTTATGTATTCATATATTTTAGATTTTTTATTTGCTCGAATTCTTTGCTTAGTTTTTACACAGTAAAATTATTTTTCTGCAACACTTTTAATATCCAGTTTTTCCAATATTTTTCTGTGATTAGATATCGAATTAAAAAGTTCTACACAAAAGAAAACATCTGAAATTAAACGAGAAATAAAATTTTGATTTCTTATATCCTAAAGATTACGTAATTTATGTATATTACATATATATTTTCGCAAAAAGAATAGATTTTTAATTATTCATAATTAAGGAAATTATTAAAATTTTTAAATTCTTAAAAAAATAATTTTTAAATGGAGAATGAACTTGTACAAGTGCAAAAAGATACAGAGAGATTTGAGTGTATTATAAAATAATTAAAATATTACTTCTAACTAAATATTACTACTTTTTTCTTCTGTAGATTTCCAATTTGTCTTAAAGGGAATAACCAGACTATTGAATAATCCACTGATGCAAACATATCTGCCAAATTCGACCAAGAAAGTGCATTTTCACCAAGAATTGCTGGTTTTCTTCTGGAAGATGTGTGACTATAACAAGAAGTTCTTATATTACGTATTAAAGAGCTCTGATGTTCTCGAAGTTCTTGTACCGATTCTTTATCATTTAAACGATTCACGCGCCGATCAATGTAAATTTTTATTCCCTATTTTTTCACTCATTTATTTACATCGATGATTCAATTCAATATCAAGGAATTTCAAAAAGAACTTTATATGAAATATGTTGCAAGAAATATTCTTTAGAGATAAAATATAATACGAATAGTATCTTGGACAAGACACAGTATAGAGACGTTAATTAATTTGATTGTTTTTTTAAGTCATATATTTTAATTGTAGATAAATAAAACATTCATGTTTTCTTCAGAGAAAATATTTTTAAAATACCTATTGAGAGAATTGAAGCAACGATTCGTTTTAATATGAATTACATTATATTTTTAATTTTTTTTAAATTAGTTAATTAATTGTCTACTTCTTAGTTTTCCCAATTTTTCAGCACGAGTTGGTTTGATGCATATTGGTGTGTTTATCTTGCTTCTTTTGAGTGGAGAACGCAATTTTGGAGTGAGGTTGAATAAACCATATACAGCTACAGTGCCTATGGACATTCCAGTTTTTACAGGTATGACAATGTGTCATTTGTATTATATCATCTTCCATAATTTAAAAAAATAATCAGATTTTTTAATTCTTTACGTTTCGCCTTTTCAATTGTAATGTCAATCATTGTAAATATAAATTAGTTTTTTAAATTTAATTTCTTTTATCAAATTTTCATTATCTTTATAATAAAACTTTTTATCAAGTTTTTGGTTTTTTAATATTTTACACATATTATAACATAGTTGCATGCATATACAATGTGTTAAGAATATATTTTTTAACATTTTTTTTTTGTTTCGAAAATAATTTTCTCACGCAATTTCTAGCCACAGTTTTGTATTTTATAGCACATTTAAATTGTTGATGCCAAAGAATGCAATTTTGCTCTTTGTTTCAGGAACGCATGCTGACCTTTTAGTTACTGTATTCCACAAAATTATCACGACTGGTCATCAGAGACTGCAACCATTATTCGACTGTCTACTGACAATTCTAGTCAATGTTTCACCGTATCTCAAAACTTTATCCATGGTAGCCAGTACAAAACTGTTGCATCTCTTGGAGGCATTTAGTACACCATGGTTCCTTTTCTCAGCACCCACCAATCACCACTTGGTGTTCTTTTTGCTCGAGATCTTTAACAATATTATCCAGGTAATGCGTTTGTGTTGTAAAAACCTCTTTTAAACATATATCAATCAATTTTCCTCAGTCGCATATACAAAAAGGCTTAAAATAAGTAATTTGGAGTAAACTTTCCTTTTATTAAGTTTGCAATTTATTTCTCCTTCCAACACATTAACTTTTAAGATTTGCAAAAACATTTTTTGGAGATTATATTTTATTTTATTCTCATGTATTCTTACTATATGGAATGTCATCAAGAAAGAAGTGTCGGAATACTGTATGACATATTTTATTCTATCATTTATGTTCTTTTCAGTATCAATTTGATGGGAACAGCAATTTAGTCTACACTATAATACGCAAACGGCAAGTATTTCACGCGCTCGCAAATCTACCCAGTGATTGCAACACGATCGCAAAGTCCCTCAGTAAGAGACAGCGTCGTCACGTGCCTGCAAGCACGTCCAACGAGAACGTCAGCGAAACCGCGATGGAAGGATCGCATCCTGCGCAACCCGCCGAACCCGGCACTTTAAAGGCGTCTCTTTTGGAAACTCCTGGTGAATACTCTTTATTAAACGCACTCTCTCGAAATTAAATTTAAATGCTCCTTTTTCAGACTATTTACAATATACCATATATAAAATTTAAATCTTCAATCTTTATATATTATAATTTCAAGCGTATTGATCGCAGGTATTGAGAACATGACGGAGAAAGAATCAGCGCATCCATTAAGTCCGTCAGCCAGCGTTGATATTGGTAAATCTATTGGAAATCGATCGGAAAGCAAGACTGATATCACGGAGGAATCGATAAACGCGACCAAAAATTCTGTGGTTCCGGTAAGAAATAGAGGAACAAAAATTAATATCGATAGTAATATTAATAAAAGGTTTATTTTTCTCGACATGCAGAAGGGTGGCATCCGTGTGGCCGAACAAGCGAACGCTAATATGGACAATGTGAAACAATGGGTGCCATCCAGTGACTGGGTATGGCAATGGAAGAGCAAGCTTCCATTGCAGACTATTATGCGACTGCTTCAAGTCCTTGTGCCGCAAGTTGAGAAAATCTGCATTGATAAGTGAGTTTAATTTTTATTTAAGAAAAGAACTAGCAAAATTCTCATAAGAGGAAATACCTCATATGATTTTAATCATATACTTATTATCAATAACTATCTATTTTTAATTTATTCTTTTATTTTCCTTTTTATCTTGATACAATCTATTTGATTCAATAATAAAATATAATCAAATCTGAATTATAATTATCTTAAGTATTATCCTTTTGCACAAATATGTCTCATATTTTTTTATCATATTGAAAATTAAAACATTCGTAAATTAAAAAAATAGTTGGAGAATTTTCGGTTTGAGAAACAAACGCTTATATCATTTTTACTTATATTCTCTTTTATTGATCTTATTATTAGGGGACTGACAGACGAGAGTGAGATTTTGAAGTTCCTGCAACATGGCACTCTGGTCGGCCTATTACCAGTTCCGCATCCTATCCTCATCAGACGATATCAGGCTAACGCTGGTACGACAGCGTGGTTTCGCACATACATGTGGGGCGTTATATATCTAAGAAATGTCGAACCTCCTATATGGTATGACACGGATGTCAAGCTATTCGAGATTCAAAGGGTTTAGAGAAATGCGTTATCGTTTGCGCTCGAAATACTATTTTATTGGCAGTGCGCAGAAAGGTAAGTCTCGTCGAACTCATTATTATATTACGATACAGAATCGTTCCTATGAACATTAATTAAATTTTCAAGAATGAAGAGTGTCACTCGCTCTTGTATAAGAACTCGAAGAAATATCAATATAATTTTTTCATGCCTTTCAAATGAGTTAAGATAAAAAGATAAATTAAAAAAATCTGAAATAAATTTCTTCGAGATCTTAAAAAAATATTTAGAATTTCAATTGATTGAAATTCAACTAATTGCCCGTCTCTTTCGAGATTATTTAAATTGTTACATTTAAATAATTTCAAAAAAATTATAACAATTGTTTTTTAAAAATATATTTTTAATAAACAAGAAATGGAAAGAAATTGGAATCAACTTGTGTTTATATAGACATACAACGAGCGGCGAACATTCAGTGCACGCTTCATCTCGTTTCTGATTACTTTTTATACGGCAAGAGCCTCCAAAGTACTTTCATCTTGATGTAACATATGTGAACCGCAAGATTGTAAACGTTTACAATCGACATCATATGATTTATTATTATTATATCCCGAAGACTGTAATTTTTCATTTGTATCATAGTAATAATATATACCATTAGTTATAATGTGGAAAAGACGTATATCATTGGTCTTAAAGAAAAATGCATTAATTAAATTAGTCTAATATAGATGAGATTATAAATAAAAATTTGTATTTTTAATTTTGCTTTTACATTTGGCATTTTATATATATATATATATATATATATATACACATTTCCCTATTATAAATTATTTATACTTTATATTCTCTACATGCTTTATATCATTAATATTTTAAATGAGAAATATTTAAGAAAGATTTTCTTACGATTATTTTCAAGAAAAGAATCTTCGATAACGATTGTTCATTAAGACCAACGATATCGTAAGACTCAATTATATCATTAACGGAGCTAGTTAATCAATCTTTTGCGATGTGTACATAAAGTTATGTTTTACAGAGGAAAAAATCTTTTATTCGCATTTATGCACATCATCATATATTCCGCTATGTACAAGTGTAAAGATAAACTGATAAGATAAACGTGAAGATCACACGCTTATTTATAATTGATAGAATACTTGAACTTCACTTCGCTCTTTCGCGAAAAATATACTTATATATATCTGTAATCGTAAGTTGAGCGAACACTTTCGGGTTTGCTCTTATTATACTCATTATGACACCACGTGGCCTTTCTTCTTTCTTTCACAAACGTGAGTTTATTTTTAGAAGAATGTAAATAATAAGAGCAGGCCCAATGAAGAAAAAGATTTTTTTGAACTTTTTAAAACTGTGCGCGGCAAATCGACTGCGATTTTCTTAAATTATAACGCATAGAACAGATCTTATTGTTAGATCTATCTGTTCTTTCTAGCTGCACTCTCTTAGTAGACATTCTATGATTAGAGAAAAAAATGAATGTATATTCAGGCATGTGGAATGGATAGAAATGGCTATAAATATCTTAGGAAATAAAAAAAATAGCAACAGAAATATCATAAAAATACGTATTCGAATTTATTTAAAATTTTTAGGATTTTTAGAATTTGCTTTTAAATTATTTTACAAAGTTGTTTTTTCAAGTGCAGTTAGAAAGGATTATGATTTTTATATATTATAGTACAATTATTAGTAACGAAAAACGTTCACAAAATACGAGATCTCAATATGTATTATATGTACTTGTCCTTAAATATATACAGAGTTATAACATAAAGAATCATTTACAGGCATGCATACACATATTTTCTTTCCTTTTCTTTCTCTCTCTCTCTTGCATTCTTGGAAAAAGAAATATAAAATCGTATTACATTTCACGCTCATAGCTTGCTAACATCATAAATTATCATGAAACATCGCATGCTTACGTATTGTTCGTCGTGAAGCCACGAGATTTAAACCGTACTTGTGTATATGATATTCGGTAACGTTCGTGCACGTTTGATGAACAGGTCGTTGAACACCTGCTTGAAAACTGATACTGTACGTCAAACGTGCCTATTATTAGCTGCTTATTGTAAGTAACGTCGATCGAGCCGTGTGTTTTGCAAACTCGATACGTCGACTCGAATCGCATGTTTAAATTTGTGCGCTTCTTTTCTTTCATATCGTGAGTGTCTGTGTATATGTATGTCTGTACGTGAGTAACAAGAATAATCCTCTCCATCCTTATAATATAAGTGACTCATGAAAGTAACGAGGTAATCGAACGTAATGATTCATAGCGAATTCTTGGAATAATTATATGTATTTAAGGAAGTCCTCAGAACCGGAAGAATCAATAAAATTGATCAAATGGAATAAGATCGCTCGAGTTTGCGCTGTTTTGCGCCAAGCTAAAGCTAAGCCAAATATATCACACAGTATCTCGTAGTATAAAAAGATTAGAATAGAGTTTACCCGCACTGTAAACGTAAATTCGGTGGAGGAGCGTGGTTCCCATCCTCTGCTCCCCCACTATAATGCCCACTAGAAAATATAGCTAACTTCTAAATATAACTTCTTTTTTTCCGAATCTCTCAATCTCCCGTTGTGTTGTCGATGTGTTATCGTCGATTGCGTTCCTATCACAGACGTGAAAGTTAATCCTAATCCTAAAGAGAATTGATTTGCGGCCACCTCTTGCGTAAGTGTAAGTGGAGACACGAGAATGTCGCGAAGGAAGAAAGATTTTCGGACGAGTCCGACCTTGAAGAATTTCACGCTGGTCCGGCGATCTCATCGCATACCTTGTCGTAACTGGGTGGCGGCGCCTCGTCCGAGAACGTAGGTGGCAGCGGCGGTATCAGGATGGCGATGTGATAAGGTGGCGGCGGTGGGTTCTGTCTTATCGCCGTCGCCGTTGTCGACACCGTCGTTGTCATTCTGCCGACGACGGTTTCGCCGATACCAGACGCGTTCGTCAAAGCGGCCAGGTGATCCTCCTGCATGCGAGCACTGTGCTCCGGTCGACTGCCGTGGTGATAATGGCTTTGATCGTGACGACGACAGAAGATCGAGTACAGACATGCCGACAGCAGCAGTATCAGCAGCCCGCAAAACATGAGTATCTCCAAGCCTGGCCCCTGATTAATATAATATAATATTCCTTTGAAATTTCCTTCTTATATTCTGTCTCGTTATATATTGGCAATGGATTTTCTCGAACTTGTAAAATTCTTTTAATATAAGATACTTACCCTATAACCGAAGTAGAACTTAGCGGCCGCCACGAAACCCGTCGCCAAGACGAACGTGATCCAGACGGCGCAACGTAGTCGGTAGCCAGCCAGTTCGGCGTCGCTGAATTCAAAGAAGCCCAGTAGATTTCTGTTGGTGCCGCCCGCACCAGTCGTGTTAGATAGAATCAGCTGATTGTTGCTAGCGTCGGTGACGTTGCTGCGAACAATGCGTTAAACCAGAGACGGTTTAATACAGCCAGCCATAATTTCATGAAAAACTCGCAAAATCGAGGGCGAATCTCTTATAAGTGATCTTTCCGCTGATAGATATGTATAAGTGAGTCACCCTGTGTATAAGAAGAGCATGTTCCTCTCAGAATGTCTCCTCTCTTTCTCTCTTTTTCTTAGTGTAGACCTTTTTGTGTTTTCATTAATTACTTGGGGATGTTGTTCAGCTGAGCGAGTTGGGCGGCGCTGAGCGACGTCGACGAACGGTTCTCGTTGTTGTGGATTCGCGCGGATGACGTCGTCGTCGTGGTCGACCGGGCGACGATGCTTCGGCAGGAATTATTGATATTACTAGGCCCGGCTGACGATGCGTTTCCGGCTGCGAAGTTACCTGCGAGGCCCTGAAATCGACGCACCGGAGTCACCATTTGCCTGAGCTCGCCGCCGCGCCGACATTGGCCTGTAAAGATTAAGAAAATAAATGAAGCAATCGATAGAGAAATTAATCTCTCAGAATAGATGTGCGATATTTTCTGAAATTTTTTCTTTAATTTGTTTATATTCATTGAAACTTATCTTTATTTCATTTACTCTATAAAATGATCTCGAAATTATGATTCCCAAATTATTCTTGAATGTTGTATGATATAAAAACTCCTTACGATGTGTAACATAATTAAAGTAATACTTGTAATACACATAAATAAGAATTGAATTATGATTGTTTACTTTATATGTTAGCATCTTTTATCGTCTTATCTTGTATATAAGCTCTTATATATATTCCTTTATTAGCTAACTTTGGTAACAGTAAATGTTGAATTTATACTATTTATTCCAACTATACACTTACTGCGTGTTTTGGGCACAGGTGTGGCGGGGTATCGGCGGCCGGTGAAGCCGTAGTACCTGCCCGCCGGTTTGTTGATCCAGAAGTGCATCAGGGTATCGCTGTGCAATGAGCTCAGAGATTCATCGTTGCCTAATAACAATTATAAATCTTCATGTAGTCACAATATACAGCTATTTCATAACTTTTATGGAAGAAAAGAGATGACCTGAGATGATTTGATTAATTAGTATACGATATTCAAAGTTTTTGGCAGAGAAAAAGGAATGGGACTGATAAAGTGTGAATCCTCTATTAACTCTCCTCGAAAAAAATGAAATCAAATATAAATAAATTTCTTTTACTCCCACTATGCTTGGAAACTGAAAATCTTGCAGAAATATTTTAATGGATATAAACATTTTCCTTACACAATATTGCGAAATCAAACTCATCTATCAAGACATCTCTTTTCTATCTTTATTCATAGAATGCTTATAAATTATAATTTGAAAGAATTGTAGAATCAATTCTAAAACTGTTTACCCAGTAATGCTTTCGCAACATGCAATTTATGCAGAATGCTTCTTCAACATCTTCAATGCACTTTCCTGCATTTCGAGATTGACTCCAAGTCTTATCACATGTATCTTAAGTAGATGTATTGTATTAGTTTTCTGCGCATATACTTCTCATCGTCTTTTACAAGCATTATTGTAGTCTGTGATGCACATTAGATCCATTTTCTATCTTAAGATTGTCACACTCGTTGTTCTCTGAAAAACAAATCATTTGTTAAATAAAACTCTATAGAGTGACTGATGTTTTTGTCTCAAACTTGGAAGCAAAATTTCTGAATATTATGTAGCAAAAAATAGCAAAAATAAAGTTAAAAAATATACATTATACATATTTATTTGATGTATAAAGATATTGCAAAACATATTGTCATATCTAAATTATTATATCGCAACTATTATTTCTATTTCAAACTTTTGTTTGATAAAACTTAATTGTTAGATGTATATATATGGGAAAAATATCTCAAAAGAAAGATAAAATACAATAAAAATGTAGAAAAAGAAAAATAAATTTCTCAGTGCTTATATCCTTTGCATTTAAAGTATAACTGCATATTTAAAAGTGTTATAGAAAAAAATGATATGCAAACATATTCTGTATGAAAATAAGAGAAAAAGTGACATAAAATTATAAAAAAATGTAGAAAGTGCAAAGAGAAAGTAAAAAGAGACCTGATCCTATTCATTACTTGATCCACCAAACTCTCTGCATTTAAAATAAAAATCATTCAGAGATTCTGGTTGAAGAAAGAGAAGAAAAAAAAGAAGAAAATCCCTTCAATAATATAAATTATACAAAAAATAAAAGCCAAGGAGGACATGCTTGTACACTTATCATACTCACTTGAATCTCATTCAACATTCCCCCTCCATCAACGTGTCACAGGAGAAATCAAGCATCTTGTTTGTAGATCGAACTCTTGGATCTACTTATTTATTTGACATCTCGGAAACGCGATGAAATATGAAAAATCCGTCCTTTTTTTATATACGCATATGTATATATATACATATATATATCTATATATATATCTATATATATATATATATATCTTTCTACGCTCTCACTTTTTCTCTCGTCCTGTTGAAACTGCACATCTTCGAATCCTCCCCTTCACCTCTCTTCCTCATCTCCTTTTCGAGGACCTATTTTTTCGTACAGTCTCCAAATCGGAAAAGCACACAGGAGACGCAGATAATTGCGTCAATAATAATAGACACCTATTTCTCGCACGAGACTTGACACTTGACGCGGAGCAGACGCTCGTTTGCCGGCGACGTCACGATTTTCACGACTTGTGTATCGAAATGGGAAGAAAAATGATAACAACATGGCGCGGCCAATCGGATTCGTCCATTCTCCGTTCCGTTCCTTTTTACTCGCATTTTTTCGCAGTCCACGCGACACACGAAAATATAAACATATATCTCTCGTTTGTCGAGTGTCAAAATTTATGTAAATTGCGAGGAAAAAAAAAAGAAAAATCTAATACCTTATAAGTACAATATCATTAATTTTTTTTTTTTTTTTTGTATGAATGTTATAAGAAGTTGATGATGATATTAGATTAGGTTAAGTTTGCAGAGACAATTTTGTGGATCCACATAAAAATTGCTCTGGGAAAAAGGAGCTTCTAAGAAAATGTTATTTACAATTGAAAAATATGTGATTAGGGTGGGTTCACGATATTTACGACGATATTTTTCGAGAACTGTTGATGCTACAAAGCTTGACTCGCAAACATTTATACGGCAATCCGATGACACTTCTACGTCGATACGTCGAGAAAGTCAGAAATCTCTGAGGATCGCTATCTTGGGTGCACCGAATGCTGGAAAAAGCACTCTCGTTAATCAACTTATTAAAAGAACGGTAAATAAGCATTAAATTATATTTTTGTTATCTCTTTCTTCTGTTTGCGAGGAAGATTTAAAAATTATCTTGTTAGAATTTATTATAAAATAAAGTATAATTGTTTCTACTTTATCTTATATTTATTTATCTAATTATAAATTTATTTTCTCTATATATATCTTTTTCTTTAAATAGGTATGTCCTGCATCTTCCAAAGTGCATACCACACAGACTAAAGCAGATGCAATTTATTGCGAAAGTGATACTCAGTTAATATTTATGGATACACCTGGTGTGGTTTCCACGACTGAATGTAAACGATACAACTTAGCCAATACATTTAAAAATGATCCAAAAGTCTCCTTGGCAGTGGCAGATATTGTAGGGATTGTACAAGATGCACAGAATATGTACACTAGACACAACATTAATTCAAATATATTAGAAATATTGACAGAGAAGATATTAAAGAAGATTCCTATGATTTTGATCTTGAACAAAATAGATAAATTGAAAAAGAAAGAGGTGTTATTGCAGCTTGCAAGCACTCTGGTAAAAAAGAAGGACTCTTTAAAATTTTCCGATGTATTTATGGTGTCTGCTTTGACCGGAGATGGCATTGATGATTTGAGGGTAAATATATTTATAAATAGATGTATGTAATGTAACATAAGCAATTATTTTTTGGTAATCAACATTTTTTTAAATTACTTAAAACCTGTAAAATATAAACTGTGTTTTGCAGACTTATTTGCTGGATTCAGCTAAACCACGAGACTGGCAATATGAAGAACACATGTACAGTAATCACAAGTGTGAGGATATAATACAGCAGACAGTGCGGGCAAAGCTGATGGACATGTTACCACATGAAATTCCATATTCCTTGAAGGTGAAATTGGAACACTTTGAGCCAGGACCTGAAGATAGTGTTATGGCGATGGTGTCTGTTGCATGTCCCAAAAAGAATATTGCTAAACTCCTATTGCGCAAGAATAAAACATTTGGTAATAGAATAAAACAAGTTGCTGTTATGTCAGAACAGGAACTGCGTCATGCCTTTCGAACACCAGTGAGATTAAAACTAATAGTGAACTTTCCAACATAATTCAATTCGCATTTGTAAAATAAAGTTATTTGTATAATAAAGTTGATAATTACAGAATCGAATTCAAATATTTTCATTAGCTTCCTTTTTTCCATCTAAAAAGTTTTTCCATTTTTTTTTTAAATGAAAAATTCAATAGCTAGTGAATCAGATTAATTTATTTGAAAACGAAATTTAAAAGATAAATGATATTTGTTAAAAATGATTAAAATAATATTCTATAAAAAATTATATTCTTTTACTATTCAAAACATTCGAAAATTTTCTTTTTATTTAATCTTTCACATTAGAAATTTGGAGTTTAGTTTCTTATCTATGTACACGTTTTTTTATAGCTCTAGTTTTATCATGCCTTTTCCTTTCTATATACGTTCAAAATTCTATGATGTAAGATATAAGGTTATGGTGTAATAAAGGCGGGAAATCTGTCAAATACGTACAAAAACGGCGCAATAATGACGCAGCGTCGTATAGAGTGAGTGAATAAGTGAAACAATTGTTTAAAAAAGACTCTGATTAAATATTTCAATCATCAATAAGTCTAATAATCTAACATAATTTATTCGATGATATAAAACTCATAATTTTCTTATCATATAATTGACATAACTTTGACAATGTTTTCTTCTACATGTCATCTTTCGAGGAATATCATGTTGTTTTTATAATTACAGCTCCTTCTTCACAAAGATATCGTCCAAGAAGGAAAACTCTAGCGAGGATAATTCAGAGAGGTACGTTACGTTGTAAGTCGTTAATGATCTGTCTTTAAGTACTTTCATTATGCTAAGAATCCTCACAACTTGCTCGCGCTTGAACTCGCTGACTTTACCAATTCGACGTTTCGAATTCGCGAATGCAATAAATAGTCGATTTGTTGTTATTTTTAATTGGATACATGCAACCAACAGCAACAACTTATCCGACAAGGAGAAGAATCAGGATGCACCGGGAAGTAGCAAACGGAAGAGAAATAACAGCAATGGATTTGCTAGGTAATCAAACCTAACAGTTTTTTTATTTATTGTTACAATTTTCATTTTTATATAAGAGAGGATTATTTTATAATTTATTTTTTTCTATTTTCTTTTTACTAATATAATTTTTCTAAATTGTTATTCTTATAGTAGCCCTCCTTCAAAGAAGGCAGACAACAAGCTTACAAAGCCAAAGGCAATTTCTAAGACTCCTTCCCCAGGCACAAAGCTTTCTTCAAAGCTAAAAGGTAATTATAGTTGCTTTCCATTTACATCAAAACTCAGATAAATGTCACTTCTGTTAATATGGATGTTGAAAGATAGAAGTGAGATTTATCTGAGTTTTTGATGTAAATGGAAAGCAACTTATATTGCTAAGCTATTGTATATTGAATATATTATATATTGTTATTATTTTTTTAGAAGCCACTCCAAAAAGTAAACCAAGTAAACTTTCACCTGGAGCAACCAATAAAAAGAGAAAATTAACTACTTCAAAAACAAAAAAGAAAGACAAAGTTAAAAATGTGAACGGAGCTGAAACAATGAAAAATGCTGAAGTAGAAAATGATACAGTTGAAATTGATCAAGAAAAAGAAGAATCTGTTCTTTCAAAAGTAAAACTTACCTCTGATAAGGAAACAAAAACAAAGAATACTGTGAAAAAGAAACGAGCCAGAATAATTCAATCACTTGATTCAAGTGACGATGAGGATCACTTACCAGTAAATTTTAATTATTCTAAAATTGATTGTTCTCTTACAAAAGATTATATTTTTGATTAAATTTATAAATTCGTACATCTTTGTTTATATATCTGAAAATTATTTTTTAGTTATCCGAAAGTCCAAAAAAGGAATCGGAAGCTAATGATGAAGAAAAGGAGATTGAAAGCACAGACGAGAGTAATGAAATAAAAAAAAATGCATCAGATAATGAAACAAACCAAAATATTTTGGATAATAAGGAGAAGATTGAAAATCCGAAGAAGGAGCATACACCAGAAAAGAAGTCACAGACTACTTCTAAAAAAACGCATAGTTTTTTCAGTAAGTATTAAAAAATTTCAGTATTTTTAGAAGATTATTAATTAAAATTTAAAACAATATATTTGAATAATGTAAAAGTATAATCTTACAAACTTTATTGGACTCTTACAATGAAATCACTTATTTCTATTGTTAATTCTATTGTTACAGCATCTAAGCAAAAAGACACAAAGGATAATAAAGCAGAAGTAAAAAGTAGTAACCAATCTTATAATCCCAGCATATCTGGTTACCATCCGATAAACAATGCGTGCTGGAAACAAGGAGATAAGTAAGTTAGAATTATTATCGAAATATAGAAACAAACTTGGGAATACTTAAATTTCTTTCACTTTTTGAAATTTATTTACAGAACTCCATACAACGCCTTCACGCGTACTTTGGAACTTATCGAAGAGACAAGTGCAAGATTGAAGATAGTAGAAATATTGTCAAATTACTTCCGATCTGTCATAGTCTTAAGCCCTGTAGATTTATTGCCAAGTGTGTACCTGTGCCTTAATCAGTTAGCACCAGCATACGAAGGTTAGTAATTGAAACTTTGTTATTTTTTAAAGAAAGTAGTACTTTATTTATATAAAAAGATATATAGTTATTTAAATTTTGTTACATGATTAGAGATTGTATAATGTTTAATGTTTATTTATCCTAGGAATTGAGCTTGGCGTTGCTGATATGAATCTAATGAAGGCGATAGCACAATGCACCGGTAGGACATTGGCACAAATTAAAGCTGATGTCCAGGAGGTTGGCGATTTGGGAATTGTAGCAGAAAATAGCAGATCCAATCAGAGAACTATGTTTCAGCCCGCACCGTTGACAGTTTCCGTTGTGTACTCTAAACTAAAGGAGATCGCACAGATGACGGGTCACGCGGTAATTCACATAATTGTTATAATTAGAATTTATATTAGTAATATAAATATAAATTAGGAAAAATTTGCAGAACAGTAATATATAATAAAAATATTTTTAAAATGATTTAGGAAACTAAAATATTATATGTATATATATTAATTTAAAATTGTATAATTTACATTAAATTATTGATTTTAATTTAATTACTAAAAATTAGAATTAATTGTATTTGCATTTTAAATAAGAATGAAAAAGATTGATGTTTATATTTAGATTGAAATAAAAATTGAATAATACATTGAAGAATGTATTTTAGAATATTTATGCAAAAGTAAAACTTAGAATCATTTTGTGTTATTTGTATATAAAATAAGTTTTCTTTAAATTTATATAGTCTCTGGCAAAAAAATTAGACAAGATTCAGACGCTGTTTGTGGCATGTCGCAATACAGAAGCAAGATACCTTATTAGATCATTGGCTGGAAAACTTCGCATCGGTTTGGCCGAACAATCTGTTCTGCAAGTAAGTTATCGTGTTGCTTTGATCGATATTAGATATTAATCTGCATTTTCTTAGGCGTTGGCTCTAGCTTGTGCTATGACACCGCCAGAACAGGATTATCCACCAGAAATTTTGAATGCGAGCAAAAAAATGTCAAGCGATCGTTTTAAAGAGAAATATGATGAAATAGCACTTATACTAAAAACAACGTATTGGTAAGTTATTAATTTTAATAGTTAATTTAAAATTAAATTTTAATTTCTTTTTAAAATAATGAATATTTAAATATTAATTTCGTATTTTATGGTAATTGAAATGGTTTATTTGCAGTGAATGTCCGAATTACAATCTCATAATTCCCGTTTTACTGGAGGATGGAGTTCATATCTTGCCGAGCAAGTGTAAGCTCACTCCTGGAATACCTTTGAAACCCATGTTGGCACATCCTACCAAGGGTGTACAAGAAGTCCTGACACGATTTGAGAATTTAAAATTCACATGCGAGTGGAAATATGATGGAGAGAGAGCACAGGTTCTTATTTACTTATTGTTAACCTTGCAAATTACACGATTTTAAATTCGATCGTATAATATATCGTATGCAAAGAATATGTCAGAATCAATTAACTAAAATTGCGATAACTTTAAGATTCAAGTCCATTATAATACTATAATTCAACAGATACATGTCGCGGACAACGGAACCGTCAATATCTATAGTCGAAATCAAGAAAACAATACTAGCAAGTATCCGGATATCATTAAGCGATTCAAGAATACTCGCGGTGACTTGGTGAAGAATTGTATACTTGATTGTGAGGCAGTCGCCTGGGATAATGAGCAAAAACAGATTCTACCGTTTCAAATACTTAGCACGAGAAAGCGAAAGGTATAATACGATTATTTTAATTTTAATTTTCAATACTGATTATAATTGTTATAATTGCTTATTTCAAAATAATTATATAAACATTATAAACATTATCATAAACATTATCAACATGCTGTTCTTAGGATGCCAATGAGGAGGATATCAAGGTACAAGTATGTGTATTTATGTTCGATCTGTTGTACTTAAACGACGAGCCGTTGGTGAAGGAACCCTTTGCAAAACGTCGCGAGTTGCTGAAGCAGCATTTCAAGGAGGTAGAAGGTGAATGGAAATTTGCCAATAGCATGAACACTACAACGATGGAGGAGGTTCAAGTCTTCTTGGACGAGTCTGTGAAAGGAAATTGCGAGGGTTTAATGGTAAAGACATTAGAAGAAGATGCAACATATGAGATAGCAAAGCGATCAAGAAATTGGTTGAAGCTGAAAAAAGATTATTTGGACGGTGTGGGTGATACGCTCGATGTGGTTGTAATCGGTGGTTACATCGGCAAAGGAAAGAGAACAGGCACTTACGGTGGCTTCCTTTTGGCTTGTTATGATCAAGAAAACGAAGAATATCAGAGCATTTGTAAGGTATGTAAAGTTCCTATATTTTGTCGATGTTATGGAAGTGAAGAGGAGTGGCATGTAATTAATGGAAATTTTTCTTATGTTGAATAATTACATATCGTTACACATTAAAATTTACATAAATATTTACTTTTTCTCATTTTATATCGTAATTTTAGTATATTAATGTACATTGTTTCTTTGCAAATAGATTGGCACAGGCTTCAAGGAGGAAGATCTTGAGAACCATACAAAGTTCTTCAAGGATCATGTGATACCCCAGACGAAATCGTACTATCGTTTCGACAGCAGTCATGAGCCCGATCATTGGTTTGAACCAGTTCAAGTATGGGAGATTAAATGCGCCGATCTCTCCCTATCACCAGTTCACAGAGCAGCTACCGGAATAGTGAGTTTCAAAAGTTTTTAAAAATTTTAAATTTTCTATATTGCATCAAGCAAAATTAATATCGCTTGACAGAAATTATTTAACTTCAAAATTATCTATTTAAAAAATCTATTTAATAAAATGTTATTTGTATGGAAGAATTGATATACATACATTATTGCAGAATTTCATTATTGTAAAATGTCCTTTTACACATGTAATACATGTTCTTTTTCTACTGAATAAATTGAAATAATATCGTGATAATTGTCTTTGTAATTTAAATATTGAAAAGAATGATATAATTAGAAAAATGATATCGTTATATATTAAGTTGTCTGCTTTCTAGGTTGATCCGGAAAAGGGTATATCCTTGAGATTTCCGCGATTTATTAGAATACGTGAGGATAAAAACTGTGAAGAGGCCACTTCCGCTCAGCAGGTGGCAGATATGTACAATAATCAAGAACAGATCAAAAATAAAACATCGACGAAAGCTACGGAGGAAGATTTCTATTAAAATTTTTCTTTTATTTATTTATCTGCATATTCAAATTAATCTGATCTTGGTATGTATTTTTATATTAATTATGATTTTACAAGGGCTACTGTGTAAATAAAATGCATCATTGTATGACGTAGCATTAAAATTATTATGACTATGATATTTTATTATCTTATCCAATCTTATGTTTACTTATAATGAAAATTTATTGAAAAATGATCATATTTTATTTAGATTTAAAAAAAATTTCGTATATATTAACATTTTATTATTATTACATTATATATCAATAACTTTGAAATGTTTTTGAATTAAATAAATTTTAATGTATTCACTATATATTGTAAGCATGATCAAAATATTCATAAATAATTAAAAATTGATCATTAAGTAAATATCACAGCATTCTGTGCTGATTAACAATTAATAATAATCTTTAATAATTTTATACATTTATCTCGATACCATGAAAGAAGTGATTCACCTCGCCAATGCGTGGCATTCTTTATCTAGGGCTCTTATCCAGTTATCTTATATTTGTCATGATAAAGCAGCGACTAGGTGATGATACTCAGGTACCTCGACGTTCACGATTGACTAATTACGTTTTTGTCTGCTCGCGCTCTCAAAATAGCGTCTCATTCATCGATAAGACGTGAATTTGTGCCGGAGGATATCTTCCGTGAGGTGACAAAAAGATGGTCGCCAAGAGTTCTGGACCGCTGCTGGAGAAGCAGATCGGTTGCATCAAATTTACGATTTTTTGCTTGAACGCAATAATATGGGTGGGTGCACGAAGTTATCTTGATGATTGTGTCGTCTTGCGAAGTTAATTATGTGCTAGTGAAATCATATATGATCTATTTTAAGCGTAAATTTGAAAAAAAATTTAAGAATTAAACACGTTCTATTATATCTATTATATTATTAGAAAGAAATTTCAAGTTAAAATTAAATTCATAATTACAAAAATTAGCTGTATGATTTCGCCAAATAAATTATTAATATAAATTTAATTTATACTTGTATAAATAAAATGTATATAGTTATAAAAAATGTAATTTATATATTTATATAAATTTAGTCTGGAATAATATTCTAAAAATATTATATATATTTTTTATAAATTATATTTTAATATAAATTTTATTTTTCATTTTTAATTGCCATATAATTTTATAATTAACTTAATAAATTTTAAAAGACATTGTCTTTGTGCTCTATCTGGCTATTACATAGTTAAAAACGAAATATTTCTCAGAGAGAAAGAAAAGCATTTATATTGTTTATGCATAATATGTTGATTTAATTAATGTATCGCGAATAGACATGTATATATTAAAATTATAAAATTTTTTTGTATGTGTTTAAAGATCCTGGGTTGTGCAATGTTCGGGCTATCGATATGGATGAGATTTGAACCAATGTTCGAGGAATGGGTGGAATTTCTGGACATGTACGAATTCTACATTGGAATTTATGTGCTAATTGCAACTTCGGTGTTCGTCATGGCCGTTGCCTTTATTGGCTGCGGTGCTGCTCTTATGGAGCATACACTGGCTTTATACATTGTAAGAATGTTTATCGCACACTTTAATTCAATTCTGAAAGAGATCTTTTTCAAAATTGTTTGATTTCTTTTGAATTATTTGAAATTATTTCAATTATTATTTCAATATTTAATAATATTATTATTGAAATTATTTCAATTAATAATATAATGCAACATCTGAAGATATGGAAAATATTTCATAAATTATTTTGTTGCAAATTCATTTTTATTGAATATTTAATTCAAATGTTAATTGATACAATTCAATATAACATTGCCTAAACAATTGTTTTTTTTTATTAAATAAAATTCAATGTCTTCTCAGAAAATTAATTTTTCAAGATATTCTTTTAAGGATTAATTTTTTTCTCGTTAAATTGAATTTTTTAAACTGAAACAAATATTTTTCTATTATTAAACTTTTGATAGATTCAACAAAACGATTTTCATGATTTTAGCACGTGGGCCTTCAAATATTTAGTTTTATCTGCGGTTTAGCTGGGGCGGCGGTAATTCTTGACTATTCAACGTACGACAGCAAGATTCAACCTATCATTGAACGATCTATGTATAATCTTATCAGTAATTCCCACCAAGAAGCGCCAAGCTTTATCCTAAGAATAATTCAGGAAACTGTAAGATATACAAGATAGCTCCAAAATGTTTTCAGGAAGAGAAAGGTACTGTAGTATTATATATCTTTTTGATCAATGTTTAATAGGTCGGATGCTGCGGAGCTGACGGACCCAGGGATTATACACGGCTGCATAAACCGTTGCCCACTGAATGTAGGGATACTGTCACCGGAAATGCTTTCCATCACGGCTGCGTGGAGGAACTGTCCTGGTTCCTGGAAGCGAGATCAGGATGGCTCGCTGGTCTGGCGATGGCGTTGTGCATGCTTCACGTAAGAGAAGCTTTGATTCTTTACTTATTTTTTCTTCATCCTTTTCAAGAGGGAAGAGTATTACGTACACAATTTTATGATTAAAATTTTTTATCCTAATTATTGCAGGTGATTATAGCTGTATTAACATTGACGCTTGTTCGAGCGATCAAGAAAGAAGAGGAATCCATTTCATTCAAGCGTTAGATGTTAATTCATTGATATACGAGATGCGGCAGTAAAATTATTAAAATGATTTTTCATAAGAAAAAATTGAATATATTCTGTGTTGAATTGCAAATTTTTCATCGAGCTTACATTTATTTCGAGAATAACATTCATCTCAAATATAGCGAATATATGTACGTAGGTTCTGGTATGCTTTTAATTTTTTTAATTTTTAGAATTTTCAAGTTTGTTAAAACAAAAATAAGTTTATTTTTAATTTCGCGAACTTCTTTTAATTATAATTTATTTTTAACTTTTTTTTTAAATAATTTTTTTTTGATTCGGAAATTGATTTTTTATTGAAATAAACACATAATGTTCATATCATTACGGAATTATAATTGCTTTTAATTTGTGAAAATTTCATCCATTTTGCTTGAATATCACATTTTATCATGTATCATCATCTATATCGTCTCATTGATCATAATTATATCATCATATCTATATCTAATAAGCATTTATTTAATCTTCTCATTTTATAATTTTATATACGTCTGATATTTACTAAAATGTTTACAATATAGTAGCTACTTTTAGAAAAAATACTTTAAAATAATGAAAAGCAGGATGTATAAAATAATTGAATTGTTATTTCTAATAATTACGAAACAAATTAAATTGAATATAATAATTTTTCAAGGATTGATGAGGAGGATAAGATTATCTCTGATATTTCATGTACAAAAATTATTATACTAATGTATCATATATTAATAAATAAAAAAAAAGAAAAAAAATATTGAACGCATAAAAAACAAATCAAATGTAAAATGCATAATTATGATGATTAATGAATTATACTTGTCTTTGGAGAGAGACGATAATAATAACATAAATTATAAATTTTGTTTCGTAAGTAGCATACAGTATATTATGATTCACATAATTAGATCTTTCCAAGATTTCAGAAAACAGATTAGTATCTCATTATCACTTATACATTAATATTGCTACGTATATATCCTGTACATATCGCAATTAAAATATAAAACTAAAAAAATTATAATAAATTTCGACAAAAAAACTATAACATAATCTATATATAACTAGAAAATAAATGTAAATTTGCATACAAGATTGCTTGCACATATATATTCCCTATATAACTTATATATATCTTTAAAATATATACATATTTATAAATATGATAACATGGAAATTAATAATTATAAGATTTCGTAGCAATCTTTAAAGGTAATAATTATTTCTTTATCTTAATTAGAGTCCAGATATATTTTGTCCGATGCTTTTCGACTGATCTAAATATAATTCGGAATGCTCAATAAAAGTGCGTTTCAAGATCTATCATCATGATATTTGTAATTTAATGCATTAATTGTAAAAAGATCCTTTATGCAATCGCAATTGATATCAGAAAATTGTTTTCTATGATAAAATTATTAACAAGTTATTATAAATTAATGAGTATGTAAACTACATTATCATTCAGAGACAAGTATAATATCATTAATTATCTTATTATAGAAAATAATTTTCTGATATAGTTATATTTATTAAAAGATCGATATATCACAGAGCTTGTCGTTATTTTAATTATTCCATTTTGTAATTAGATTGTTTTTTCATTCTTTTTCAATTCAAATTATACATATTCAGATCGTCGAAAAGTCGAACAATAAAAAGAGAAAATGAAATAATATGTTTGATTTAAAGCATTGCCGAAATACTTTACATACTATTACACATATATTAATATATTATATCAGAAAACTTCTCAAGCTCATTATAGAAAGCCACTGAATAAATAAAATTATACCATTTGTGTTTACAATCGCATTATTGTTCATAGCGTTTATCATAAAAACTAATATTCATATGAAGAGAATTATTTAAAATTGCCAAATTCATCAAAATTAAAATTTAATAGCAAAAGAACAAATTTACTTAATGATAGCAATTGAACCGCAAAAAGTTCGACGGTCAGATCGAAATTTAACCGAGGAAGGGGAAGGGCGGATAAGGCACTGGCGCTGGATAATAACCTGGATACGCCGGTACCGTTGGCTGTACTGGCACTGTGTTAGTGATGTAGGTGGTGAGTTCCGTGGGTACGACTCTCGTGGAGAAGAGGGTGGTGTAAGCAGTCTTAGCACCGAAAGTGAGTTTTAACACCCGAGAATCGGATATGGTCGCAAGGGTCTGAGTGACCAGTGGCGCGCTCGTCACCGTGAATTGTGGCTGCTGCGGGAACAGCGGTACTTGTGGCACCTGCGGCTGCAGTACCGGGCTCAGGGTGGACGTGCCGTATTCGTAAGAGGTCCTGGAGGAAGCAGAAATGCGCAAAATATATATAAGATAATAAATGTATATAATTAACGCGTATAATTTTATTAAATACATTTTATACCAACCTAGGTACAGTGCTAATTGGCCTGGACAACGTCGAATAAATGGTATTTCCCGCGCTCACTACGGGAATCACATGCGATTCATACATCGTCTCTAGGACGACCACCGGCCTAGATGTGGTGATGACTTGGGGTTGCGGCTGACCAAAATATTTTAGCAGGGCCAACTGTTGAGCTTGCTCCGGAGTAAGCTGAGGTTCGGCGTTGCTGCTGGTCGCAACGTCGCTCTTGACCTTGGACGGTGTTGTGGACTTGAAGATATCTAGATCGGAATCGGGATCGTTGCTAGGCGCCACCACTCTTTTGGGTACATCTTCGTCATCGCGATCGTCATCGCCAAAGTCGAGCTCGAGATGCAGTTCGCTACCGGCCTCGTCGAGCTTCGAGTTGAACTCGTTCAGCGTCTTGCTCGGGATGAATTGGTAGATCTCCATCGGCGGTAGCGTCTTCGTCGCCGTCACCACTCGAGCGATGTTGTACGTTTGCACCAAGGTCAAGCGAGTGGTGCTGTTGCCGCCATAGATCACCGGTAACATGTGCGTCTTCAGCAACGTCTGCGTCGTCGAGAACGTTTCCGTAAGCGTCTCTAACGGCGGCGTCGCCTGGCTGGCATCCAAGGAAATTGCTGGTAGCGTCGCAACGGATGAATCGAGCGGCAGAGTCGATTCGTAGGCGGCCGCCGTGTTCGCTAGGATATTCTCTGTAAGCGGTTCGGTGGGTGAGATGGTACTAGTCGGTTCGGCCGTCGCGAAGGTCTTCTTGATGGTAGAAGTTACTGTGATGTAGCGGGTGTTCCGGAGCGTTCCCACCTAGACAGAGAATATTTTAGTTATTGCGGTAATAAGGAAATACAAACGCATACTTTGCTGATGTATAACTTTCTAGCTAATTTCGAGCAAAAAATTTAACAAATTAAATACCAATTTTCGGCATAGTATACTTTATATTTATTTAGAATAAGATTCTTTTTTAATTTTTTGCTCAGATAAATATATATCAAGATAGAATCGAGAGAGCGCACCTGGAAAGAGTACGGCGACTTTATAGTGGCGATTTCGAAATACACGTTGTCGAGATCCGCCGCGGTGGAGATTTCCACGTTGAGTGTCTCCATCGGGAGGATCTGCTCTGCGACGTGCTGCTGCTGATCCAGTTGCACACTGACGCTGGCTACATCTTCGCTCTCGCTGGGATCTAACTCGTCTTCTACGAAGGACAACTCCTTCCTCTGGGCGACGTTGATGCCGCCGGACGAGATCGCCGCGTTGCTCGTCGTCGCCGTCGTCTTGCTCTGTTCGTCCGCGATTACCACGAAGGACTCCGACGTGTTCGGCTCGGTCGTCGTAGACGTTCGCAGATCCTCGTCGTCCGCTTGCTTGCGAATCATAATCCTCGGCTTCGGCGTGGTCTTGTACGACCAACGACCTTGCGTTCTCGGTAGCTTCACCTTCGGCACCGGCAGGCTGACCGTCGGTGATGGCTGCTGGTCGTTGCCCTTCGACTTGGTTGATTGCTTCGAGAATGAGCTGGGAGACTGATTGTTTGGTCGGAAACCGCTGCGACGACGACTGATCGACGCCTCTGTGGTGCTGGTGGTAGTTATAGGACGATTCCTGAAGAGAAGTGAGTTTTTTTATTGGAAATTGAATCAATAATCGTGATGAAATATAGGTTTCGTGAAATATAATAAATTTTTAATTAATTCTTCTCTTCTGATCTAGTTATTCTCTCATAAGACACTTACTTATAATTTGGACGCGTCGTCGTCGCGCGATTTTTCGCGGTCCTCGTTTGTTGTTGCGGTTCGTTATTCTCGTAGTCATCGGGAATCTTATTTCGGAATTTGGGCCTGACGGGCTGATTGCTGGAGATTGAGTGTCTTCGTGTCGTTCGCACTGGGGTACCTAATTCGATAAATCAAGCATCTCAAATTAATTTTTTCACTACTGTAAAGAATAGAAAATTTTTCAAGTAATATTGGAAAATATCACAAATATTATTAAAAATAAAAAATTAACACACGAAGAATCTTTTGTGTCGTAAATTAATAAGACAACTAAAGCTTCTGATAAATATTTATCATTAATCATCATGTAAATATTAATTAGATTATTATCTTGAAACTAAAATAAATTAAGGCCGATAAAATTAATAGAAAGAGTAAAATATTGAAAGTCATTTGTGTCTAAAAATTCAAACATTTATTTATGAGAAAATCTTATTAAACATAAAACAACTATATAATTTATATATTTTGTAAAATTTATTTTAAACTATGTGTATACATATATTAAACAGACAGATATAAGATATTCATTAAAATTAATTAAAATTCCAGCTGAAATACTCACCCGAGGGTCCATTGAAGAGAGCTTCTAAAGGCAGCGAGGACTCTTCCTGCTGCTGGTGGGCAGGAGTGGGCTCCAGCTGAGGCTTGAACTTGCCATGCTGCGGACCTATGGTCTTCAGGATGCGATTCGTGCTGGTCGGATGAATCTTGTCTTCGATCACTGGCACGTACGGTTCCGTCAGGATTCTGGACGAGCTCTGCAACACCTGGGCGTATTTGCCGTTGATGTAGGTGCCGATTACGCTGGTCTCATGTACGGTGGTGAGACCATCCTTCACGACAGTGCCACCCAGCTTGGTCACCAAACCAGTCGGGTTCTCCTTATCCCTTCGGGCAGTGGCTCGTGGTTTGTGATGAGCCTTCGACGAGGGTCGCAAGTTGATCAACTACAAAAATCAAAATTACTAATGAAACATGGTTGATTATCGTGAGATTATATTGGGATTATATACAAAAGTTTTTAAAGATATAATTCATATAAAAAATTTTAATTTGATAAAAAATACATTTTTTAAATTTTACTACAAAAGACACTAAAAAAAAAAAGAAAAAAGATATGATAAAAGTTATGAATATAGGAAAATATTTAGATTATAATTATATGCGGAAAATAATTATAGTACAATAATTATAGGATAATTAATCTCCAAATTTTCAATAAAACTGAGAAAATAAATAAATATTAAATTATATAAATAAAAAAGATTCATTGTGTAATATTTATTACTTCAATGTTATATTAATGACAATATATTCAGTATTTTTCGACAAAAAAGAAATATATCATATCTAGAGTGTCGATTTTAGGTTTTCCAATTTTTGAGATATTTTTCGACGCATGTTTTTATGGAAATCATAGTTGGAAAAACAAGGCGCGTTCGTCGTGCTTCGCGAGTGAAACCGATTTATCGGTGCGATCCGATCCGGACTTTCACACCGATCTAAAACTTACGGAGGGGAGTAAAGGTAAGCTGGAAAGGATCGGCTAGGAAATCGATTACGGCACGCGGAAAATTACGCCAACGCAATTATTCCGAACAATTTTGTGGCGGTTTCGCGAGAGTTATCGTGAAAGTTGTTTATAAAATGTAAGCAATTGCGCAATATTATGAGAAAAACTACGAATAATTTTATTCCACGACTGTTTTTCCATTACGCGCTGGCTGGATAACCCATTTTCCATCGTTCGATTAAAACGATTTACAACATTTCACTGAACTCGTTTTAGCACCTGTAATGATTGTTCGTTAACTACGTGGTCCGGTTTGGCGATAATCAGAGATATAGAAACCAGATCCTCGATTTTCGTATCGCGGGTTTCGTTCACGGACGAAGATCAATGTCGCTTTTATAAACTGGATATTTGAATTTCCTGGTTTGTGTAAATTAATTGCAAATTTCGCGAACGCAAAACTGAATTCCAACAGAGCCAATATCACGTTTTCAATCTTGAATCATAACTTCAATATGTTTTCTATAAACTTGGACATTATATTATGTGTGAAATATATATCATAAAATTCATAAAAATATCTTTCTAAAAATTTTATTTTGTACATAATGCAATTATAAAATTTTAATTATTAAATATATGACAATTATTTTATGTAAGAAATGTAATTATTGTGACATTTATAAAAAGAATAAAGAATTTTATATATACTATATGTATATGAATTATAAGTGTACAAAAAATATATTAAATATTTTATTGCACAATAAAAGTTGACAGTAGCTCTTTTAGAATTAAATAAATTTATAGCGAGAATTTCCGATGAGTCTACTGGACAATTTATAGAAGAATGACTAATGCAATTAAATATCACTTTGTGTTTAAAATATCATTGATAATTTGGAAAGAAGTATTGTATATATTTATATAAAAAATATTATATATATATATATATATATATATATATATATTATATATTAAATAATACAATATATATATATATATATATTACACCAGGATCTAATTTTTTTTCTTTGCTTATCCTATAGAGAAAGTAGAGCTGAGATATTGATCGATCTAGTTTTAAGATATCAAAAAAGTCGAGAAAGCCATTCAAAAACATAAATTATAAATGATTACAATAAGGAATAGAATTTATGAAAAATTAATACAAAATAAGATAGAAGATAGTGTAAATGATGAAACAATTACATACTATGAAACATGTTTCTAGAGCGGAAAAATAATAGTATTGTGATTTCTTCGAATGTTACGTTTTACTTACCCTGTAGGTTTCATCGATCACTTCCGTTGGCTGTTTCGAGAGAAAATCGTATTCCGGTTCGGCGAGATTATTTTTCACACCTGGAGTTTCATCCTTGGCACGTACCTCAACGACTGACGACAATACTGGTGTCTTCGTTGTTGCCTGTTTATTTGAAACAATTCTGCTTAATATTTACTTTTTTATTCATGTGTACAAAATGCCTTTATTACATTACATATATAGATACATCTTATTTTGTTAATTATTAATTTGATTAATTCTAATATTATTCCATTATTCGGAAAAAGAAATTATTAGATCAGTAGAATCATTTAATTTCTCTCCAAGAATCAAACTGTTATAAATCAGAATTATATGTGTGCAATTTATAATTACAATTTTAATATATAATTATAATATATAATTTATAATTATATTATACGTAAAAATTATTTGAAAATTATTTCTCACACATATATAATTAAATTTAAAGAGACTAGCAACATATGAAGAATAAATTTCATACACAAATTAGTCGAAAAATGAGATGTTACTGTAATAATGAACAATGTTACATATATCCGCTATATAGCGATATATCATTCTAATTTACCTGACTCTTTGTCGTTTTCATTGCAGCATTCTCGGACGGGTTCACCACGTTCTGCTCGACCACGGAATTTACGACAATTTTTGTACCCTTTATCTGCTTCTTCGTCTCACCATCCTGTGTTTCGACCTTGTGAGTCTTGCTGGGCTGGATGTCGGGGACATTCTTCTTGTGCTGCTGTTCCGTTGGCTTCGTGTGAATCGGTGGCGTGGAGGATGTGGACTTCTTACCGGAGTCTCCTTCTGAAAACAAACGACGCATTTGCATACTCGAAGACTGCGTCGAGAATAAAAATCGCGATTCCGCGAGGAGCCTCAAGGATCGGAAAAATGGGAGTAAAAGTGCGCTTCTTGACAGCCAATTTGTGCTGAACATTCTTTGCTAAATTTATCCTTTAGAAGAAATGAAAATGAAAATGTATAAGATGTGAAAACATATTTTTTCTCGAGTCAATATTAATCAAGATGATTTAAATTTAATTAGATTTTTCAATTGCTATACATCTTATTATTTTATTTTATTTTAATTATACTGGTCGAAGAGTATGCAATATTATTTTGTTTTATTTGATTTTAATTTTAATATCGATAAAATAAGATTTGGATTAACTGTGTTGCTTGCTATGACTTCTGTCATAATTATTTGACAACACCTTCAAAATATTTCTTTGCATTTGGAGAAAAAGAAATCACTATACTATACATTGTGTAAGTAGTTTAAAAAGTCAAGGAGAGGTGATGACAGGAGAGTCATAACAAGTGAACAATGGGCATCATTCCGTACGTGGACGACGATATGCAAAAGAGATTGGTCCCTGATACCTCGCCAAGGTCCACCTTGTGAGTGTACGTATTCTTCAGCGTTTCAAGGTCTCCTCGAATAATCGGACTTACCGTGACTGAGCACAGCGTAACAAAAAGGTGTCGATTGCGTTTAGAAAGTAATTCTTGGCATTATTTTCAAATTCACATGACACTTCATGGCTGGGGTCATTTGCGAATCCTCTTGTTGATGATTGCGCAACACAGCTTTCGCGATATTCTCATACTTAAAGACATCAACAAAGCTCTTTACTGAATGGTGATTGATAAACATGACACGAATGACACGAACATTTTTATATTGAATGTAATTATGCTTATAAATAGATACAAATAATAATTTCTTTAGTAATCACTCGCACTTTGAAAAGAAGAAAATTTGATATGAAATTATATTGATAGTTTTGACAGAGAGAGAATTTAAGAAATCTGATATAATTGTTGAGACGCGTGTAATAATTAAATTTAAGATTCGAACCTCTTGAAAAATAATCACTCGTACTTTGAAAGGAAGAAAATTTGATATGGAATTATATTGATAGTTTTGACAGAGAGAGAATTTGAGAAATCTGATATAATTGTTGAGATGCGTGTAATAATTAAATTAAAAATTCGAGCCTCTTGAAAAATTCTTACCTGGGGGAGCGCTTTGAGGACTAAAGACCATCACCGTATTGCCGATTGTTGTGGTGAAATCCAGAAATCCGTAGACTGTCTGCGTGATGAAATCATTATTCGTGGCTGGTTCGATCGTTGCGGCTGGGTCCACCGAATAACTCTCGAAAACTTGTGCACCAGACACTGCAACTGTACAATCGCGATCTCACAAAATCCTCTATTTTATCTTTATATTTAGATATAATTTCATAACAGAGAAATCGCGAGTTATAGAAATAAATATAAATAAAATAAATAAAATAATATAAAGATATGAAGAAGAATATATTGCAAAAGAATTGGTTGATTTCTTCCAGAGAAAATTTTCAACTATATTAATAACTATAACTATATTAATAACTATATTTATAACTATATTAATAACTATATTATTAACTATATTTATAACTCAATAAAATTGATAAAATTGTTAAATCTTTTTTATCGATAAAATCTGTTCGCGACGTAGTTGGTAAAAGATTTCTAGCTAGAATAAATATTAAGACGAAGAAATTTTTTATCTAAAATTCTGCATTTATTAGCAATGACATCATTTAACTTACCATACGCTAAAGCTACAGCAAACACGAAGTATCTCGATGTCATTGCGCTCAATCTGATCTCATCATATAAAATCTCGGAATCTGAAAGTATAAATAAGAAATTTAAAAAATATACAAAAATTATGTTGTTATATACACTATCTTGTGTGATAATCTTGCATCTGATAGAGTTTAATTTACATGTAACAGCCATTACTCAACTTTTTTTCATGTTATGTGTGTAGTACGAATATATACATATAATATTACGTATTTATAATTTTTAATGCGTCGAATAAATAAATAAATAAATAAATAAAAATATAACAAATATAAAAATATAAAAGAAGAAGAAACAATGCAAAAAATATTTTATGATATTATTAGTCCGTGTAATAACTTGATTTATGAAATTGTCATATTTGTCGCACAGTATAAAGTAATTTTTTTCTACGATCGTGGGAGAATCGAGCGACGATTCTCAGACGATTACGCAATTATTGCAGTTGTACGTGCAGTCTGCCACTTATAGCTGTATCTGCTCGAATGAATAAAAACCGCGTGTTGCATCAAACGCGCGAATGTGACAAATTACTGTGTTATTTCATGAAGCACCGTTACTTCCTTTCTCCCCTAACAATTAACAATCATGTAAAGAAATATTCTGCTTCATTAAAGATGTCTTGTCTATACTATCCGCGCTTGTCTTCCGATGAGAATTGCTAATTATCTGTCTCCTATAATTATCTATGTATCTCCTACGTGAGAGAATCATTCTCGGATTTACATAGTTACATCTCGATTTCTCTACGAAGCAAATATTCAAATAATAAAAAAAAACATCGTACATTTTACCCGGATCCGGATATTTTATGATATCCAATAGAAATAGCTATATAATAGCGTAATCTCTTGGAAAAGTAATTTCCACGCGTTTTCCACGAGCGAAATGTTGACTTTATCCTTGAACGTTTTCACATCCACTCGCGATACACGAGCGTTGTAAATCATTGTTAATCATTTTTCTACAGATAGATATATGCTGAATGATTTTTATTTGAAAAAATCTAAAGAAGAAAATTAAATCTTTAAAAAAGATAAATTATAGAATTACAAAAAAGATACTAATTATTGTATCTTTTAATTGTTTGATTTTTCCTACGGTGTTAATCATTTGTATGAGAGAGAGGGGGATTTATTATCATTCATAAAGCATTGACATTGTCAATCAACTCTGATTCATTGCAATTCAATGCCGACAAGTGAGAAGGACAAAAGGAGCGATACGGTTTCACGATACGCGTGAAGTAATCAAGTGTCGCAAGTTAAAAAAAAATTCTTTCTCGCTCGATCTCTATCTGTCTGAGCATGAAACATTGTGAGACACGAGCTCGCTCGGGAAACATCCCGTGTGTGAGGCAAACTCAACAAGACATAACGTTAACACAATCGCGTAGAGCTGAAATCGTTGCGTAATCGAGTGGGTGGGTTGTCCGTAATTGCTTAGCTCGGGACAATAGAAAAAGCCGCCTTCGGTGAAAGAATAAGAGAGACGGAGAGAGACGCAGAGGGAAAAGCTATGACTGGAATCTATAATTGCAGATCGAATATCGCGCATAGTAGCGCGAGTTTCTCCAGTATTCCCGAGAGTACGTCGCGTGCCGTTTCAATGTGCGTCTTTACTACTGTCAGTCACTACCCGGACTTTCCTTTAATCGCATAGCTTCCTAGAACAAGTTGAGCAATTTTAGATTTGACAAAAATGTTGAAACACAACGCTATTTACTTTCTGCAATTAGGCTTCGAATTCAAATCCTATTAAAATAAATTAATATATTATTATTTAATATCCAAAAATATTATGCTACACTAATAATCATTTTTATTTCATTAAACAATAGTTTATCATTGTTTAAAACATGTCAACCCTGATATTTAATAAAAATGTTGAAAAAGAATGCTATTTCTGTAATTAAGCTTTGAATTAAAATTCTATTAAAATAAAGCTCGAAATTAATTGAGGAACATGATTTTATCATTGATTTTTTCCACTGAGATTCGGTCCGCGAATTTTCCTTCAATCGCAGCTTCCTACGACTTGAGAAATTTTATATTTAACAGAGTTGGCAGAAAACTTGTTTAGTTTTATAAACAAGCAAAAAATATATTGATTATTATTTAATATCCAAAAATATTCTGCTAAAATAATACTCATTTTTATTTTATTAAACAATAGTTTAAAATTGTTTAAAACACGCTAACTCTGATATTTAATGAAAATGTCGAAAAAGAATGCTACTTCTGTAATTAGGCTTTAAATCAAAATTCTATTAAAATAATCGAAATTAATCGAAGAACATGATTTTATCGTTGACTTTTTCTACTGAGCCTCAATTCGCCGGACTTCTCTTTAATCGTAGCTTCTTAGAGCAACTTGAGAAATTTTATATTTAACAAAAATGCCCCCAAAAAATACTATTTCTGTAATTAAGCATGGAATTAAAATAATATTAAAATAAAACTCAAAATTAATCGAGGACATGGTTTTATCATTGACTTTTTCTACTGAGGCTCAATTCGCCGGACTTCCCTTTAATCGCAACTTTTTTAAACAACTTGAGAAATTTTATATTTAACAAAAATATCGAAAAAAGATACTATTTTTGTAATTAGGCTCGAAATTAAAACCCTATTAAAATAAAACTCGAAATTAAGGAACACGATTTTATCATTGACTTTTTCCGAAGCTCAGTTCGTCAAAAAAGTTTCTTCAATTCTAATCTTATTAATAATTTATATATATTTTTATTTATATTAGAATTATTCAAATCCTCTTAATTTAGCTGAAGTAGGAGATGCAGAATTGCAACCGAGAAATCGGAATATAAAGATAAGCAGCGCAGCATCGCGGAATCTGCTCCTTTCACCCGTATTCTCTCACGACTAATCTACGGTGAGTCGTATAATGATTGCGAGCTGTAACTGAAAAGAGCACGAACACACGACTCTTCTATCCTGAGGTACTTTTCTAATGATAGGATACGCGGTGCATTACAGCATTATGAGGAATATGGATGAGAGTTCGCGGATTATTGCACAATCTGTCGATCGGCGAACTAACTTCTCATTACGGGATTAATCGATATTAATCTGCCTTCGTGGTATTTATATATTGAAAGCGTAAAGAAAAAATTGTAAATAGCGGTATAAACAAAAATAAAATGACAAATGTGTAGAAAGTTTTTCTTTACTTGAAAAAGAAGAAAGAATAAAGATATAATATTGATGCAGAGCAATCAAATTTCTGTCTTTCAGAAAAAGTCGAAAGTGACGTTGATATTAAATGTTTGTTTGACTAATAAAACTAATTAATAATATAATGTTAACAACATTATAAAATATTAATATTGTTATTAGCGGATGAGAGATAAATTAATAATATAATTCTATATTGTTCTGTATCTTTCTCTGTTATCTGTGAATATTAATGGAAAAATTTGGTGTGGATGTTTTCAACTACGAATGAAAATAACAAAGGCTAAGACAATTAAAGCGGTCAAAAATAATTAGCGCAGAAATTCAAGGTGTACAAGATAATGATAATAAATCATTTCTCGAATCAAGCGCGAAGGTAAAAAGGAGTGGCCCTATTCTTTCGTTCTATTCTCCTATCATATACACACGTATATATTTATCATATACAAACACATATATGCGCATACAAAGTAATGACCTGAAAAAAATGCTATGCTGCAACACGTATTAAATCTCGCTCAAGCGTTCTAGTGAACTCTTTTCTGCGCATGCAATTCGTTTTTGTTGCGTTTTCTTGCAGAAAAAATAGAATATACATACTGTATATTAAAAATAATATGTATATCTAATCACACGTTTATGTTTATTTTGTGCAGCATATAATTATGCAAATTGTAATATTAGAGTAAAATATCCAAGTAATATTTTACTTTAATTTATCTAATTAAATTGATGAAGAAATTGTAAATTATTGGAAATACGTAGGAATAAAGCAGACTCGAAGCAAGTGGATGCAGAATATGTATGTATGTTCGCGATCAGAAAGCGAAGATCCGTTTTACTTGGTCGAGTTTCGGATCATGCGTCGTAAAAGTCGCGAAGTCTCCGTTTTCGGCGAAAATTCCTCACCGAATCAGCCAAAACGATGCGTTGAGAAACTGACTAACTTTATTACGTCCGTGAGAGTAAATTTCATGGTCAAGGGTAATGATCAAGCGATAGCGCGTCTCGAGAGAGATATGCTAAAAACCGGTCATCAACGACACGATTCCCGCTCGATCTCTCAAGATCACGGTCAGTTTCGAGAGACCATCAACCGCATCCCGAAGATTCAACTGCCCACGCATCTTTACGGTTTCATTTTCGATTTTACTTTTCCCTGTGTGTTCATTGATACAGCTTCGTTGCTCCTCGCATCCTTCGATTGTTCTTCGACTTACTTTAGACTTTGTTTGTGATGAAAAAAGGTTTCGTCATTTCATCTTTTCTCTTTCACACCATTTTCTCATGACCAGTATTTTTTTAGAATTAATTGATACACAGAGATTGAGAATTTTCTCTTAGAATTGATGAGACAATATAATATTGGAAGAATTTTATTAGTTTCTCTGATTAATTTACTACAAGAAAAAATATTAATATCTACGCAAGATAGATTTAAAATATGTTCGATTAATTTTATTATGTACATATTAATATTCTTTATTGTGGTAAATATTAAACTTTAGACTTTGTTTGTGATGAAAAAAGGTTTTGTCATTTCATCTTTTCTCTTTCACACCATTTTCTCATGACCAGTATTTTTTAGAATTAATTGATACACAGAGATTGAGAATTTTCTCTTAGAATTGATGAGACAATATAATATTGGAAGAATTTTATTAGTTTCTCTGATTAATTTACTACAAGAAAAAATATTAATATCTACGCAAGATAGATTTAAAATATGTTCGATTAATTTTATTATGTACATATTAATATTCTTTATTGTGGTAAATATTAATCAGAGAAACTCATAAAATTCTTCCAATACCATATTGTCTCACGATTATCACAATTTTCAAGATAAATTCTACGAAAAAATTCCCTCCGTACATTTTTTGATAAGTATCTATTTTTAATTTACGATAAGGAATTTTTATTTCCGATAAATAATCAATATACATATAGAATATCAATGTTAAATATATTAAAAAAAAATAGTTCCTTAAAAAATAAGATCTTAGCTTATACAATATATAAATTACAGAATTAATATATAAAAATAATAAGACAACAAATTTTCTATCTATGTTAATTTATTTAATATTAGTCCTATTTGCGCAATGTCATGCATTTCAAAATCAAAAGAGAGTGGAAACTTTTCGTCGTTGATATATCATGGTACTTTAGTCGATTCGTCATAGTGTGTAAAGTGTTCTCTTCGCTTTCGGACGGCTCTTTTCGTTTATCATTCAAACGACGACGTATGCTAATTAAGTAGTATCCGTTCAATCATTTCTCCTCTTTTGGAGACACCATCGTGCGGTCATTGAACGATAATGTTGAAAGCAGAGGTGTTTCAGGTTCCCAAAAAATGCAAAAAAATCATCGATAACGCTTAATATAAGCAACGTTGAAGAACATTAGCATATTCGCGTCTTCAAAGTCTTCAAACGCATAATGTATTCTTGAACATCATAGATTACATCCGCATATTTGTTCATTTGAATCCGCATAATGGCCATGAACTTCGTAAGTCTGCGAATGACATGATAATAATTTTCTGCCAAGCTAGAATTTTCTGTTACATCGCATTAAAGATAAAATAAATTGAATTCATTAAAATAATTGAATTAAATTTGAAGAAGTTGAAAAAAATCTACACAAAGAGAATTTTGTCACAGAATTTACCCAGAAAATCATGGTAATCGTGGGACAATATAGTATTGGAAGAATTTTATAAGAATTTCTCTGATTAATATTTATCACAAATAAAAATATTAATATGTGCATAGTAAATTTTACTATGTATGTACATAATAAAATTAATCAAATATTTTATATCTTATTGTGGTAGATATAAATACTTTTTATTTTGTGGTGAATATTAATCAGAGAAATTCTTATAAAAGTAGTCCAATATTGTCGCACGATTACCATGCTTTTTAGAGTAAATCTTAAGAGAAAATTCTCTCTGTGTAGATTTTTGTGTCTGCTAGAACTAAGAGAATAATGAAGTTAAACTGAAAGATGATAAAATTTGCGGCTTAGATGTCTTTGACGGGGACATCTCCACGTGGTGATTAAGTTTCCAAAGTGGATGGTAATTTCTACGCGAAATTTACGTACGTCTGACGCAAGCTAGGCACAATCTACTTGTGCACGCGTCTCCTGAGGCAATCCTAGGCAAGCCTAATCACAATCTAGCGGTTAGGCGAACTCTGAGAATTCTCGGGAAAGCACTTTCCCAGCAGCATGTGACTTTATCACCCTCTTCTTTTTCTTTTTCCTCTTTTCCGTCAGATGAAAAAGGTTAAACTTGCATTTTAAATAAATATCATTTTTCCTAGGAATAAAAAATGCTGTGCTGATATATTAATTTACCTGTTTATATTCTCTCGAATTATATACAGTCAAGCTCCTTTGTCAACGTTTCTTCGTTACATCCAGCCGTGAATTTTTTTCTTTCCTTCGAGGGGTAGATATATCCATCGCGATAAATCGTCGACAATTGAATCATAAGATTCTCATTTCGCTTGGAATACAATTAAAGTTAAATAAAGGACAAGATTTCACATTGTGTGTTCTCAGAGTCGCGATGACAAATGGTGAACGTTGACCCTAACTTCTTCGCATATCTGGCAAGGGATCACGGTCGTTCGCGAGGTTTCGCTGGTTTTATTGCAGCGACTTTTCGCCTCTCAAAAATACCTGAGGATATTTTTATAATCGGACATCCCGCATCGCGCGACCTTCCGTCTGATTCCAGCTGCGAGATAAAGGAATCCAGAGCCCTTCTCTCTACAAGATCTATGGTTCGTGTCTGCGGTTGTTAATTCATCGCCTGTTAATTTATTCTATACAATCCCCGCCTTCTATTATCTTCTTGATCGACTCTTTAGGTCTCGAAGCTCGATGAGTGTTTCTTGAGTTGCAGCAAGATATTAATCGTATTATTTATATAACTGATGGAAGTACTGAATTATTAACAAATCATTATTTAATATATGTGCATTTAAAAAATAAAAAATTATCAATTATTCCAAATGACTATTGAATACTTTAATAAATTGTAATACGTAATTGTGATATACTTACTAAATAAAGATAATGAAATTCGGATACTATTACTCAAAGGAAACATTAAAATTCGCTAACGAGCTGTGTGTTGCAAGTTAACACCTTTCTTGCCGCTGAAGTCTAATTCGCCCGATATTCGCTTTGGAAATTTGCCGAGTTCACCGCAAAACCGCGTCGAATTGAATTCCGTCATTAGATTGCCGCACTTGCGAAACCTGTAAGAATCGTTCGCGAGAAAGAGAACGCGAAGCTTCGGCAGCTAAGCTGGTTTTACATCGGCTCCCTCGCTTGCATATTGGACTGGCAAACGGGAACGAGTTTATTTTTGCAGATGACACAAAGTGCTTAAAGGCATTATGCGAAGCCTTGAAACACGATTTTATGTCTCTGGTTTTGGTTGTTCGTTTATCGTTTATTTTATTGCAACGGAAGGAGTATCGCGAGTCTTTCACCTTTGAAATGACCGATACAGTTGTTCACCAAGCTATGAAAATTCTTCAGCAAAGTGGTATTTTTTTTAACAAATGAAAAAGTCAATATAAATAATATATATTATTTTGTATAAATGTTAAATAATAATAAAAAATATTTCTTTAATAAAATAAATCTATTAAAATATATTTCTACCTCTAATCATATAATTTAGTTTGAATTCAATTTAAATTCACGACTCTGCAAGTTTTATACGCGGAGAGAATTTTCTCTTAGAATTTACCCTGAAAATTATGATAATCGTAATGAGACATATTTTATATCTTATTGTGGTAGATATTAATATTTTTATTGTGGTAAATACTTAATATTAATCAGAGAAACTCTTATAAAATTCTTCCAATATCTTGATGATTTTCAGGGTACATTCTAAAAGAAAATTCTCTTTGTGTAGGAATACCGATATTAATTTTACTTGTGTATACGAAAATATTTCCAGAAGCAAAATAATTATAATAATAAAGCTTTTTCTTGCGTATACATGACTGCATATAGAATGTTTAAAATTATATTAGATTCTCCAGCAATTAATATCTTTCTTCAACCAAAGGTCTCAATTTATTGAAATTTTTCATCAATTAAAGAATAAGTTTCGTTATTTATTTTCCATGAAATTTAGTTCATTAGGGCAGGATATCTCGTAAGATGATATGATGGTTCGATAAAAAAAAGAAAAAAAAACCGATAGAAATATACATATATGTATATGTATCGGGGTAATACAGTAAAGTTGCGGTTTAGCAACACAGGGTATATAAGATTTCCGTAATTTATGGCAAGCGCAGCGTTATTTCTTTTGATTGCTTCCTGATCGCGCAGAATGCGCAACCTGATCGACCCAGATTTCTTTTTCTTCTCAGCCCGCGGATCTAAAGCGGATCCACGACGAGATACGGGAAGAACAAAGTCGGCAGGGTCGGAAGCGGAAGCAGCCGATTTCACACGGAAGCGCGTGTATTCTATGCGCGAATTTATTTTACTTTCCATCCAGTGTAAGTGGATACGTAACATAATGTACGCGCATATAAAATGCACTTGCACGCTCCGGTTCCTATGCGCGAGATCATCGCGCTAGAAATGCACTCGCCGCAATCCACTAATCACACTTATATACTGTCTAAAAGTTTCATTTTTTTGCAATGAAAGAACTCTATTCAGCGGTATTAACTGTAAGATTATAAGTTACCTATATTTAATAATAATTAATTATAATTTCTCAGAATTACACATGAAAGATTTAGAGTCATATAAATTATAAGAATCTTCTTCTCACATGGAAAAGAAATTAGCAACTATAGCTAAATTTTAGCTGTTCCTATATCATATACCTTTTTAGCTATGATAATTAGGTACTATTTTTTAGCTGTTGAAATTTAGGCATAATAACTAAATTTCATGTGTATAGGGACAGCTAAAGTTTAGCTATAGTACCTAATTTTTTTGTGTAGCTTTGAAAATTCTTATAAATTATAATCGTATAATTTATGTGACTTTAAATCTTATTTCATGTGTAATTCTGAGAAATTATAATTAATGTAAGGACATAAAATTTAGTTATGGTAGTTAATTTTTTTCCGTGGCAAAAGCTATTAATATTATAGAGCTACACACAACTACAAATTATATAAAAAAAATATGAATCTATAACTATAAATTATATAAGTTTTTCACTCTCTCTTCTCTTACAAAATTTCATATATAATAAATTAAAATTAGAATAGTATGCATATCAATGCATATCATTTTAATTTGATTTGCATTAATATATATTATAGAAGATAAAAAAATGTCTAATTTACAATAAAATAACGTCATCAGATTATATAATGCATATATGAAAAAGGAAAGGGGAAAGAATTTAGTGTGTGCAGCATGAAATATTATATTATCTCTGAAAAAAGGGAGTATTTCAGCGCGCTTCTGATCAATATAAGCTAATGCTATTAATTATAACAATCAGTTATAATTAATGAAAAAAAGTCTCAACTCTAAATATATAAAATTCCAGATTGCGTTCAGGGTTAATGAAATTGCGAAATTACTCTGTTCTATAATTATGCCCTTCGCGCCAATCATACGGTACATTAACACGATTACGTTAAACCGTGAGGCTGCGGCAAAAGTGTATCAAAGTGCGAGCAAAACGAGAGCAGTGAACGTGCTTTTGCATATATGTTGCTGGTCACGCGTGGACCAACCATATAAAATCACGAGCGGACAAGCGGTTGCACGTGTCAGATCAGAATTATCCGGGGTCTCGTCGCACGTGACCGGGGACCTCGCTTAGAAAGCAAGCCTAGGGTTTCTCACAGGAATGCTCATTTAGCAATCACTCTACTCGTTGGCCCCGAAACGGGCGTCGCGATCGAGTAAGCGCGAGTTGAAAGAACGAAGCCGGGAATAACTACGAACCGCCAAGTATATTTGAAACTTTTTCTAGAACGTCGGCTTAAAATTTCATCCACAAGCTATGCATTGCAATCTATCGTCGCTTGTCACGTTTAAAAATAATTTATTAATAATAATTAACGGCTCTGTATATTCTATATAATTTATGTATACTTCTATATGTATTTTTATGAATAATTTATTGTACATACACAATTTATTAAATTTTATATTATCGTAATATATGTAATTTTATACACGGAGAATTTACTTTTAGAATTTACCCTGAAAATCATGGTAATCGTGGGACAAGTGGGTATTGGAAGAATTTTATAAGAGTTTTCTCTGATTAATATTTACAATATTAATATCTACTACAATAAGATATTAATATTTTTTATTGTAGTAAATATGAATCAGAGAAACTCTTATAAAATTCTTCTAATATTGTCTCACGAGTTACCATGATTTTCAATGTAAATTCTAAGAGAAAATTATCTCTGCGTATAAACTTTTGTTTAGTAAATTCATATGAAAATAATTTAAACTATATTTAGAAAAAAATGTAAAATGTGTTGCTTAGAAGATCTGTAAATATTTCATTATAGAATTATTATTATTATTAATAAATAATATATTTATCATTGTTTATCATATATAGTCATTACTATCAGCAATCATCATATTCGTACTTTAGAAATTTTGATTAAATTATGATAATTAAATAATTTAGACAAATTAATTTTGAAATATTCTTTTATGTAAGAGAAAGCTTTTTCATTTTTTCTTTAATAGTGATTTAGTTTGAAACTTATTACTAATCAAGTTATTTCATGTAGAGAAATTTATGAAAGATTGTGAATGAAATTTTTTTGTATGTAGGTATATCAAATGTGAAAGAAATTTATTCTGAAGTATACTTCCGAGTGACTCTCTTTTTTTTAAAGAATACCTCATGTACCGAGCACGTAATGTAACGCAATAATATAAGCAATATCCCAATTATACAAGCAGAAGTCAGTACAAGGATGCCGTAGGGAACGTATAGACGATGCAAACAGTTATACACTTTCACTTGAATCTCGTTCAGCTTTACAACTAAGATATACAGGGTGTTCGTGTGGTCTTTTGTCGAGGTCATATCTCGAAAAATTATGCACGAAAGATGACAGCAAACTTTTTTGATTTTAATTATAACAATAAATAAAATAATAATTAATATGTACAAAAATTAATCGATCCTTCGAGTGCAATTCCTGACAATCTTTGATGCCAGATCATTTAACATTCGTTTGAATGTTGTTTTAAATATTAGAAGATATTAAATATAATTTAATATTCATTTATATCCTATATAGCATGCATATCCATAAAACGTTCAGAAAATATCACAAAGATAGCTTATCACTTAAAAATATTTTCGAGATATCTTCTGCGAATGTCTTTGGATATGCATGCTATATGGGATGTATAATAGAAAAAAATATTGTAATGTAATTGCAAAAATATTGGAATATAATTGCATTTTAGTCTCTTACAATTAGATTAGTTTATCTTTGTAATGTATAATACTTAATTTTTCAATCAAGTTAGGATCAGTTAGTCAATTAATTTGGGATTTTTTCTTTCCTCCCTGTAATGGCAATTAAAGATTAATACGATTGACAATCATTAAAGGTCAAAAACGACTCTCGAAATTTTGCTTCGGGTGATTTTGTTGCCGGCAACAAGATAATTCATCGTTATGCACATCGCAGCGTTGGATGCAACTGAATTCCCAGGCGTATCGTGAGACAAGGATGACATTCACTCGTCTATTTACGATGCGCAAAGAGTTTATAAATGATATTTCTAAGATACGCGTGTCTCGTACAATTTTTTCACGTCGTTAATTTTTTAATTAATAAAGTAAAACTAAATTTTAAGAATTACGCGTTTCAGGATATCGTATAAAATAGGTAATATCTTTTTTATAAGTTTCTCTCACCTTTTATGTTGTATTGGATCTTTCTTAATTAATTTTAAATTAATCACATGTACAAGATTGGATATTCATAGAACAGTTATCAATATTATAAAGTTAATGAATATTGAATTGTGTTTTATAATTGAAATTTTATATGAAAAAAATCTATTTTTACTGTGATTCTTTTGAACATTTAGAATTAAAAAAATTAAGCCACAAAAACGCGCAAAATATCCCTTTCTTAAACCGAGATCATTAGGTTTGAGAAAATCGAAACACAAGTTTGAATTAATTTCATTGGATTCTTAAAAAAGTGGGCTAGACCACACTATTGCGTGGATGCCCTCAATTTCATCGAAAGTTTTTATGAAACGCTAGAAATTCGTTTCAATCTTTCTCTTGCAACTGGATTCAAATCAAAAGAATTCGTCGCATCATCTCTCTTCCTGTAAATTATAAGCGCAGATACGGACGAACATTCTCTCGCGAAGTTGCGCTTTCTCTCGTGTTCAACCTATATGAAAGTGACACGATTCCTTACTCATTGATTGCTCTGATCGTTTGTTTGTTTTTAAACATCTCTTATGAATCAGAAGATACAAAATGTATATATGTACATATAGAATAATAAAATAAAATCAAAACTATACTTTTTAATTCTGAGTAATTAATGATAAAAGTTCTTCCATATAAAATATTATATTATGATAAATTAAAAAAATAAATAGAATTAATGTTACGATTTAGTCCTAAAAAATTTAATAAATAAAACACGAAAAACGTGCACTTTTAATCCTGCATCATAAAAATAATTATGAATTATTATATAAAACTATTATAATATTTTCATTGAATATTCATTCTAGGGCTCTTCCCATAAACTTTGAATTAAATTAATTACATTTATTCTAATTTCCTGATTTTTTTATAGACGTAACTAGAGAAATAAAGAATTATTTCAGTGTTAATTTCATTAGCTAAAATTAATATTGATGAGAGGACAGTCGAAAATATAAAACTTTTCATTTTAAATTTAGTAGATTAAAAAAAAAATATTGTAAAACAAATATTTCTATAAATATATAAATTAAATCGATATCTTTATGAGAGAACATAAACTAATTAAATTTCCATAAATCATAAAAGAGAAAATAAAACATTGGAAAGTAAGCATGTGCTCTTATTAAAAATCAAAATACTATTACTTATATATTTCGAGCTAAACACGTAGATTTAAAAAATGACAGCAGAAAAATTTTTGACACTTATGCTGTCACGTGGGGCAGGATTGACAGGAACTGACATCAAGGAATATCCGTTTATTCTGTACGTACCGGATCGCGCGGAACGGGGTGATTATCCCGGGTTTGCGTGATTTAGGGATGCTGACAACTCACTGACAACTCGCGGTGCACGGCACTCGACATGCCAGCTCCCAGCTCACCTCGGACTGACTGTACGGGCCCGAAGACCTGGGACCACCGTTGCGGGCCCCCGCGATCGTTGCTTGCTTTCACTTGGTGAGTACCGCAAGCGGTACCGCCGCGTGAATCGCCGATCGCTGATAAAAGACACGGATTCGATGCGGCTTAATGCGCGCTGCTACTCGCGCGATGCTTTGTACAAGATTCATGTTTCTCATGAATCAAGTTTATATATATATATATGTAGTAATGTTGTTCAGTTATGTCATAGATATTATATATGTATATTATATATATTTAATTATATGTAACATTCAAGTACTCTTGATATTTTCTTGATATTTCCTATGGGATTTCTGACATTTTATCGCTAAAAATAGTTCTCGATATTTCGTAATAATTTTGTACTTTAATATTGACATCTAACAGTCGAGATACCGAAATCATTTTAGAGAGAACGTCGTAATATCTATACAATTCTTTTTTGTATTATAAAAATGTTACATGTTACATATGATTATTGCATTATTATAGAGCACACACAATCGTGTATGCTGATATTTCATTGCTAAAAATATAATTCTCGATATTCGCGTAATAATTTTGTATTTTAATATTAACGTTAATAGTTGAGATACCGAGAAATTATTTCTATTATTTTAGAGAGAACGTCGTAATATCTTCTACACAATTCTTTTTTTTGTATTATAAAAATAGTACATATTATTATTGCATTATTATAGAGCATACACAATCGATGATTACTATGACATGTTGTAAGATGTGAAAATCTCCCATACGATTATATCGCGAGATTGAGAAGAATTGCGAATTTATTTTAAGAAGAAACTTTTCTTACTTTTATATGATGAGATATGATTACACGCAATCCGCATGTTACGTTTTAATGCAACGTGTATATATACATTTAAGCTTTTCGTTAAAAAAAAAAATATATATATATAGGTATATAAAGTGCAATATTACGCGCAATGCAGTAAAAAAGTCGATATAGAAAACAAAATATAGATAAAAATAGAGAGAAATATTATCGTAAAAAAATTGTTTAAATATAAAATATTTAAAAAACCTTTAACATGAATCCTCATCTTCGGTAGGAACGTCTTCACGGTGTTGTTTCGGATTCCATCGACGCCAAAGTAATTCTCTAACTGTGAATTCGGAAAGTATTTCAGGACTAGTCGTACTAATATCCTGAGGCACCGATGATGGCCATAAAACTTGTGCGAAGAGTATCTCCTGTTGACCAAATAGTAATCAATTAGAAAATGTTTAAGAAAAATGATATGTGTGTGACTGTTTATTTATATCTCTAAATACTTTTTAAATGAATATGCAATTGCTTATACCTTGGCAGCGGTTTCGGAGAGCCTTTCCAATCCAAACAAACTGTTCCATGTAGATCTCATGGAAAGAGGATCTATTATTAAGGAGTCTGCATCTGCTACTTCGACTATGACAATATAAGAAGCGTGAAAGAAAGGTGGTCCTTCTTTATACAGCACTGAAAAATTAGATAGCTCAGAGGAAAAAATATTTTATATATATATATATATATATATATATATGTGTATATGTATAAAAGTATATATGAATAAAAATCTTTTGAAAAAAAGATATTTGTAAAAATATTTATAACTAATTAAAATATTTTATTAATACCTCTCTAATATAAAATAATTAAAGTTCTTTTATAAGACAAAAATTAAAAAAAGCAACAAGATAACATTATACATATATGATATTTTTAAGTATAGAAAAAGTAAAATATTTAAAAACATTTTCAAAAAATACTTAAACAATGAATACTAACAAAAGTCGCCGCCGTATTTCAGGCCAGGTTTGACCACCCATCCTTTACTCCTATAATAATGATAAACCACATATTTCTGTAAAAAATCTGGTTTCTCCTTGCAAAAGTATAACCATGCACTATTAATGTCCAATAGACTGCCGTCAAAGTGAATCACTTGAAGGCAACCCAATCCAAAGAGGAGGAAAAAAGTCTCCTCGAAAGTAAGATGTAGAGCTTCTCGAATCGGAAAACCTTCGTTTTCGATTCTTGGCTTAATATCTTTCAAATAATTATCGGTATCCGAATCGCTGTCCGGCAAAACCAACAGCTTTCCATGTTGATTATCGTCCTCATTCGCACAATCGCTTTTGAAATCGTAATAGTTTAATTCACAAAGTTCTTCCTCTTCTTTTTTCTCTTCTGAGTTTTTATTATCGTGAGTTTTTGGCGAATTCTTTATATTGTCAGATTCTTGATTATTAACAATAACACAAACGTCATCTTCCTCTGCAGAATCAAGAACAACCTCATCAATTTCTATGTCATCTTTGACTTCATTTATTTCTTTATTTTCATTGCAATTCAGTGGAATTTCAATAATATCTCCAATATTTTCTTCCTTGCTATTCGAGATATTTTCTTCTTCACATTGAGCACTTGTTTTAGCATCTTCAATATCACAGATTTTCACTGCAATTTATTGATATATATCATTTTATACCTTCATTTTATTGTATACTGTTTATATTATATAATTTATTGTATTTAATTTACAATGGTTTTGACTGAAAAAATGTAATATGTAGCGCACCTTCATAATTGGAAGAGGTAGAATTCAACTCCTTGACTTCATTCAGCCATTCTTGCCTATGAAGCCACTGTCTGTTTCGAACTACTGGAGGTGTTCCATATCTTGCTTTACCAAAAGATGGATAGCTGCGCGATAATGATCCTTTACCAAAAAATCCCTGTAGATAGAAATTATTTATTCTTCATACACATTGCTACTTATATAAAAAATTAAATTTAAAACTTGTTCTCACCATAGAATGCACTGCACTGATTTCTTTTGGTTCGATTATGCATGATCCCACATCTGTGAGATGTGCTGTATACACTGGCCATTCTTGAGTTTCATCCAATGGAATGGGAAATGGAAATTGTGATTTCAATTTTGTTCTTTTTTTCTTCTTTGGTTCTCGTAAATTCATGCTTGTGCTGTTTTAGCTATATAAACAAGAGTATAAAATTTAGTATACATTTGTTACAACTTCTAAATATCTCGAGTAAATCCTAAAAATTTTGATCAGTGTTTTATTGATTCTTATTAACAATTAATATTCAAATTAAGTTTGAATTAAAAATCAAGATTATAGTTGTTGATAACTAATTTGAAATTGATAAATAAAATATAATCTTAAAATACTAACAAAATTAATCAAAAATTATTCAAATATATATAATTTTTACACCAAACATATATGTAATTAATTATAATTTTTCTCATATACAGAGATAAGATACTTAACCTATAAAAATAGAAAATAAAACTTACTTACACAGTATTCCTCTTACATAAATTAAAAATATATTTTAGACACAACATAGAACAGAAATGTTCTCTATATAAAAATTGGTTTATATTATTTATCAGTCATTAAAAGATGTATCTTGTCAACATAATGATTGTTTGACTACCTAATTGTTGTCCAAATCCAAGTCAGGTCAGGTCATGTTAGGTTAGATAAGTTAGGTAGTGGTAGTGGTCACGTGTGTGTATACACAACCAGTATTTAATTATACCATTTGGTAAAGTTTGTTTTTAATCCTTTACCTTACTTTATCAATTTCAAGCCATAATTATAACAATAATTTACAGTAATAATAATAATAAAGCGCGACCTTAATATAAAATATATAATTATATTATAAATGTATATATTTATATTATATATATTATAAATTTTTTATTATATTATAATTATATTATAAATGTATATAATTTTATATCTATAAGATTCAGGGATATTCTGAAGAATTTCTTTTTGGTCATAAAATCCATTTTTCTATTTATACCCCATTATATGTGTATATATATATATATATATATATATATATATATATATATAAAGCATACATATTTTGTTATTATACGATAAATAATCATATTTTGCAATAAAGAAATCGAAAGATTTAACATAAATTGAGCAGGTTCATTATAAAAAATAGCTTTGCGAGTTCATAAGAATTAATTTCCTCCTCTTAAAAAAAAAAAAAAAAAAAAAAACCTATTTCCCTCCTTTTTTATATCAATTAGGCCCACATAATTTTCATTATATCGATTCTTCTAAAATATGAAAAAATAAGACATATAAAAGACATGACCTAACATGTATCTAATAAGTCTTAACATGTTTGACATATAAAAGAAATATATTAATCTTTTGAATATCTTTTAGAAATAAAAAAATATCTTTCATTTCTAATAATTATGGATACATTTGTATAATTTTTGAGATATTTATAAATGCATACAATGAAAACCATGTTTTTCATACCTAATTTTTCAAACATCCTTTAAATATTTTTTAGTTTGCTCATTTTGCAGCAACGTCGAGCATCTCCGCCACATCGACAATCTTCTCTCGCGTCTTTCCCAGTTGTTTACCTCGTTCCTGTTCAACGCGATCGATCTTTTGCCAATCCCCATAAGACACGATCTGGATTCCCTTGGAATTCAGGATCTCACGTACACCATCTGATCCAGCTTTATTCTCGTTCGGGGATGCTAATTCTTTACACACCAAACTGCCAACTTGAAAAGCATTCGTCATGGTTGATAGGATAACGCCAACCGGTCCGGTGGCTGCCCATCCAGCGCTGTAAAGACTGTCTTCGACCTTACCGCCTACATTCACCACGCGTCCCTTTCTTTCATCAAACGGAATCGAACTATCTATTTGAGCGGATTTATAACCGATGCTACGGAGAGATAGACCACATGGGATCACCTCGAATTCATCGGTCATTTCGGCTACCTGATTTTGAATCGTATCTCCTCGCAGACGACTCACTGCGAATCTGACGTTTCGCAGTTCATCGTCGCCGAGAAACTCGACGGGACTCCGCAGGAAAATCGGATTTAGCTCTTTAGCGTGCGTTGAGTCACTCGCGGATTCTTCCAAAGACTTCAACATCAGCTCCGTCAGTCGTTTCCGCGGTCTGGCTAAGGTTGGTACGATATCTCGTACACCCGCGAAGTCTGGCGCTCGCCAGAGTTTCTTGCAGGTCTCCAACTTGAGGAGTTCGCGCAGTTCTGCAATCGTGAACGCGGCCTGCAAAGGTCCTCTTCGTCCAACCATGGAGACTTTTCGTACTCTACTATGAGATAAACGTTCCAGGGCGTATGATGTGATGTCAGTGTTCTGAAATAATTGAAAGAGATAGCTTAACATTTCAAATTAAAAATTAGTTTCATTTTGCAACCGCTAAAACTAAATGATATTTTGTATTTAAGTGTATAATTTGATTTTAGAATCTCTTTTTCACGTTATTATAAATTGTAATTATTCATAGAACTTCTAATTTTAAAATAAATTATTAGTTAGGAACCAGGAATTACCTTAAGCTTATCGATAGATGTCAAAAGAATTCTTGTGATATCTATGGCTACGTTGCCTTGACCTATGACAACCACTTCCTCTACGTCTAAATTAATCTTCAGATCCTTGTCGGTTGGCACTCCGTTATACCAACCAACGAAACGTCGACCTGATATTACATTGCTTAAGTTTTCACCTGGTATATTGAGCAGTTGGTCTTTTTGAGCTCCATAAGTCTGGGATAAAAATAAGAAAAACAATTGTTAATTAAACTAAGATATTACGCCAATTTATTATATAATTAATAAATATAGTATACGTACCAGCAATATAGCATGATAAAAGTTACGTAACTGATCAATGGTAACATCTGTACCAACATTAACGTTGCCTAGAAACTGAACACGTGGATTGTTTGCAGTTTTATTGAACGTATTAATGACATTTTTCACTTCTGGATGATCTGGAGCAACCCCAAAGCGCACAAGACCAAAGGGAACAGGCAGTTTCTCCAGTATATCAACTTTCACGTCGCCTGAACTCTGTTAATCAATTTGATATAAATATTTCAATTTTATTTTTTTTGTGGGATATAAACTAAATTAATTTCTTTAACAATTTATATATATATATAATATTATTATTGATTATAATTAATTGTTATTACCTTCAACAACTGCTGGGCTGCGTAAAAACCTGCTGGACCTGAACCAACAATGCATACCTTCGGCATGTGTTGTCCAGTGGATAGGAAGCGAGTGCAATTCCTGATAAGGTAAAATCTCATCTTAACGTGCGGTGGCGATCTAAAACGTGGCTAGATTTTTTACACAATTACAATACGCCTCTGCAAAGACTTCGCCGAGACCTCGCACAACGCCGTTTTGTTATTCCTATGAAGAAATCGCTCTTTTCTATAAAGCGAAATCTCGGTCACGTCCTATGTATCAAACATGATCTCGAAACATTGATTATTCTGTTACAAAACAAACGCGATCCACAAGTGTCGATCTTGAATCTGGAACTATTTATTAAGCAGTATAATTTATCGTTAAGTTATTATTGTACAAATATATCAGATATGAGAAATTACATGAGAGCAAATTTAGATTCTCTTATTTTATATATTGGGATTTTGAACATCATTTTTGTACATATTTACAATATTAAAGCTGTTATATATAAATAATTAAGATCTTATAAACTAGCAATATACGAAAAAGAAGATAGACACTGTTTCTTTTGCCACTAAAAAGTAAAGAAAAATAAAGATTATTTAAAGATAAAAATAAAATACAAAAGTTTCTATACTTTTCGAAACATTTCACATTTTTAGTCTCTGAAATAAATATGGTATTAATATCTAATTATCACTTTTGTTTTGCCATGCATGCAACCATTTTTCCAATAAGTATTAACCTTTTATATATACAGTTTGTAATATTTTACAAAATTTTGCATACATAACACATATTCACATATATGTGTTACCCATAAGTAAATTGTACAATGTAAATTGTACAATGTAAATTGTATCTCTAAAGATATAAATTTACAATTATTTACAATTGTCTTCAAGAGTATATAATTTTCATTAAAAAATATAAATATATTATATAATCACATCATGTATATTAAATTTCTTTGTTGTTATGTCTTACTATTCTCTATCATACTGATGTAATGAGCATATAGTTTGATCATCAGATGATTAAGTTGTACTATCACGGGGAAATGGTGACATTCTAAAAAAAAAAAAAAATTGCGTTATAAATAATCGAGTGCACGTTAATAAGTGCAAATAAGTATATCTGATATAATTGACAATATTTTTTATTAAAAATCGAAATAATTTCTCGTTAATAAAAAAAAGTTAAACTTGCAGACCTAAATATATTTAATGCAAAAACTTTAATAAAGAATTGAATACTAAATATTAATTCCACAGTTGTTAAATAGATACGTATAAACATGCACTTTTAAATAGAGATTAAATTTTAATGTAATTGACAATTATTGGTGATTATTTCACTTTTAACGATGAGTTCACCAAATGCTTTTGACTGAATATTTTATAAATGTTAATGAGAATTTGTACATTAAAACTAATGAAACTAATTTTTTCTTATTTTTATGTGTTTGTAAATCTTACCATATAAAAACGTTATAGGTATTACTGACCAGATCATATTTTGGTCACGCATATTATTCGACGCCCTGAGTATTTCAAGCAAATTATTCAATATTTTGTCATTACGTCTATACTTCTCCAATTTAATGCGATAGCCTTCATTATCATGAACCTCTACAATGATGTTATCGAAGAGATCACCCACGAGATATAAGAGTCCGACATTCAACTGCGTTAGCAAAGAGTAGCCGATGAGAACGAGTGTTTGTCCGATCTGTAGTTGTTCTAATCGATCGTAAATTTCAGCAATCGTCCGATGACTATCGTAATCGCGAAAAAATTGGAAGCTCAGTATCTCATAAGTTGGATCAATTCGCTGCTCTTGTATCATTTCTGCCGATGAAAAAACAAAGCTTCATAAAGTGCTTTGGAGCGTGTATCTCGTAGTTTGTCGTCAATTTGGTTTAACATCTGTAGAATTTTTGAGTCACAAAAGTGCGAGCTGCATACTTTGTTAAATGATTTTCCCCCTCGTATTTCTAAATCTGGTGCTTGTAAATGCCACTACAAAAGGAAAATAATCATGTTGTAGATATATCCGTTATTCTTTTTTTCCAGAAAATGTAATAAATAAAAATATATCTTTTCAAGCAATACTGTACAAACTCCTATAAAATTAAATTATTTTTTCACAATAGTAAGCATAATTGTGATATAATTAGCATTACTACGATTATTATAAAATAAAAATATATTTTTCAAACTGTTCTTTCAATTGAGTGAATTTAATTTTCGAAAATTTTACGGAAGATACATTTTTTTTAAATTTCACAAATTATGAGATATATCTTTTTCCGACTTGCAATTCACATACAGAAACACGCAGTTCAAAAGTTTGCTTACAGTATAAGATTTTTCCATCGATAATTCTATTTTCTTCATTTTGTTACATATCTGCAATAATTGTTCTTGCGGTGTTAAATCTTGCTTCTTGCAGCGCTCGTTGTAAGATTCGTCATGCCATTGTCTATTTGTATAAAAATTGTTGCTCATCTCTAATATTTGCCGACCGACTATCTCGTTCGCAGAATCTATTTGACTTAATCTGCATGTCCTGATATACTTCTGAACAACTTTCCGCTTGATATGTTTTAGTTCGGAGAGGATATTGTTGTATCTTTCTGCGCGAAACGTGTTTATATTCTCTGTGATGACTAGACATTGATGATGCTTGAAGAATTCATTGCATTCTTGGAGTTTGCACAAAAAAGGCATCGGAATATCTCGCAAATTAAACATTGCTTTTTTAGGCGACACGTTGCTACAATAATGCCTGAGTATATTCAAATATGGTGCAACATAATCTTTGCCCTTGAAATTCGTACACACGAGGTATATTTCTGAATTTCCAGCTTTGCTAGAAGCTGGCTTTGTTGCGGTGACTTGATGGAAGGAGCAGGAAAGCAGATATATCAAACATACAGATTGATGTTCGAACATGGTGAAGAGCTTCAGTAGAAAATTACCGCCTTCTTGCAAGAGGTGCATACAGGCCACTGTTTCGCATAAGTGCAATTGCGCCACAGCACTTTCTTGTTCTCCTGGTATGTCTTTGCAATCTATACTTCCATCTGCAGTGACCAGTAGGACTTTCTGGTTCCTCTGTTTGAATCGTTCCACCATAATATCTAGATTTCTAAGATCCATCACATCGCCCGTATTATCGACGCCGAAGTACCAATGTTTCAGAGTATGCCTGATGAATCTGTCATCGGGTACCATCGTGTTGTACGAATGTCCCTCGCAGTAAGGATTCAATGTGGTGGCCGTCCAACTCCATTCTACATCCGGTGCGTTTGTCTTTAACCAGTGATTCAGGGCGGTTATAAAGGCGCCTGGCGCTTCGCACAGATGCACAGAGGTAAAACTCTTATTCTCTTCGCAATAAATCTCGTTTAATGGAATGAGGAAAAAGGTAGAAGCAATCTCATAGAATTTACACCAGGCTTGAGTCACGAGTTCTGCTTGTATGTTCCTTTTCACAGTGTTCACAATGTCGCCTGCTTTGTTCATCTGATTCGTATGTTGTTGCCACTCACATAGATCAAAGTTGTTGAGACGACTCTTTATTTCATTTAGACTGGCCTTTAATGTTTGCAAATGTTCTAGATGCCATGGCGGCTCCTTAAACATCGACGTGGGATTTGGTAATGTATAAGTTTCCATTTGTCCACTACCCGAGATTAGGAAGTTTTTTTCGAACAATGTGTCTATGTTGTTATCAACTAGAGGTCTTCTAGTAAAACTGTTTTCCTTCTCCATCATTATATTAAAATGTACAATTCAGAAATATAAAAAATAGTTGTAATATACTTTGACCCTTGTTTATAATTATATAATTTTCTTATATATACTCAGTGTTCTTCTTGCGAGTCATTATCCTTTTTTTATCGCTTTTTTGATCCTGGAAGTTGCAGTTGTTTCATATCAAGATACAAATCTGTTACAGTGTAATATAAAAAATTGAGAAAATTATTTTGTTAAAATAACTTTGTACACACAATATGCGGAAGGTAAAACTGACATGCATGCAGTGTTTTTCTATTCAAATGAAATCCATGTTAAACATACATGATAGAATTTATAGATTTATAAAGCTGATCAATATGTTACATATAATACATATAATACTATAAATTCATTATGTAAATTAATAGTAAAATTAATATATTTAACTGTACATTGTTATTGTTCTTCTGTTGCATTTTTGAACTTTTAGTGTTTAAAATAAATGTATTTATATGCATTTTTTACCTCCTTTCTTTCCTTCTGCTTATTTTTATTAAAAAAAAAACCTGATTATACTTTTGTCTCGAATTCAATAGAATGCAAAAAGATGCATTCTATCTCCAACAAACAGGTTATATGTTGAAAATAGAAGGAGAAAATAACGCGCGAATAAAGAAAATGCAACTAAAAGAAATCAATTAAATCTCACGAAATCTTATTCAGAATTTTCATTCAAAAGAACCTGTTGCTTAAATCGAAGGTTACTTAGAGGTTAATACCGGCGTTGTCTCGGCTGGCGAACGAGAAAAAAATACGACTCACCTTTTCAAGAAGAAGCCATATATGTGCGGAATATTCCTTCTAAACTAGGTCGGAATATTATCGTCCACTACTTCGGAGAATTATGCAAAAAATATTATAATATATACACATGCTATTTAAATAAATACGTTTGTTATTATCGCTATCATTGCGGCGACTTCGCGACGTCAACGTTGCGATGTCAGCTGTCAGATGTCAGCTGCAAGCTGGGCTGCGTTCGTAGATTCGCTCACCGCGTGAAGCGCGACGCTCCGCCGACCAATCAGGAGCGTGGACTATTAGCTCCCTCTCTCTCGAAGACAATTTTCGAACGCGACCTCGTATGCGCGGCCTTTTCCATCTAAGATGGCGTCGGCGCCGGAGGACGAGGAATCTGCGCAGGTACGATTTAATCAAAAATATTATGTAATTATAGTAATCACGTGCTAATCGTGTTCGATAATCAATCTAATTAGATATATCTTTCGTTTGATATAATGGGTTTGAGTATAATCCTCGCGATCGTCGCGATGGACGATGATATTCGAGCGGGGTGAAAAAAGGGAGAAAGTCGCGATTTCTTCGTCTTTTGATACTAGTTTTCGAATATTCATATCGCGTGTTTCTCGCAAATATGACTCCTAAAAGTATACTTCAATACGGTTATCATATATTTCGTTCATATTTCGCGTTCTGAATGCAAGATGCTTGTATTATTGTGAGATGTTGATTGTTTCAATTGTCGGGTTTCAGGTTCAAAGAAACGTAGGCGCGCGTCTTGCCTGAAGTTAGAATCGATTCGATAGCGAGAATTCGATAGCTCGAGCGAGATGGCGGCTCGAGTCAGCCCGAGTGCAGTTTGCGAGTTACGGAGCTACGGTATATTTCGAAATATCTCTTTAATTTTATAATGCGTGTTTGACAATCTATTCTTGTATATAGTATATATGTATATATTTTTTTATTTTGCAGGAGTTTATATAAATAATCGCGCCTGCAATGAATTATTCTCGACGCTCAAAATTTAGTGTATCGGTTTTGGTTAGGTTCGCGAACGCGAAATAAAAGTATTAGTGGTTATTGTAATGTATATATATATATATATATATATATATATATATATATATAAGTAAACATATTTGAATCACGATCGTTTCGAAAGTTCAAAGAAATTTTTTTTTTTGTGTGAAAAAGTGCTTCACTTGAAGAGTTTGAGGACTTCTGAAGGATCGTCAAAAATGCCAGCGTGTTACTGCAAGGTGCGTAAAAATTATTTTGTAATTATGAATAAATTTTAATTTGAAATTTAACACCAGCTTATACTTACTCAAATGAAGAAAGTATTAAAATAGTTATCGAAGAAAAAACACTACATTGTTTATTTTTAATTGACTTTACTAATTATCTTATTTTATATATATATTTACTTACATTTATTTCAAGCGTATATTTTTTACTTAAACAATTTTCAAGTCTTATACAATATATGAATTAAAATTAAATTTATTATATATTTTATCTTAAATTATTTTATTAATTATAACATATAATATTTAAAAATTATTTATATATATATATATATATATATATATATATATGTGTGTGTGTGTGATTTTTACATATATGAGTATATCATTATTTAAGTTTTTCTCAAATTAAAAAAATTAATTAAATTTAAGGATAATAAAAAATTCAACATACAACATATATTGTTTTTTGATTATATTTTGGATATTTTTGCGACTTGCGATCGATTTATTTACATGATGATCGAAACGACAATGATCTAATGTAATTTTATTATTTGCAGGAAGCTTATCGTCGATCTGGTGCCGCTATTTTCCTGCAGTAGTAGATGCGTTGTTTTCATCATTGGTAAGTCGTAAGTGCAACGCTTGCATGCGAATGCTTCTATTTTCTGTAGCCCAGTTTGCGTAGGGCCTTCAGGTCCACGTTACCATAATAATCTTGGCTGAGAAATGCATAAAAATATTGAGTATGACTTAATCGTAACATATAATTGCCTTCAATCGGAATTATGATCTCTGAATAAATTTTTTATGAATTTAATGATGTAATTAAAATTATAAAATTATGATTTCATTAAGCATAGATTTGCACATTAATTTTTTATAATTATTTCTTCCTTTTGGATAACTAAATTCATTGAATAAATTTGACTTAAAAAAAATTGAAAATTTCGGTTGAAGGTTGTATTAGAAATAAAATAATTTAGCTTTGCGAAGAGAGACACAAGCAAATAATAATCTCGTCATGTTAGTTACATAAAATTTTTTACACAATTTTTTTTCTTTGTATTTCAGATAAGATTTTACAAAAATTTAATTTGTTTTTGTATTCTTTATTCCTTAATAAGATATTTTTTAATTTTAAATAAAATATAAATAATATATGAATGTGAATAATAAAATAAATGAATAAAAAATACCCTATTTATCACATGCATGCATACATACATTTCTTTCATTCAATCGCTGTTTTTATTATGATGATAAAGATTAATGCGATTTTTATAGGATATTTAATGTGTGTTAAAATGCCATTTTCCAGTTTTTAAATAACATTGCATATGTTACGATTAAGTTACACGTATTATTAGATTATTTAACATGCAGCAGATAAGTACATACAAGCTAAGAGACAAGTAAGTACTAATACACTATAAGAATTAAACGGAAATTAATTGTGGACCCTTAAGGTCATTGATCAATAGAGATCGATAGGGAACAGGACAATCAAATAAAAATTAACCTATATTTTCACCACATATTTAGTATCATTTAGCTATTTGATTTTATATATATATATATATATATATATATATATAAATACAATTATAATATTAAATAAATAGGTCTCACATTATAAGTAATTTCAATATTAGATCTCAGAATCAAATAAAATTTCTCTTTCGCGCTAATTATTCCATAATTGTAAAATTATTAAATTTTAAATATTAAATTTAAATATTAGATTGAAATGTTAAAAATGGATTTTTAAAAATATTAGTATTAATTAGCATTAAATATGCGATGAAAATACGATCCAAAATCTTTGAAGAATTTTTTTTATTGTACGAACTTTTCACTTTACTTAAAAATACATGATAAAACGCCGATCGTGTTTTTATATTGGCGCCAAGAGTTTGAAGAATTTCCGAATTGCAAATCGTGGATCGAATACAAGTTTATAGACTCGATCTCATATTTGATATAAAATCGAATACATTTTGCTTTTTTCTGTTTTAATCATGCGTTTTATATAAAAATGAAAATTTTATTGAATTTTATATCTTATGCTATACATGCAGAAAAGTTAGCCTTTCTAATCAGTATGATTCTTATAAAACTGAATTATTTTTAAAATTGAAAACTTTTCGGGAAATATATTTTATTCATTATTTGATGTAAAAATACATCATTGAAAAATGCATACAAACTGTATGTTATTTAAATGAATTAATATATGAGAAATAATCAACATGACAAGATATACATACGTAAGTACATAATTTTAGATAAAATAGAATCAGTAGAACGTATTTTTAGAAAATTTTCGATCGCGCAAATATGTATTTTTTATCTTCAATTATTTCGTGTTTTTATTGTCACGAAATTATAAATTTTCAATTTCAATCTTTATGGCGAAGAGAATTGAAAAAAGACAGAAAAAGATAGACTAAAATAGATAAAAGTATATATATATATATATATATATATATATATATAAAGTATTTAAAAGAGAAGAGAGAATATTTTTAGAGAGAAAGATATAGAATGAAGAAGAGAAAGAGAGAGAAAGATAAAGAGAGAAAATTGCCGATGAGGCGTCACGATTAATATAGATTTTGTATAATAATCGTTTGAGCATTTTTCAGAAAATTTTCTTGAAATACGTTGTATTTCATTATATTAATCAAAACGTTATTAATATTGATTATAATAAATTACATCGTACTTGATCAAAGATATTAACGCGCTGCAATTTTGCGCGCAATATTATAGCAACAATAGCAATTTGGGTGGGATTTTAATATATAATATATGTATATATTTGCATGTAACTCATGATTAATTATGTACAGTGTATATATATTAGAAAATTATAGGAAAAAGAAAATCATAATAATTTTGAGATCTCTTAGAACTCTTGCCAATTTTTCTAGAGAATAATTTTAATAATTAAAAATTGCATTATTAGGTTTTTAAACAACGATATATGTATTTATTGTAAAATGCGATTTACATATTACGAATAAGGAGTTCACGTAATTTTATGAAATTCGCGATTACATTATTTGTCATGCTATAATCGGTAATACCTTCGTCCTCTTCCTTCTATTCTAGTAATTACAAAAATAATGATACAATCTGTGCATTAAGATTGCGTGATTAGTACGACAAAAGAGAATCACGCGAGAATTCTCAGGCACGAAATTTTGCGACAGTTTGATTGCACCGCTCCTCTTGGAATCTCGCGAATTTTGTTTCGAGATCGAGCCATATATTTATGCAACGCGAAGTAGAAAATCGACACATAATTTAATCTTTTGAGGGTGGATTTCTTCTTCTTCTTCTTTTTTTTTTTTTTTTTTTTTTTTTTTTAGTCTCTTGGTTTTCGGCGTCGATTACTTCCTTTCCGGAAAAATCCTTTTTATGCAATTAAGGCTGGATTTTTGTCGCCTTGATTATGTATGTGTGAGTCTGTGTATGATAGAAGAAATAGAAATAGAGAGACAGAAAGAGAATAGAGCAAGTGAATGTAGAAGATAGGAAAAGAAAGAAAGGAAGAATAGGAGAAGAAGAAACAGAAATAAAGATGATGAAAAAACATACTTTGATACAATTTATTGGTGTAAAATCGATATAAATTTAAACATTAAAAAATAAATTAAAAAAGAGATAATATCAAAAGATACAAAATCGGATATAAATTTTTGCAAAAAATTTTTATAACTGAATTATAGAATTAAATGACAATTAGAAAATTAAAAACTTATTTAATTTATGTTAAATAATAGAGCACGAGTTTGTTAATTTTTTAGAAATATTTAATATAAGGATTTTTATTATTAAAAAAATATATTATAATGTGTGTGATTATTACTTAAATTGAAGATTATTATATTTAAAAGGGATCTTTTTGTTTTAATTCTGCATTACAGATTTTATACCAATAACTTGTATTAAAAAATAGAATTTAATAAAATTAAATGACAGCAAGAAAGAGAAAGATAGAAAGAAAAAGAAAGATAGAGACAGTGAATGAATGAAGAAGTGAGGTAAATTAGGATTTATTCCTGGAGAGGAGAGGAAGGCCTCGCGGGGCCTCCTGTTGGCCTGGGTTTTAGGGGCGCCTGGTTCGATGGTTTTCTGGGCTCGCTCTGGATTCCGGCTAGTAGTTCGCTCTTTCGGATGCTCTTCAGGTCCAGGTCGCCATAGTAATCCTCACTGCGAAGCAGAACCGAGAAAAACCCAAAAGTCAGGACATGCTCGGTGCGCGTTACCTGGCGTGCTCTTCAAGTTATACTTGCAGATAAGATTATACATGCATGCACATATAGAAAGGCTATATTTGCACTTATTGTTAGTCACGAATATTTACAGAGGATTTTACACGGATTTTTTTCAAATCTTGAATCAGATATTGGCAGAGTCTATCAAAATCGACTTTTACATATATCTAAAATAAATTCTTTGTAAATTCGTGTAAATTACAGATATATTCTAATTGTAAGCTTTTTAATATTTTTAGAAAAATGGAAATCTGAATATAAAGCAATAGTTGATATTATACCAAAATATTAGAAACAATAGGAAAGTTAACATAGACGTTAGCCACATGTTAGGAGATCATCAACAAACATAATTATTAATATTAATATTGCGTTGATTAGCGGATATAATCATTAGCTAATTCACAATCAAACGTATAAAATAATTCGGCCTTCCTAGGACAAAATCACGACGCAACTTTTCAATTTTTATTGCATGACAGAAATTTCTCCGGCTAGATTACTTTTCATTTTTTATACAGTAGTTACGCAAAACGTCATTAAGTACCACGAAATCGTGTTGCAATGCAAATATCTCTTTAATTACAGATCATCTGCGAAATGTAATTCCGCGATTTTGTGTCCGAAATTGTCTCGAATATACATAGTTCCATCCTCAGGAAAACCTGAAATTTCCTGCTGACGACTATAATTACCGAGATAATCGAGTTCGAATAATTTTATAATTATTTGTTACACAATATATTGCGTCTACAATTATTTATTACACAATGCACTCTGTTATCGTTCTTTTTGCCTTTAGCCGACTTTTCATAGTATTTTATTACGACTTAGTAATTCAATAATAATTTGACCTAATTTCGGTTCTGATAGCGAAAAATAATATGAAAAACTATTTTCCTTGAGACATGTTAAAAATATAATATATAAAATTGATTGAAAAGAAAATTAGATTTTTCAAAAAATAAAATAGAAGAGATTCAATTTTCTTGTTTTCGGACATATCAATATATCGGCATTAATAATTATTATTTTTATTCTTCGGCGACGCAGCGTGTGTGACATCTCCCCATTAAATCAGAAATATGTTGATTGCAAGAAAAATAACTTTTACAAAGAATTTTTTTAATTCTATAGTTTTAAGATAAAAATAGAAAATATGCAATATTTTTTTTTAATTTTATATTTGTTAAAAAATATTTTTTAATTTTTTTAGACAACTTTATATCTAGTTAACAATTTACAGCTACGTTTTCGAATTTTATCTGCTCTTAAAGCTATGATTTCCATAGCAATTAAAATTTACAAATAAAACTGATTATTCATTAGCATTTGTGTGAAATTAGAAATATTTAGAATCACATTATGTCGCATAAATTGGATTAGAATTTAAATATTGAAAATGATATTACATAATCGTCTCATCGAAAATAAGCTGTGCAGGAAGAAGCTAAGTAGTTCGAGAAAAGATTATTCATAATAAAGTACAAAATTCAGAATTTTTTAAAATATCTTTGAAAAAAATGTTATCTCTTGTTCTTAAAAATCCCTAATACTTTACTCTTCATACTTATTGTCAATTTTTTCAAAAAAGTTTTTTTTATGCAAAATTTCGAAGTTTACCCTTTCTTTTATAAAATGGAGTACAATTGGTGGTTTCATGAAAAGATCATATATATATATATATTAAAGACAATACTCACCATCCGGGGACATCCTCGGGATCCTCGCAGGCGCCGCTACCGTCGGCATCGCCGATCTTGAAGACGGTGCCGATCGGACAGCCGTATTCCCTGGCGATGCCCTCGAGGCATATGTAGTACTTTCTGCAGTCCTCCGGATGGGCGTGTCTGCTGAAACTGCCGGATGCACCACTCACTTCGCCCGCGGCCGGACACGTGAAACCTCCAGCGACCTCTGCGTAACGCAATAAATAGGGTACAGAATGTTGAAAGAGACAGAAAGAGAGAAAGGGATCTTGTTTCTTCATGTTTCATCGGTCTAGAGTTAGAAGACGGAAGAAAGAATATGAGATGTGGGGAATCAAATGTACATATATATTTTGAACTCTCAATAAAAATATTACAGGGAGATAATTTTCTCTTAGAATTTACCCTGAAAATTATGGTAATCATGGACAATATGATATTGGAAGAATTTTGGAAGAATTTCTCTGATTAATATTTATTACAATAAAAAATATTAAAATGTACATAGTAAAATTCATCGAATTATATGCATATTTTATATTTTATTGTGGTTGATATTACTCAGAGAAATTCTTATAAAATTCTTCTAATACCATATTGTCCATGATTACCATCATTTTCAGGGTAAATTTTAAGAGAAAATTCTCTCTGTGTAGAATATTATAATTTTTTTTAAATATAAAAGGAAGAATTAGAGTTTATATTTCAATGAATATATAAGTGAGAAAGTCAGAATAGTTTGAAAAGAGAAAACGTTCTCGTTTCTGAAATTATAGAGAATTTATTGATCGATTCAATATAGCGAATTATAAATTGTAAATAAAAGGAAAGTAAAAGATTAGCGTAGGCAAGTAGAAAGGAGGTAGAAGGATTTGTAGCAGTTGTATTGTAGAAAGACTAGTTCGATAGATTATCACGTTCTACGTACATATGTTCTATTATCCGTGTCAAATCGCGCGTGACTGGACCAGAAACCCGCGTATATAGACATAAAAGTCTGCATTACAATGTTCGATCTAACATAGAATTTAATTTAAAAAAAATAAGAATTTAAAATTTTAGGCTCCTAATTTTATATAATAGCTAGATTTTATTCAAGCTGGCGAGAAACTAGAAATCTTAAATAAAATATAGCTATTATTAAATACTATTGTCATTTGAGTATATTTTTGTTCAAATTTGTTCTCCAACTGAGTTACTTCGATTAACAGCGGTCTGGGAAATCTGGAAAATCGGGCATTGTCAGGAAATTTTATAAATCTGGAATTGTCAGTGAAAAAAGTCAGAAAATTTTACTATCTGGATTTTTTCACATTATTTTACATTTGTCTCAATAATTTGAAATTTTTTATTAAATAAATGTAAACTTTTCCTTGACTCCCAGAACGTGTTATTTTATTTCAATGTGTTTGATAGAGACAAAACTAAAAAATTTGATATAATATAAATAAAAAAGGTGATTATTTAAATAGTTTATAGTGACATGTTTGTTTCGATTATCGAATATAAAATGCAAATTGTATAATTGATTAAAATTTTTGTTTTAACTTCCGATCCTGTTCATTGTTGCCAAAAATATCTCTCTAAGGATTTCATAATTTAAAATTGAATTGATTTATCATATAGATATATGCAAATGCTATATTTGGAAAAAATAATACTAAAAAGTGAGGGAAAAAATGAATTTCTGGTCTTGAAAGATCTGAAAAAATGAGGGAATTTTTTTTCATTGAGGACATTCTGGAAAACAATCGGTACCTTCGTTTCTGCATTCGGGCACCTGGTCGGCCCACATGCACACCCTAGCCTCGCGATCGTAGGCCAGTCCGGGGCTGCACTGATAGCGAGACGCTTCGCCGTTCCAGCAGTTCCAGAAGACGTCGCATTTCTTCTCGTCGGGGAAGATGCCGTAGAGACGGGAGCAATGCGGCGTGCTGATGGGCGGCTCGAGCTGCGTGCGTTCGCCGCATTCCACGTTGTGCAAATAGTCGCAGTTCTCGGTGAGGAACTTGCTGTCACTCGCGTCGAACGCGAGACCGTTTCCGCACGTCTTCAGTTCCGCCGCGTTGTTGTCGCATTTCCAATATTTGTCGCACGATAAATGGTGAGGATAGAACCCGAAATCATCCGGGCATTTGAAAGATTCCTGACCGTATGTTCCTGAAATCATCGAGTAAAGATTGTAAATCTGATGGGAAAACAAATATATGTAGGATGAATTTACTCAAATCTTTTTGTGGACAGTCCTGATTTTCTGCTAAATTCGTGTTAGATTTTTGTGAATAGTGGTTTTGAAAGAGCTTTCTCATGAAAGATTTTCAATTATAATAACTTTTAACTAGGTTCTAATTTTATTTTATATATGTATGCATTTCTCTAAACTTTTATAATAATAAACATACATACACTACCAAAATAAATTTTAATTTTAAATAAAATTACAAATATAAATAAGTTAAGTCATCAATAAATTAAATTTTCATTAATCAACACTTTTTAAATAAAAAATTAATAATCTGACAGCTATGTCTTGCAATGAGTAAACAAACAGAAAATGCACAGCCATATTTTTTTTGAATTCGAAGATATGACAGAAAATACTGTAAAAGATAACTTTGTTTTTCAATCTTTTTACTACATAATTAGAAAGAATATTACTTTGTTTTCAAATCCACGTATTACTACTTCGAGTGTCTCGAATTGTGGTTAAATACAACTTCGATTTTAACTACACAGAGAGAATTTTCTCTTAGAATTTACTCTGAATATTATGGTAATTATGAGACATCACAATAAAATATGTTTAATTAATTGTACATATTAATATTTTTCATTATGGTAAATATTAATCAGAAAAATTCTTATAAAATTTTTCCATTATCATACTATACCACGATTATTATGATTTTTAGAGTAAATTCTAAGAGAAAACTCTCCGTGTCATATCATCATTCTCCGTAAGAAATTACAGGCTATGTAAAATGAATTATTTCATAATGCATTATTCACGGACGACCGTGAAAAATGCATCAACTAAATCGATCGACATAAAAAGTTGGGAAAAAATAGGGAGTATATAAATAAAAATCTTCTTTTTTTCATCCCTCTTTTACACGCATTAATTATGCGTCTCTCTCTCTCTCTCTCGCGCGCGCGCGCGGGCGCACGTGGCATATGACGCCTGAATAAGTTAAGATGTCTTATGTAAGGGGCAGTATGGGACGGTAACTTTCGCCGGGCGCTTTCACTTTGGGCCCGCGGCCAGGCCCCGGCCGCAACCGGGCCCTCCCAGCATCCCGTTCACCCGGTTCGCGTCGTGTAAGTCTCAGCAGCGAGTCTGTATTTGAGTATGTCGTGGAACCAGCTGTATTCACTTTCGTTTTCCATTGGACCGGTCCAGCCGAAAGCGACTTCGAAATATTCATTCGATCAAAAACTGCAGATCGCAGTTCTTTACATTCTTGTTTTTCAAAATAGGCGACATTAGAGTCTTATGTAATTTCTCGTTGTAAAGATTATGTAAAGTATCGCGAGAAATATCAAAGTTTTGCGATTATACCGAAAAATTATTTCATTATGCTTAATGATACTAATTTGAATAATAGTGAATTTTATTTTTGTTTTATGTGAGTTCATGAAGTAGAGAATGTATCATATAAAGTCAGAGATATTTGCTATACTTTTAGAGTGTATTTTTGTTCATAAATGTGGAATAAATAACGTTGAATATAATGATACAAATATAAGACACAGCTCGACAGTTTCGAATGTTTAGAGGTAGCGTTACAGCGATAATATTTATGTTCACGCGTAGTCGTGTTTGCTTTGTGTGATTCGGCTCCGAATTCCAATGGTTTTGTCAGGACGGAGAGTCGTCCTCGAGCGATGAAACGATACAGTTCGACGCGTACTTTTGCGAGGGAACGAGCGGAGACTTCGTAATTCCGATTCTGTATTCATCTGTATCCTTCATAATTGAAATACATTACATTACACTATAATAATATTTAAATTTCTTTAAAAATATTTCAATAACATATTTTGAAGATTTTTAAAAATAATTTGTTAATTTTTAATGATTCCATATGTCTCTTTATCGATGAAGTTGATTGATAAAAGATTTATTATGGATATATACATATATGGATCTATGTTATATATGATAATTGATTACGTGTTTGAACTTATAGTAAATATTTTATACATAACACACATTTATATATTGTAGAAAAAATAGAAAGATTTCTTCCTAACACAAATATGAGATTCTAATATGAATTTCTTTTAAATAATTCTATTTTCATTAAAAGTAGTTTGGTTCTTATAATTGTATTATGATAATGGTTCGATTTACATAGCATATAAAAATATTAAATACGAATATATTTTAAATTGTTTTTTAATTAATTTTTCAATTAAAATATTATTAGTATTTTCTCATTAAAAATTCGGTTTTTTCAAAATTTTCACGCGGTTAAAATTCGATAATAGTTTATATTATCGAGAAAGTATTGACATAATTTTTGTTGCGACAAATCGTATCCTTGAACCTTCCTATCATGAAGAATGAATAAAAAAAGGGTCAAGATCTGGGCCAAGGTTATACCGCGGCGGCGAGAAAGCATGACTAAAATTTCCAAGCCAGAGGCGGATTTTAATAATCTCGTTGCTTAATTAATACGGTTGCAAGGAGATTGATGCGGAAACTTTAATTATTTTTTGAGATAATTAAAGAATGTGCGTGATTTTATTTAGAGATATTTAAATAGTTGAAAGAAAAAAAAATATAATATCATAAAAAAATCTTGGAGCATCCATATAATTAGAAAATATTTTTTATGCGATTTTGAGAAGAATAGTAACACATAATTATAAGCTACGCTATGTTTAATTAAGATTGTAGTTTCGTACGAATAATTATTATATACTTATTTCTCTGCATTTTCTTAAGACACACATAAATAAAAAAAGTAACATATAACCGAAAAAATTGTATTTATATAAAAAATATTTTCAGTCTAAAGAAGTATATTTTCATATAATTTGAGCTTTCTCTATTAAGAATATCTACGAATCTATACAAATTTTTTAAAGTCTTTTTTTTTCGAAAATTATGCAATTGCGTTCAACAACGTCAATTGTTAATCGATATTTAAATGCAATCTAAAAAATGATATTTAACTAAGGAAACAATAAAATGATATTTGATTTCTAACTCGCACATGGGAGCACGCGAAGATGAATCGATTCGCGAAATCGAGTTTCAAAGTCCAAGAATGATTTCCTTCGCTTTCCGGCAAGGTTCTGGGGGATTTGGTCTCGATTAAATCCTGCTCTCGACGTAAGGCACGTAGGGCTCACTGCTCGCATGATCACACACTGAGATCCCGTCCACTTTCCATGCATTTCGTTCGGAGTCGAAAACATTCGCATCTCACTCGCGACCTTCTGCATTAAACTGGCCCAGTTTAACTTCACCACCCTTGTTGCGCCTTCAGCGATGAATGGATTTTTTTTTTGTTATTAATTACGTACCGACAATCAGTATGACGGCTATTATGAAGTACGTCCTCATGGTTCAACTTGAAAAGGTCAACTTGTGTGACGCGGAGGTAAACGGAAAATGAACGAGAAAAAAATGATCTACAGGCACACTTTTAAAGACACCGCCTCCGCTTTGCCGAGAGACAGAACTCTGTGTTTGGGCCCTGTCGTTCGCCACCTTTATATAAGTCATTGGTCACGTGTCTATATTCCTCTCCCCCCTTTTATAGTTGCCACCTCTTCCTTCGGACACTTCGAGAAAAGGTGCACCTCTCTACTTTTCTTGTATTTCTCTGTCTCCTTTCTCTCGTCTCTGTCTCACTTTCGGGCTTTCCGTCTTCTTTCCCTTTATGATGCTATCCCCTCTGTCTTTCGCTCTTTTCTTCTTTCTCTATGTTACGAGGTAATGAAATTCCGCATTGGATGTTCGATGCGTTTCCATTCTTGTCAGTCTCGGTTGTTGTTCTATTCAGATTCTTGAATGAAGGAATTCATCGCATGAAAAAGAGCGTGATTATAAGAACGGTATTTCCAGGGAGAATAAATTTCTAATAGTTGGAGAGGTGAATAAAAGAGATGAACAATATATGTGTGTGAACCATATATGTATATAAAATAATAATCTGAAATTATATAATAGTTACAACGAGAAAAAAGCTGAAAGATGGAAAGTGATAAAATGATAATTAGTTATAAAATATAATTTTTATCGGCGTGTAAAACTAGATTTGTTTCGGTTGCCGAGTTTGTTATGGTATTGAATTAAACTTTCCTCTACGCAATTATATGGATTTATTCTGCACCTTATTAAAAAACACTTTAACACTATCTAATATCAGCAAAAATAATCACACATTAAGTAATGAATTTTCTACTTACATATATAAAGTATTGAAGTATGAATTATTATCTAAGACGGCTACATTCTTTTCTCACTGCGGTGCAAAGCTGTCTTTGTAAGAATAAAATAGCATTTTAGATTTTTGATACACTGGGATTTAATAATCTGTTATATAGAACAGAGTTTCCAGTAGTATATCTAGAGAAAGGGAAAGTGAAGAAAGAAAGATGTGGTCAGACGAAACGAAAGATGTGGTCACAACTTCTCCTTTCTTTCTTTTATATAGACCTTTAAAAGGAAACTCGAAAAGAAAAGTTGTACTTTCCATACCATTTTGCATATTTTCTTCCGCTGAAATATACGTACGCATTATTTTTAATAAATGTTATTATTGTTAATGTATATATATATATATATATATTTTATTTTTTTACATAACAATTTTATTTATTATTTAAACATCTTGCTTTTGAGGGCAAATTTTAAAAGCTAATATAGTAATACATTTTAATTATTATTTATATATTATAATATATAATTATATATGCTTATTTAAATCTAAGAAAGTAAAGAAAAATTGACCTAAAATTTCTTTTATTTTACGCCATAGCTTTCACGATGTTAAATCTATTGAAAAATAAAATTATTTTTTCTTTCGTCTGTAAATGCTATTTAAATCCTGAGATACCTTTCGCCGACGAATCCCCAAAAATTGCTAAAAGGTTGCTTTTAGTATCTTTTAGTGTCTATGGGCTCATTCGTTTTTTTTCTTATCCTGTTATCTATCATAAGTCGCATGACCAGTTTCGGTCGGCTGGTTTTTGCAACAATTTTGTCAAAGAATAGCACTTTGCGAATCTTGAAATGTCTTATCCCTTTCGAGAGTCGCAAAATTCCACACTAAAAAAAAGAAAACTGTTGGCCTTTTGAAATGAAAGGAAGGTTAATCCAATAAAAATCTTTTATCCGATTTCGTCGCCAATAAAGCATCCTAATAAAGCATCCCTTCGATATTTTTATCTTTCGAGAGACGAGTCACTATAAAATTTCAAATTGCATTTTTTACGAATCATGTTTATTAATAAAAACTTTGGCCGAAATCTTTGTCGCCAAAAAGATTTTCGATAGACTTTCAAATTATTTACACTGCTTAAATTTCCGAAATCTTTAATAGATTTCTGATAAAATTTCGATATACAAGCGCAATACTTGCATTAACTATATTACACAAGAAAACGAGACGACGGGCGCGCATTTGCATATCGATAAATTCGTCGAACTGCTTTGGTACGCGTCCGGCGTGTGCTGGTGGCCATGGTCGTGCGATTTACAGAATACCGGTCGGCTCGTGGCTATAATAATAATTATACAAGAATACGATACGTGGCTATAATGACGATCGTAAGGCCGCGATCGATTGCGGTGCGATATCAAATAACGGGGAAGGCCTTGCTCGCGCGAGAGACAGGTGAGTCATCATCCCTCTTCGGGATTCTCGTTCGAGTCCCCACGTCTATAAGCAGTGTTGTGCTTAGATGATTTTCAATCTTATATCATTGATTTATATCTAATCAATTTTATATTGCAAAAATCCAAAATTTGCCATGCTTCGGCAAAACAGTGCAAAATTAGTTGGATAAAGATGAGATAAAAATATGCAAATTTATCTTAGATAAGATGAAGATGATTTTGTTTGAAATATATCTAGATAAAAGATAGAGAGAATTATATGGCGACTCATCTAGATAATTTCCAGATAATATTATTTTTAAGACCGCTTAAAGAATTTTTGTATGCTATATAATTAAATCAAATTATCTGACCATTACTCTAGATAATTTAGTAAACATAATACTTTTTTTATCTAAAATGCAGATATAGGTAAAACATATTTTTATTATTTATATAGATATAGATAATACATATTTTCATTATCTATATATAAAATAAGAAAAGATGAGATGGCGCCAAAATTTCATCTAGATGATTATCTAAATAATTTTATTTAGATAATGGCAAACACTGGCTATAAGGTCAGTTCGATAATATATAGTCTTAATGCATTTCCTTAATATTTAATTAATTATTGTATCGATATGCGACCTTTCCATCTGCGATATAACATTGAAAATTTGGCAAATTAATTTTTTTTTCATTTATTCTATTTCTTGCTCTCTCCTTAAAAGTTTTTTCAAATATTTCGCAGAGAAATATTAATATTATGAATTACAAAAAAATGAATTTTAATTAATTATATATGAATATAAATAAATAAATATAAATATAAATATATCTAAATAATATATATATAGATTTGTAAAAATATAAATGAATGACAAATTATATTAATTTGTGATACTTCAAATATAATTGAAATATATATAATATATATAAGAACAAATATATGCATGTGTGAAATTTGCTTGCCTGAAAGTAAGCTACACATGTTTAAATGTTTTCGTCACAGTCGGTAATCACTCTCGCCGACTCTCAAGAGTAAAAGTTTCAAATTTACATTAATATCGCGTGCATGCGACACGAGTCGAGAAAAAAGAAATTTACCTAGATTTAATTCAACTTTGTTACTTGATTTTGTTCTCTTGCTTAAATTTGATTCTCTTCTAAATTCTCGGAACACTATTTTTCTCAAACTTATCTTTTTTAATATCTTTTTTTATTTACATTTTTAATTTTGCTAAACTTAGAATATTAGCATAACACGTATCTTATAACACATTAATATTGCAATGTTCTTTTTCTTTTAAAAATAAAGAAATATCGTACATTCCATTTTTAGACACTAATGAGCATAAAGTTGTTCTTTTGGCTAGGTATGTGGAAAGAAATTGAATGTCTAGCTTATTTACAAATGGAAAAAGATTAACTGTAAAAACGGATTGTGCAAGAATCGTACTTTGTCCGGGAAAAAAGCGGTTTTATGTGAGTTCAATTTGCAATTCTTAAAGCGTAATTTTTGAAAAAAAATAAAATGTTGTAAAAAAATAAAATAAAAAAGGCAAGCAATTAAGTAAAATTCAACTCGCAATTTTTTTCGTTCTGTCGTTTCTTTGATAAGATTGATTTATTATGTTCTTTATATGAACATAGAAATTGCTTTATTTATGTCTCGATCCCAATAAAATGGTCAATTGAGATTCGCTTTAGAACCTAAATGATATAAATTCTACACTAGCTATTTTTGCTTTCTCATAGAGGAAGCTTTGTTTTTCTATCATTTTTATATTTCCAATGCGATTTTCTTATACAAATGTTCTAATTCATTCAGAGCTTATTTTTCTCCATTTATTATTTTGTAAAAAAGTATCTTTTATAATTATTGACTCTTTATGAACTTCTTTTTTGCATTTTCATACTTTGAGACATTTATTTTTATATTATATTAAAAAATTTCAATAAGACAGAGCTTTTTCATTTAAAGTTTTTATTTTGTGAATAAAAAGTAAAGTAGAAAAATAAACTTATAAAGACTAATGGGATTAATATCTTTTTAGTTTATTAATTAAGATTTTCTTAATAGTATGATGAGCTTCAATAATTTACATATAATTAATATCTTCTGATACGATTTAATGGCAAATTTTAAATTATTTATCATTTACATGAATGATACATTTTATCTAAGATTTCTATCCGTTAAATTTATGCAGAACTTTAAAACTTCATCTCCTAGTCTTTTAACTCTTTTAACTTTTAACTTGAACACTGTGAATTTTTGCAATATTACGAAAGGTCGCATGTCGCATCGATAAATCGGATCGTGCTGTATTGATTTACACTTATACCATCCGTTTATACATTTCCGGTATCTATTTGTCACGTAAGAAAACAGTTTTGCAACGCATTTCGCCACTTCTCGCGACAATCTACTAGTTATTTCATCATATATGAAAGTCTTTAGATAGGAAGAAAATACTTAAAAAAAACTGGAAATAAAATAACAATTATAAGAGATTTATATGGATTTGAGAGATAGAGTTTTTTAACAATTTTTTTTTAGAGAGTTTGTCATAATTCCACGGTATTTAAAAAGAAAATATAAAATCGAACTAAATTTAAAATTAATATAAAATTGTATGTATGTACTAAAAATATATTTCTATTTTTGAAAAAAATCATATATAATTTTTTTTTGTAAAATATTAATAATATAATAATATTTCTTATTGTCTCATTAAAATTTAGTATAAAAATATTTGTTTTATTTTATTCACGAGATATTCTATTTTATAAATTTTTAAAATAAAAATTTTGCTCTATTGCTGGAATACTATATAATTGACAGTCTGGAAATACTTTGTTGAGATCCTTCGAAA